CTACATGACCCCAACTGGATGGCATTCCCCTACATATGGAATTGGGATGGGTGGATGGGAGGGGAGGGTGGTTAGAGGGCATGTGAGAGGGCAGAGAGGGTAAAAGGGAGGGGAGGAGGGAGGGAGGTATGGTGGGAGGGAGGGAGGGAGGGAGAGAGGGAGGAAGAGGGAACTGGGATCGACATGTAAAATAATAAATTAAATTAAAAAAAATGCTTTGACTCCAAAATTTAAGTTGAAGGACAAGTTACTGGGGAAAAGGATTTCTATTTTTGTTTCCACAGAAAATGAAAAGATGTGGATTCCTTCCAGACTAATGTGGTTTGATCACGCCAGACCACCTGAAACAGAGTACAAGCTGATCCTACATTCAAAACAGCTGGACAAAGCAGCCTTACAGACTACAGCCAGGATATCTGAATCTTCTTTGAATCCCCCATGACAGCGCCCCTTACCAGCAGGAAGTAGTTTGGAAAGAACGACGCCCAAATTCCCAAATATTGTGTATAAATGTTTGTTTTCATTTAATTGGACTTTGTTATATAAAATAAAATAAAATAATAAAAAAAGAAAAAGCTTGAAAAAAAAAAAAAAAAGAAGTTCCCATGCACAGCTGAAGATCAGTAGACACAGGCAATAGATCACAAACGCCTCCAGTTGCACCTGCCCCCAAACAATTTTTTATTTCCCCTCACTCCTACCCAGAGCCATCTCTCCTGTTGGATTGAAATGAGATAAAATGAGTGGGGATCCCCCCACACACACACACACACAACACATAATTCTTGTTGCTCCCTGGACTCCTTGACCTCTCCATTTCATTCCATTCAAAAGAGACCAGCACTTCAACTCTGGGAAAGGTATTCCCCTTGTGTTGTGGTTTCTGATGATTTTCCCACTCTCCTCTACAGCCACCCAACCTCTCCTGCCCTAAAAAGCAAACCACTCTGGAGGTGCCTCCTCTCTTCAATTCTTTTCCACCAGTTCTTTCTAGAGTGCACGCCCAGCCACTGCTCTGACGCACTTTATCAAAGTCCTCCTTGATCTTGGAGTGAACAGCTGAATCCAATGATGGGTTTCAGCGCTCATATCTCTCAGTTAGCAATAGGAGACTCAGCTGATTGCCTCTTGAGTGACACAGTGTATGCACCCTCTTCTGCCACAGCAGTGACTGCTGTCGCCTATTTGGCATGCACTTTAGCCTTTGACTTGGGATTATTTACACCTCAGAAAGATTAATCCATAATTTTCTTTATTATAGATGCAATAGCTTAATAACCAATAATTAACCAAGTAGACATCACTGAATTTAAACATAGGAAGAAAGCTGTAAAATGGATTTATGAAGTTCACATGTCTGTAGTGCAACATATTTCTCTTATTTATCTGCCTTTGTCAGAAGGCAATTGTGACTAAAAGAAGAATGTGGGGTTCAGCTCTTTGCATGACTGGCATCTAAACTGCTTACCCAAGCTTTTAAATTTTTTTTAGTTCTTGTGATGATACCATGGCTGGTCTGGGAACTCCTGTGTATAAGGTAGCATGCTTTACTGTCTCAGCCTTTGTGGTAGCTGAAGTTGCTGGATCATGGTTACAGGTACCCCACTACCCAATTTTAAAGTGAACTTGTAAAGAAAGGATGATACTTGTTATATAATTATTAGGGTTAGGGATTGATTTTTTCCAAACATTTTAGAGGTTTTCCCTGTGTACTAGTGTGTATGTATCTTACATCTGCTTTCGATGCTGTTTAAAGTTGCCCTTGCAACTTTTTTGTCAGTCCGCAAATATTTCAAAAATTGAAATACTTTTAAAATCTTTTAGGTTATGGCTTGCTAAGCTTTGTTGACTAAGTGTAGATATCAAAGATGATAAGGTTTTGATTTGTTATATTTTGGTGTGTAGTGTTTGTGTATGTCTGTCTGCTCCTTCCTTCCTTCCAAAAGATTTCATGTAGTGCACACTCATCTTGAGATCCCTATGTATTACAAGAGGACCTTGCCTGTGTTTGGTTTTTTCTTATTATTTTTGTTTTTTAAGGAAGAGTCATAGTATTTTGCCTAGACTGCCCTCAAACTCTGGCTATCTCCCTGCATTAGCCTCCTGAGTCCTGGAGTTACAAGCAGTTAAATCTTGAGCTCCCAGCCCCCACGGATGGCCAAGTTTTTAAACTAGGTGTCACAGAGGAACTGTGGCAGTGACCTGCAGTCTAGCCAAAGACACTTAACCATTGCACTCTGGAGCTTTACTGAAGTTACTTAATTTTGGGATTTCTTTTTAATCAACAGGAAAGCAGATGCACTTAAAAAAAATAATTTAGCCAGGCTGTGGTGGTTTAAGCCTTTAATCCCAGCACTCAGGAGACAGAGGCAGATGGATCTCTGAGTTGGAAGACAGCCACAGTTACAAAGAAAGACCCTGTCTCAAAAATTATATATAGATATAGATATACATAGATATATGTGTGTGTTTATTTATTTTAAATTATGTGTATATATACATGAATATGCAAATGCCCTTGGATATCATGAGAAATTGTCATCTCTAGAAGCTGTAGTTACAGGTGGTAGAAAGCCAGCAGGTTTGGGGGCTAGAAATAGAACTACAGTCCTCTAGAATAGGAAGTGCTTTTAACATGAACTGTCATGCTAGCCCAACAGAAGCAGTATTATCAGTTATTCTGCAGACTATAATTATAATTATTATTAGGCACTACTACCTATCCTGTATGCTATTATTTCCTTTGTTACTTACAAAATATTTGAGCTATAAAAAGTTATAAAGAACACTAGGGGATGGCATTCATACAGTATTGTAACCTAGACCCTGACATGTCAGAGGGGAGGCAACTCCATATGACTTATCTTTTTCTCATAGCTACCCTGACATTAGGGTTAAACTTAAAAGTTTGGAGCTGGGACCCCTAACCTCACAGGCAGAAGCTTTAAAAGTGGACTTTAAGGTATACCATGGGAGAGATGACAAAGCCCTTAATACAAGTACCAGATGATGGCCAAGGCCTTCCGACTGTCCTCAGAGTCTGCCGGGGCCCCTTGCCCTCCGGGGCTCGGGCCACAGTATCCATGATTTTAGTGTGGTCAGGAAGGACATTGGGCCCAAACTTGCCCTAATCCCCGTGTGCCACTCAAACAGTGTCCAAAATGGCAGGAAGAGGGTCACTGCTCAACAGACTGCCCACATGCCCCTTGTGGCAAGAGGACTTCACATATGGACTGCCCTCTAGCTGACTTCCTAGCCATGGCAATGGACAATGATGTGTGAAGGGGCTGGTCTCTCTTCACCCAACCACTGTCATCTCTGACAGGGAGCCCCGGATACAAATTAAAGTACCAGGGTGATCCATTTCCTTCCTTTTGGACACTGGTACCACGTACTCAGTACTGAAGGAATTTTGTGGACCCACTTCTCCTTCTCGTCTTACTATTGTCGGGGTTAGGGGGACAACCTTACCTAGCTAACCAGACCCCACCACTCAGTTGTAATTTCAGGGGAATTCACCTCACTCATTCATTTCTGGTTATACATACCTGTCCTGTGCCCTTACCAGGAAGGGATCTTTTAGCCAAGGTAGGAGCTTCTATTTCTTTTGCTCCCCCCATTCGCCTAAACACACACTCACCAGCAGCTCCTCTCCCCCTCCTCCTAGCCACTCACCCTATTAGTTTAATATGTCATTTGCTCTGTCAGCCTTTGAGGGAGACACCCAAGTCTGGGACACCACAAACCCTTCTGTGGCTAGACGTCATTCTCCCATTGTCATTCAGTTATAGAACTCCTCCAGGTCCATCACTCAAACCCAGTACCCATTCCCACTACAGAGCCTTAGCGAACTTAATCCTATCATCTCTGACCTCCTAAGGAAAACGTTACTATGTCCTACATCCTCTCCCTTTAACACCCCTATGCTGGCAGTTAAAAAACCTAATGGTACCTATCACCTGGTTCAAGACCTCCGACTCATTAATTCTGAAGTGGCCCCTCTCCATCCTGTGTCAAGTTTTATTAAATAAATCATAAATAATATATCACCACATAAATGGCCCAGTGGAACCGAATGTAAGTGTGTTAGCTAAAGATCTTACCCAATCATTCATAGCCAGATTCCATTTGGTATGACTTTTCAGATACTCAAAGACTACCATAATATGAAATGGGTTTAATATATAGATTGTACACTAAGAGTTGAATAAAGACCAACATGAAATAAAAACATTACCACACTGACTACATTTATAGGGATTCTCTGCGGTGTATTTTCTCATAATTTCAAAGATTCTGATAGATGCAAAAGATTTATCACATTGGTTACATTCACAGGACTTCTCTCTTGTATGTATTCTTTTAGAAAGTTGGAGGTAACTATAACATGCAAAGGCTTTAACACATTAATTATATTCATAGGGTTTCTTTTCACCATGCATTCTTTTATGCCTTTGAAGATTACTGTGACATGCAAAAGCTTTACCACACTGATTACATTCACAGGGTTTCTCTCCAGTATGTATTCGTTTATGTATTTGGTAATAACTGTGACTTGCAAAGGCTTTACCACACTGATTACATTCATAGGGTTTCTTGCCAAAATGTATTCTTTTATGCCTTCGAAGATAGCGGTGATGTGCAAAGTCTTCACCATACTCAATACATTCATAGGGTTTCTGGCCAAAATGTGTTCTTTCATGTATTTGAAGATAACTGTAATGTCCAAAGGCTTTTCCACATTGATTACATCTATAGGGTTTCAGGTCAAAATGTGTGATATTATGCTTTTTAAGATGACTGGGTTGTGAAAAGGCTTTACCACATCGATTACATTCATAGGGTTTCTCTCCAGTGTGTGTTCTTTTATGTATTTGGAGATTACTTTGACATACAAAGGCTTTTCCACACTGATTACATTCATAGGGTTTCTCTCCAGTATGTATTCTTTCATGCAATTGAAGATAACTGTGATGTGCAAAGGCTTTACCACACTGACTACATCCATAGGGTTTCTCTCCGGTATGTGTTCTTTTATGTTTTTGAAGACTACTTTGACATACAAAGGATTTACCACATTGATTACATTCATAGGGTTTCTCTCCAGTATGTGTCCTTTTATGTATTCGGAGACTACTTGGACATACAAAGGCTTTACCACATTGATTACATTCAAAAGGTTTCTCTCCAGTATGTCTTCTTTCATGTATTTGGAGTCTACGTTGACACACAAAGGCTTTACCGCATTGATTACATTCATAGGGTTTCTCTCCAGTATGTGTTTTTTCATGCATTTGAAGATGACTGTGACGTGTAAAGCCTTTACCACATTGATGACATGCATAGGGTTTCTCTCCAGTATGTGTTCTTTCATGTGTTTGAAGATGATTGTACCGTGTAAAACCTTTACCACATTGATTACATTCATAGGGTTTCTCTCCAGTATGTATTCTTTTATGTGTTTGGAGTTGACTGTGACATGCAAAGGCTTTACCACATTGATCACATTCATAGGGTTTCTCTCCAGTATGTGTTCTTTCATGTATTTGGAGATGACTATTATACAGAAAGCCTTTACCACACTGATTACATTCATAAGGTTTCTCTCCAGTATGTGTTCTTTCATGCATTTGAAGATAACTATGATGTGGAAAGCCTTTACCACACTGATTACATTTATAAGGTTTCTCTCCACTATGTGTACTTTTATGTATTTTAAGATGACTGTGTTGTGAAAAGGCTTTACCACATTGATTACATTCATAGGGTTTCTCTCCAGTGTGTGTTCTTTTATGTTTGTTAAGATGACCATGTTGTGAAAAGGCTTTACCACATTGATTACATTCGTAAGGTTTCTCTCCAGTATGTGTCCTTTTATGTATTCGGAGACTACTTGGACATACAAAGGCTTTACCACAATGATTACATTCATAGGGTTTCTCTCCAGTATGTCTTCTTTCATGTATTTGAAGTCTACTTTGACAAACAAAGGCTTTACCACAATGATTACATTCATAGGGTTTCTCTCCAGTATATGTTTCTTTATGTATTTGGAGACTACTATGACATGCAAAGGCATCACCACATTGAATACCTTCACTGGGTTTCTGTCCAATATGAATTCTTTCCTTTCTCTGAAGATGAATATGATATGCAAAGGCTTTAACACATTGATCATATTCAGAAGGTTTCTCTCCAGTATGACTTCTTTCATGCCTGCAAGGATAATTGGCATCTATAAAACCTTTACCACAACACTGTTGAACCTTTAGATCTGTATGAAGTAATCTTACAATTTGTTGTAATAGTAAAGAGTAATAAGATCATAAGCTTTCATCACTTTATTTACACTCATGCTATTCCCTTTCATTAAGTATTGTTTTGCATATTTGAAGATGACTGTGATGTTAAGAGCCTTTATTACCTGGCTCACATTTATAGCAACTTTTTTCTCTATGGGAGTTTTCACATATTTGAAGAGAACTGGAAGGATTCAGCCTTTACACCACTTATTCCATTGACAACTTTTCCTATATTATCAGCCATACTACATTTTCAAAGAAAGCCAGGACATACATAAGTATTTGTGCATTCCTATTACTCATGGGGTTTTTATTCATTATGGGTTTGTTGATATATTAACAATGAAGCTGGAAAAATAATCACTTGTAAACTTGAATCATGTTCAACAAATCTACTCAACATGGGGACTACTACATATCCTCTAATTGTTCTGAGATGGAGAGAGCTATATTGCTTCTTTCCATATCACTATATTCATATAGCTTATATCCAGAGGGCACATGATATACTTATTAAAGGAAGAATAACAAATAAAAGTTTTCACATTGCATTAACAGTTTGACTTTTTATTCCTCATATACTTATGGTATAGGGATTAAAGTTTCTCCATAACACTCCTTGCTTAAATGTTGACTCTAACTATCCATCTCACTAAACTTAGCAAATACAGAACAACTATATTAGCAACACTTAGTTCTACTATGGATTATTTGCTTATTAGAAGGTTTTGGACATACACTTATGATCTATTCAATGTATATACCTGTTATAATATGAGTAGTATGAAAGTAAATGAATTGGTAATTCTACAGTATAGCTCTGATGAAGCTATGATTCAAATGATGATATCTGTTAAGGTATTGATTCCTTGTCTTCCTTCTTAAAACAATGACTTGCAAACACAATTCACTTACCTGCCATTGAGGTATACAGTTTTGTGAGAATTTAATGATCATCAAAGCAATTAAGCTATGATTATTTACACTGATGCTTTTCTTTGAAACCTACAGATACATTAAAATATCTTCAGAGGAATATCTGTGTTAGGATACACATGAAAATTACCTTCCATGTCTTCGAGAACTTTGACAATGTTCCTCAATATTATGATCTTCCCATTTGTATCCTAAAATATAGTACCAGAAAATGTATGATATATTATTTGAACTTGTGTAAAATTTAAGTTACTATCTTCAGCGATCCTTAGAACCATGCCTAATTTATTCATATCATTCTTCATCATTCTCAACCCAAATTATAGAATAGCATCAATAACCAAGAAATAGTTGAACCATTATTTTAGAACGTGAAGGAAACACAGTATTACCTATAGCTGTGAGGTTCGTATACGTCTCCAGCATCACATCTTTGTAGAGTTTCTTCTGGGAAGGATCCAGCAAAGCCCACTCTTCACGAGTGAAGCTGACATGCACATCATTATAGGTCACTGCATCCTAAAATACACCACACATGTATAAAACAAAAAGCATAATACTGACTACATTGTAAATGTATACTTCTTTGACAATATAATCAAATAATTCTAGTACTTCCCACGCTTATTTTAGGACATAGACATTATAATATAATCATGAAATCACTTTACAAGGAAACTGGATAGGAGGTTTACCTCTATCATTTCTGAATGCTTTGAATGGTATATCACCTTGCAAGAGAAATGCCTATTAACAGACACAGAGAGACATATCAACAGTGCTGAGTACACATCAGAAAAATTTTGTGAACAATTAATAACTACAAAAAAATATAAGCAAGGTGGATATATTGGCTCATGTCTTTACACTCAGCACTCAGAAGGCAGAGGTAGGTATTTCTGCCTCTGACTTTAATGCTAGCCTAGTATATGCAATCATTTCCAGGGCACCAAGAAGCAAATATTAAAAACCAGTCTCCCCTACAAAAATCAAACAAACAAAAACATAGGAAGAACCCATTTTTTTTTTTTTTACTGAAATTCCTACAAAGAGTTATACATTCACTTCAGTTCTGTATTCACCTTCCAGAAACCTCAAGTGCTCCAGTTTAAATTGTAACTTTAAAAAATATTGCTAAACCGAATGATGCATCTAAGCAGTTACAAATAGACAGATGAAAACAAAAGCAATATAAATGTTGATCATAAACACCACAGGGCAGGAGAGATAGCTCAAAAGTTAATAGCTCTTACTGGTCCTGCATATGCGTAAGCTCAATTCCAGTACTTACATGGGGAATCACACCTATCCATTATTCCACAGTCATGGGTTCTAAGACCATCTTTTGAATACTGTGAGGACCAGGGAGACATACGCGTGATGCATACCCATGTATAAAAGCAAAAGAATCATAATATTCATTTAAAAGATTAAAACAAACACAAGCAGGAACAATGTCACACACCTGTAATCCAATAACTCTGAAGGACCAGGCCATATTTATGTCATGAATACTGACACTCAAGGAAAGAGAATGATACCCTCTGCCAAATTTCAAAATTCAAGCTAGGGATGAAGATCAACAAAACAGTATATGCTTGACATGTACAAAAAATCTATACTCTAGGCCCATCACCAAATAATATACATTAAAAAAATAAATAAAAACAAAAAAAAACAGGAATGTTGGCTCACCCTTAATCCCAGCATTTGGGAGCAAGAGTCAGATAAATCTCTGAGTTCAAGGTCAGGCTGGTCTGTAGATCAACTTTCAAGACAGCCAGGGCTATTCACACAAACCTTGTTTTCAGAAACAAAAATTAAAAAAAAAAATTTAAATCAGGCTGGCAAAGTAGTTTAGCATTGAATTGCTTTATTGTATCTTATGTGATTTACTAATAATATCTATAATGGTGGTGAAATCATGACAGCTCAAGAAAGAAGCTGGCTGATTAATTTTAACGACAACACAGTAGAAAGGACAGGAAATGGGTTGAGGCTATATGTAAAATCCCAACACAATGATGAATTCCATCCATAAAGGTTACTCCTAATAAAGGTTCCACAGGCACCAAGGAAAAACACATGTGCAAATACATCATCCTATCTGGGAGCTTTTCATTCAATAAAGTAGACCCTGACCCAGGTCAATACAGTTATCCATAAAGAAAATGTTCCTTATTCTATGATCCTCATAGTCTGAAAAAGCCCCTATACTGTTCAAATTTCCAAAGTATCTTCTGATATTCAAGACAATCTCTTGACTGTGGCATCTTGTAAAATCAGAAAACAAGTTAAATCTTTCCAACATACAAAGGCACAGAATACCTATTCCCACTCCAAAGGAGAGGAATTGAAATATGGTGAAGGAAGATTGGAACAAGGCAACACTGAAATCCAGCAGTGTAACCATCAAATCCAGGAGCTCTGTGTCAGACACATGGGATTCACTTTCAAAGGGCTTAGATGTCGCTATCCCCATGACTTCACAAACAACAGTCTCTTTGGTTACTTCCATTCCATACATGCAGTTCTCCAAGGAAGATGTCTCATGGATTAAGTATCTGAAAATCTTATGGTCTCAAAATATAACCCATGCAATGAACTCTCATATCCACCTCACTGGAGCTCTGACTCCATCAAAACACAGATGCCTACAACAGTGCTACACTGAAACCACAGACTAAGAATTCATGACCTTAAATTTTGCATCTTTCTTGTTTCCAGAACCAATACAACATTGATGATTCCCCCACATTTGGTTTCTAAATTGTGATGGACACTGCCCATGCTTGGACCCGAGACTCAGCAGGCTTTGTACAAAGTTGCTTTCTGGGAATAGAAATCACTGTACTAAACATTCCATTAACTAATGGCGTAAAAGAATCGATTCTTACCCTTTGAGCATCTTGCTAGGCTTTCAATGTAGAACAAGGGTCTTCTCTTTCATAGTGATAATCTCCCTGAAAATTCCTGCATCTCTTCAGCACTTGACTACCATCTGAAACTACCTAGTACTGATTTTCTCTACAACCCACAGACTTTTCATTTATTTATGACCCACTTGTTCCTTCAATAGCTATACAAAGGAGTCAATATTCCATCTAAGAAATCATCCCATTACTTTTTAGTTCTGCCTTACTCAATTTGGGCATAATAAGAAATTTTAAGAGCCAAAATATCACACAAATCACCTCTAGCTTAATTTATCATGGAGTCTATTTCCCACTGAAATCATATGCTTGGGCATCCACTGTCTACCATTACTCTCAACATCCCCATCTTCCACATCCCTGAAAAACAGCTTTGTGTACAGGTTTCTATGACTTTTTCCATACAAAGTCCTGATATCGTCCACATTCTTCAAAAAGATATCATTCCCAAGTTCTGGCCAACAACAAAAATCACATTTAGTGTACCATTTCTGTTCTAACTTGCTTCTCTGGTATTGTGATTTAATTCTCTAACCAAAAGCATCTCAGGTAATGAACAGGTTTATCTGGCCCATTCTGTCAGATCACAATCCATCATTTTGGGAACTTAGGATAGAAATTCAAGCCAAGTTCCAGGGCAGCCTCCAAAGCCACAAGGAAACAGTCTCAGAAAAAAAAAGAAAGAAAAAAAAAAAAAAAAAAAAAAACTCTTTGCCAAACATTGGTGGCACACTCCTTTAATCACAGCACTAGGAAGGCCGAGGCAGGTGGATCTCGGTGAGTTCGAGTCCAGTCTGATCTACAAAGCTAGTACCAGGACAGGCTCCAAAGCAATACAGAGAAACCCTGTCTCAAAAAAAAAAAAAAAAAAGATGTTAAATAAGTGATCCCTGGGAACCTGATTAATCAGTATTAAGATGTTGGGTATGTGATCAAGTAAGCTGCCCAAAGTCCTTCCCCACTATCTGTTATCCAAGACCCAATACTCAGGGTTGACCTTAGGGCAGCAACAGAACTCCAGCTGCAGCTTCTCCTCCCCCTGTCCATGTCTCCTGTGGAGTTCACAGACCATCCTCACCTGCCTCTCCCTTCTCACCTCATATCTGTGTCCCAGTACCCAACTGGGGCAGACACCCACTGCTCAAATATTTGTCACATCTGCCAGAAGACCAGTTAGGCTGTCCACATATCTAATATATTATCTCTTACCCTACACCTGGTTTTCACAGTTAGTTGCCTATCACTGGAGTAGAACACCAGAGACAACTTCCCCTCCAACCTCTCCATGACTCCTGTGGATCCCTAAGACTGTCTCCCGCTGGCCTTGCCTTCCCCTAGTTTCCAAATCAGCAAGCATTCTCCATTGAACACAACAGCCAAGAAGGCCAGGAAAAAGGCAACATTCACCAAATACATGCTTTGAAACCTCATAGAACAGACACCAAGGAACCAAACTCCCATACAACCAAGATCCAGTCAGAAACCAACACCTAGACCTATAATCACACCAAACCCAGATGCCTAGCCTAGGACATAATCAGTAACAGCCAGGGCAATATGTCATCACTAGAGCCCAGCTAGCCTACCAAAGCAGACCATGAATATTCTAACATAGCTGAAATACATGAAAAAGACCATAAAACCAACTATATGTGGGTGAAAAATAAGCATTCACTTACAACTGAAAATCTAAATAATCCAAATAAAAAATGAGATATGGATCTAAGGAAAGAATTTTCAACAGAGGAATGTCAAATAGCTGAAAAACACTTAAATGTTAAACATCATTAGTCACCAGCAAAATCCAAATCAAAACTACTTCTAGATTCCATCTTACACCTCTAAGAATGGCTATATGAAAAACCCAAGAGACAACTTATGCTGGTAAGGATGTGGAACAAGGGAAAAATACCTCCAACTGCTGGTAGGAGTCACTATGAAAATCAGTATCATGGTTCCTCAATAAACCAGGAATCTATCTACCTCAAGACCTATCTATACCACTCTTGGGCATATACCCAAAGGATGATCCATCCTACCACATGACATGGACTCTTGCCCAACTATGTTAATTGAGGCTTTATTAATAATAGCAAGAAACTAGAAATAGCCAAGATGTCCCCAAACTGAAGAATTAATTTTTTAAAAAGTGGTACATTTACACAATATAATATTACTCAACTGTTAAAGCAATAACATCCTGAAAAAAATTGATTACCTCACTACTCAGTGCTAATGTCAACTACTATCAAAGCAGGAAAGTAGAACTCCTTCCTGCCCCTCCCTTTCTGTGCTGTGACTACACCTGTTTTACAGTTGGTCAGTGAACTCAATTCTTATACAGATCCCTCTTCATTTCTAAGTTACCAATAAAATCAGAGCAATTGGAGGACACTTATTCACTATTATATTCTTCATTCTCACCTATCAGTCAAGGCCCAGCCTGGAAAAAGTTGCATGATTGTCCTCCCAAGACCAGACAGCAGAATCAGGACTAAATTTTCAAAGCAATTCAGTTTGTAATTCAATTACCTAAGTGTAAGGCAAGCCTCAGCTACAGAGACTTTAATCTAAACCAATAGTTATCAAGTTTCTTAATGTTGTGATTCATTAATATAGTTCTTCACATTCTGGTGAGCCCCCAACAACTATAAAATTATTTACACTACCTCATAACTATAATTTTGCTGTTATGAATCATAATATAAATGTCTGTATTTTCTGATTGTACATATCTGTGTAGGAGACTTCCCTAATTGGAAACTGAATACTGAGTATTTCAAGCTACGCTCCCTAAACTGTACACCCACTAATTATGTCTGTCTTCATGCACACGGAAGGAATTCATACATGCAGGGAAATTACACAGAGTCACTCACGCTGCCCCATCAGGCCCTTTCTTTATGATGGAGACCCCTCCTGCAGCTCACTACCTTACACTTCAGTCTGTGCGCTAGCTATTGTCGGCTACTCTGTTTCCCCCTGCAGTGTACACAGTACACAGCTCCTTCCTCTTCTGTCTGAAGGAAGAAGCAATGCTACACACACAAATCCTTTTCCTGTTCTGCAATGGGCAGTCAACTGTGTGACTCAAACTGGTAATTTTAGAACTCTGCAGTGCTGAAGACATGACATCCAACATTTAGGGTGGTTAGTCAGGAGGATAACAAGGGCAATGCCTTGTGGGGCTACAGACAGGGTTCAAGTCCACCTCAATCAACATAGGAAACTGCTTTTAAAAAAGACTGGAGATACAGCTGTTCGGTAATTATTATACCTTTATGGCACACCATGAGTTAATGTTGCTTGTGAGCCTGTAATGGTCCCTTGAGCAGCATTTAGAAGCAGGGGTTTTTTGTTTGTTTTTTGTTTTGTTTTTTTAATAGAGGGATGGGCCTTTCTGCTGGGTGTAAATCTGAATTGTCTCCTTTGTTATGGGAATGTAGTTGGTTAATCCTGGAGAATATTTACATCTTATCATACTAACCCCTAACGGGCAAGATTAGCATACTACTTAACTTTTGGGTATTACCTAAATTCTACTAAGTTCTTATACTATCTATTCTATTATCACAGTTTAGCAGTGGAGTGCTATTCTACATAGGAAATACTGTTTACAAGCTCCATAGAATTAACTCCAGATGGATCCTAAACTTAAATGTTAAATGTTCCAAGTACAGAGCTTCTGGAAGATACTACAGGGACCATGGCTCTCTAACTTTGGCAAATCTGTGTTCCATAGAGACAACATAAGCACCAAGTGTTACAATATGGCATGAGAGGGGCCTTAGCAGGTGCAAGAAGTTGAAAGACCATGGCAGGTGAAAGACAGAAGACAGACACGCTATACAAACAGTGCTCATGTGGAGGAGTTTTACTGATAGAAAGGGAATAGACAGGTGGAGGGGGGGGGGAAGAGACCAGCCCCTGGGAACAAGGAAAGCCGAAGAGAAAGAAGAAACAGGAGCAGAGATGAGTGGGGGACAGGGGGCCAGACAAGAATGGCTGGAGCTTGTCTCTTAAAGGGGCCTTTCGCGCCTGCGTACAGAGCCATATGCAGTCCCGCAGCAAATGACTGCAGGCTGAGTATTTGCTGGAATGCTGACAAGTGGAGGCGGGCCAGCAAAATGCCTGAATCCTAATATTAAAAGTGCTGGCTGGCATTTCACAGTGATGACAACAACAAGGATATTTCAAAGCACAGTCTTGCTCCTGGTGCTGTACCGGCAGAGTGAAGTCACTCAGAAGCTGCCAGCCAGTCCCAGAAACAGCAAAGAACATGCAGAACCACGCTGGACCACGTAGGACAAGGCAGAAACTCTGCATCTGGACTCGGGCTCCCACCACACTGGCTCCCGTGGCTCAACTGGTCGCTCCTCCTAGTCTGGGGACAGCAGTCCCTCGCTCACCATGTCGTGGTTTCCCAGCTCGCCCCTGCCCTTCTCTCAGTTCCCAGCAACAACACTCGCAGCACAGCATACAAATCCACTGGCACCAGCCTCCCTTCAAAGCTAAGACCGAAGACGGTGGCCGGAAGGGCCCAGCAACCACTTCTGACTGGCAGGTCGCCTGGAGGGCCTGATTGGCTAATGAGGCCTGAATGACGAGAGCACCTCCCTTTGAGTTACACCGTACTTAATGACGCGGCACAATAGTCCCTGAATCTGACTTCTACCCCACACAAAGACCTTTTCTACATCAGCCGAGATATGAATTTCAGTATCACTTGCTCCAATAGCAGACCCTGCTAGCTTCCCGCACTCCATAGGCACCTCCCCTTCTTCCTCCTGGGCACAACTTGACTAGTTAGTTTGTACAGCCCACTTTACTATGTGGGGTAGAGTGATTCCAGTCACAAAGGTGGAAGGGTGCCCAGAATATTAACAACTGAAGAGAGATTTAAAGACCCAAAAGGAGAGGTTCGTTCTGTTAACTTCACACTGAGGTCAGGTGAATAGAAGGTACTTTTTTACCTGATTGTCATCAGACAACCAGGAAAGAAAAGCAGGAACCAGATCACAAACATGATAAGAGGGTCTTTCTCCCATCAGAAAGCTGGATGACAGCTCCGTTGCTTTAAGAGGGTTTGTTGTTGTTGTTTTAATATTGTTTTTTCTTTTTTGTAGTTGTATTGTGATTTGTTTTTTGTTTTGTTTCGTTTTCTGAGACAGGGTTTCTCTGTTTTACAGACTGGCTGTCATGGAACTGGCTTTGTAGACCAGGGTGACCTTGAACTCACAGAGGTCCACCTACCTCTGCCACGACCGACCGCCCGGCTTGCTTTACGAGTTTCATTCTTGAAGTTTAGAGCAAACTGTTGGCAAATAAATAATAATAATAAGTAGTCTTCAAAGAAAGTTGAATACTTAGGCTGAAGAGATGGCTTACTGGTTAAGAATATTAGCTGAGTTCCCAGATGTCCTGCGTTCAACTCCCAGCAATCTCGTGATAGCTCACAACCATCTGTAATGACATCTGGTGCTCTCTTCTGGCCTTCAGGGATACATGCAGTCAGAACACTGTAGGCATAATAAATAAATAGGGTGGGGGGAAGCTGGGCAGTGGTGGCAACACCTTTTTGCTTCTGTCAAAACCACCATCAATTGGTTTACAGAATGTCTTATCCACTGGCGTAGTATTCCACACTGTGGTGATATATTATTTATGATTTATTAAAATTTGCCTGAAGATTCAGAAAGCAAAGTCATCCTCAAGCAGTAGAGGTCAGGCAGTGGTGATACACACCTTTAATCTCAGGATTCAGAAGATAAAGGTAGGCTTTGGACTAAAGAATTTAGGCTGATAAGAGATTATCAAGGTAATTCTTTGCCTTCAGGACATGCCTGCCTTTGCCATACCTTATACATAATACAGAAGGGAGGGGCATTCTTTTGGGATTATATTATAAAAAGAATTGTTTCTAGAAATGTTTCTACAGTTGTTTCTAGAAATTGTTTCTACAATCACTTTTCAAGTGACCTTGTCTGCCACAATTAAAACATTTGACTTTTTTATTTTTTTTAAACCTCTTGAAATTGCCTCTCCTATCCATGTATCATAATAATGGTCATGAATTTCAATATTAATTATATCTAGAATCCAATCTTCCAAAGGTGCTGATCTTGCTTTTAAAGGCCTAATTATCCTTTTGCATTGGGCATTAGTAATTTGAAAAGCCAATTCAATTATTTTTCTACCATCTGTGTCTGATATCATTCTATATACTACTAACGACAGTCTTTTCTAAGAAGTCCATGAATGCTTCCTTTAAGCACCGTATGACTTTTGTAAATGATTCAATTATCTTTCCTGCTTCTCCACTGCTGTCCCAAACATTCAAAGCTGCTGCACAGCATAAACTCAAAAGGTGATCATCATATAAACATTAACAAATTTGTCTCTACTATGTAAAATTTTATTATATGGGGAGGCCTTTATTTTATATATATTTTTAAAAAGCTTCAAATCTGGAATGTAACTTTCCATGTAACCCTTTTTCTGGGAAAATGATACCTTTATTTTTTATTTATTAATTTTTTGCTTTTTGAGACAAGGACTCTCTAATGTAGCCCTGGCTATCCTAAAATTCACTATATAGACTGGGTGAGCCTCAGATTCAAGATCCACCTGTATCTGCCTCCAGAGACTAGAATTAAAAGTGAGCCACAACACCCAGATTTCATTGATTTATTAAACTTACAGGGAGTACAAATCTCCATGACAGAACCAAGCACACTTGGTATGTTTATTATTCTTCATTCTTTCAACTTTTCTCTTCTCAGCTAAGATTTATATAACCAACTTGTGAAAGTTTTTGCAGCCTCATTACATATATGACTATTCTCCAATAGATTATGTCTGGAATATAACCTGGGCTCTCTGGTATACCAGCAGCACCTGTGAACAGAGTCTATAATTCACTTTATCACTTGGATGTCTGTCTTGTGAGTTTTCCGATGTATACGAAGTCCTGAATTCCAACAAAAAGATTTCCCACATTCAGAGCATTTCCAGGGTTTCTCTCGTGTATGAACTCTCTGATGTTCACTTAGAGAGGACTTCTGAGTGAAAGCTTTCTCACACTCATTACACTTAAAAGGTTTCTCTCCAGAATGAATTTTCTGGTGTATCTGAAGGGATGCCTTCCTGGAATAAGCTTTTTCACACTCGTTGCATTCATAAGGCTTCTCTGTTGAATGAGTTCTCTGGTGTATAATCAACTGTGATTTTCCATAGAAGGCTCGCTCACATATGCTACATTCATAGGGTCTTTCTCCTGTGTGAGTTCTCCTGTGTATAACAAGATATGACTTGCTGCTGAAAGACTTTCCACACTCACTGCAACCATAGGGTTTCTCCCCTGCATGAGCTCGCAAATGAGCTGTGAGCCGCTCCTTCCGGCCAAAGGCTTTGCCACACTGACTGCACTCATAAGTATTTTTTCCAGTGTGGACTCCCTGGTGTACAATGAATTGTGTTTTCACATTGAAAGTTTTCCCACAATCACTGCATTGATAAGGTTTCTCCCCAGTGTGCATTCTGGTGTGAACAAGGAGGTAGAACTTACTTCTAAATGCCTTCCCACATTCATTGCATTTATGTGGTTTCACTTCTGTGTGAGTTCTCTGATGGACAATGAATGGGGACTTCAAACTAAATGCTTTTCCACATTCATTGCACTCATAAGGTTTTACTCCTGTGTGACTTCTCTGGTGTAAAATAAGCTGAGATTTCCAACTATAGGATTTCCCACATTCACTGCAACAAAAGGGCTTCTCTCCTGTGTGAACTTCTTGGTGTACAATGAGCTGCGACCTAAAAGAAAAAACTTTACCACATTCACTACATAAGTAGGGCTTTTCTCCTGTGTGAACTCTCTGATGAGCATTAAGGTTTGACTTGGCACTGAAGGCTCGTTCACATTTTGTGCACTTGTACGGTCTCTCCCCTGTATGAATTCTGAAATGTACAACAAGCTGTGATTTACAACGAAAAGCTTTCCCACATTCATTACATATACAGTTTTTTTCCAAGCTACGATGTCTTTGATGCTTAAAGAAATAAGATTCTTTATAACTATGAAATCGATCAGGATTCTTTCTTACAGAAATTCTGCTTGAGCTCAAGTTTTCTACCACATGTGTTCCATGCGTGGTATGCTTATGGAGTCTCTGCCTTGAAGAAACATATGTTTTGTTCATAAAAAGTTTTCCAAACACATTACATGTATAGCTTCTCAGAACATTCTCATCTTGATTTTTCTGGCACCATTCCTTCCAGTCTTCTAGGAAGAAAAAAACAAAACAAAATAGTTCTGATTTGAGTACAAGCTGATCCTACATTCAAAGCAGCTGGACAAAACAGCCCTACAGACTACAGCCAGGATATCTGAATCTTCTTCGAATCCCCCAAGACAGCACCCCTTACCAGCAGGAAGTAGTTTGGAAAGAACGACGCCCAAATTCCCAAATATTATGTATAAATGTTTGTTTTCATTTAATTGGACTGTTATATAAAATTAAATAAAATTTTAAAAAATTAAAAAAAAAATAGTTCTGATTTTTAATTCTGATATAGAATTAAAGAGATCTGAAAAAGCATGCAGGGGCTGAGGCACATGGGTAGGACTCATTTAGGGAACATGAAGGCCTGGTTTACACCAACAGTACAACATGGGGTGGGGGATCTCTTCCCTTTGGTAAGGGCCTATGACATTGTTTCAAAAGAAATATGAGCAAAGCATGGAGGTGATAGAAGTAAATAGCTATACACTGAATCACAAACCTAATTCCAGTACTCTAGAGGTAAAGGTAGGAGTATCTTAACATGTTCTACATAGGAAGCTCTAAGCCAACAAAGGCTACATAGTTGGGCTCTGTCTCAAAAGGCAAAAAAAGAAATTCTAGCTCCTTTTACAATCCTTGGTATGCCTAGAACAGATATCTTATCCCTTAACTATATTCAGAGCTTTACCCATACATGTCAGATGGTACCACAAATATCCAAAGAGATCCTGGACTTGAATCTAAATCATGGCCCCAAAATATGTACTGACTAAAGGATGTGCTCATATTTCATATCAACAAGAGTAGTTTTGAACACATGCAGATGAAAAGGCACTCTATCCTTAATATCCAAAAGTCTACCCCAAACCTATGTCCCCCAACCTCTGCACAGCAGTCCTGAATAGAAAAAGATATTCATCCTTCTCCTATTTAAATGGTCCGGTCAGGAAGGCATGGCCACCACCATAGGAGCCAATCTACCCTTTTACCATGGCAGGTTTGAATAGTATATGTAAATTTTTTTTTAAAATCCAAAATTGGGCATGGTGGCACAAGCCTGTAATCCCACCACTCGAGGGGTAGAGATAGGAGTGCTAGAATTCTTGACCACATGAGAACTAAAAGAGAGAGGAAAAGAGAGAGGGACAGAGGGTGGATAGGAGGGAGGGAGGAAGACAGGAAATGAATGTATGGGCAGATTTCTGGTTTCAAAAGAACTATAAACCACCGAATGGGAGCTTGCAAAAAGAAAAATGAGTTGGAGCTGGAGAGATGGCTCAATAGCTTAGAATACTTGCTGCATGCTGGGTGTTGGTGGTACACAACTTTAATCCCAGCAAATGGGAGGCAGAGGCAGGCGGTATCTGTGAGTTTGAGGCCAGGCTGGTCTACAGAGATAATTCCAGGACAGGCTCCAAACCCACAAAGAAACCATGTCTTGGGAAAAAAAAAAAAAAAAAAAAAAAAAAACACTTGCTGCTCTTACAGAGAACCCAGATTCATGATTCATTCCCAGCACCTACATGGCAGTAAGTGACTGTTAACTCTACTTTCAGGTAATCCAATGTCCTCTTCTGACCTCTAAAGGCACTGCATGCACATGGTACGCAAACAGGCAAGATTCCCACATACATAAAATAAAAAGAAGCCATGAGAGGTATCATTTACCTTTAATCCCAGCATGCAAGAGGATTTTTTGAGTTTGAGACTAACTTGGTCTACAGAGCAAGTTCCAGGCTAGCCATGGCTATACAGCAAAATATCGTCTCAAAAATAAATAGTAGGGCTCAAGAGATGGTTCAATGATTAAGAGAAATTTTTGCTCTTGCATAGGATCCAAGTTCCATTCCCAGTGCCCACATGGTGGCTCATAACCATCTGTAATTACAATCCCAAGAAATCCAATGCTCTCTTGTGATCTACTCAGGCACCAGGCATGCACATTATGCATATACATATAAACATGCAGGCAAAATATCATGCAAGCAAAAATAATCATCCACATAAAATTATAAAATAAATCTATTCTAAAAAAAAATAAAACTAAAAAGAAAGAAAAATGACTTGATTCAGAACTTCCTGCCATGTCTGTATGTGGTATCTGATACTGGGGATCCTGCTAAGCCGCTGAAAGTATAAGGGAAAATAACATTTTCTAGGACAATAAGAGGGTGCCAGGTGGAAGCCTACTTTTGATATCAGCAAAGTTCTGAAGAAGTCACTACATAGAACTGCTCTATGCAGACAACTGGTCATTTGAGGCTATACACTCTTACTATTTTACTTAGATTGCATCAGATAATTAAAATACCAGTGTATTTTCTCAGACTCATTATAAAATGGTTTCAAAAACAAATTTAGTGCAACAGTAAAAAAAGAAGCCAAGAGCTCCCAGATATGGTTAAGAATGTTAACTAGGTATGCAGTAATACTGTTTTAGACTGGATGACAAAAGAAGACAAGTGTTACAAGATAATCTTCAGGGGCTGGAAAGATGGCTCAGTGGTTAAGAGCACTGACTACTCTTCTAGAGGAACCCTGGTTCAATTACCAATACCCACATGGCAACTCACAACTGCCTGTAATGCCAAGATCTGACACCCTCACACAGACATACATCAGGAAAAAGGCCAATGCACATTTAAAAAAAAAACAAAAAAAAAATTAAAAAAAAAAAGAAGATAATCTTCAAAGAACAAAATACCAACAGAAACAGAAATAGTGGAAATAGTCACAAAGTAAAAGATACAAATACAAAAGAAGCTTACAGAGTTCAAGATACAGGATTGGCTATGCAACCACAGTAGTCATAGTAAAAAATAAAAAACCTAGTATTGGTGGCATATGCCTTTAATCCCAGCACTCAGGAGGCCGAGGCAGGTGGATCTCTGTGAGTTCCAGGCCAGCCTGCTCTACTGAGCAAGTTCTAGTACAGCCTCCGAAAAAACAACAACAACCAAAAATGAAAAACATGAAGAATGATATCCTGGTTACTCTTGTTAGCAAGACACAGTGCAGACTCATCTAAGAGAAGCCTCAAACTAAGAAACTGCCTTTATCTTATTAGTCTATGGGCATGTCTATGAGGTTTTTTTCTGATTATTAATTGATAAAGATAGGACCACCCCACTGTAGACAGTACTTTTACTTGGGTATGTGGTTCTGGACTATACAAGAAAGCTTATGAGCAAGCCAGAAAGCAGCAGTCTCTTAAGGATTCTGCTTTGAGTTTTTATTGAAGTTCCTGCCCTGGTTTTGCTCAACGATAGACTGAGACCTGGAAATGTAAACCAAATAAACCCTTTCCTCCTAGAGCTGTTTTTGGCCAGTATTTTATCATAACAGAATGAAACTAGAACAAATAGTGACTTTAGTCCTAAGACTTTCCCCTTTTATGATACCAGATTGAAGTCTGGAAAAAACAAAAACACAAAAAACAAAACTCAACTCTCCTACACATAAAACCCAGGATCAAATGCAGGAGAAAAAGGGAGGAATATGTGAATTTTAGTTTTATAATAATAAGAAGAAACAAATTTTCAGAATGAAAGAGCATTTCCATAACTACAAAACAGAGAAGAATAACTAAACTTGGGGAGTAAACCTTAGTAGATAACCAGCAAGAGAAGGCGTCACTCAATGATACGCATGAGGAAAAGATATGCACCCATGGGTAAGGTTTGTTTTTTATTTGTTTGTTTATTTTTATTTAGTTAGTTTTGGTTTTTCAAAACAGAGTTTCTCTGTGGCTTTGGAGGCTGTTCTGAAACTAGCTCTTATAGCCTGTCTGGCCTCAAACTCATGATCTTCTTTGCCTCTGCCTCCTTCAGCAAATCATACTGGCATGCACCACCACAACTGGCCCATGAGTAAAGTCTTAAGTAATTTAACTGTCAAAGGCAGAAGAGAAAGTTTTAAAAGGAGAAGAGGAGCGAAAGTTACATTAAATGAGAGGAAGAAATTCTCTCAAGGCACAATTGCCCACTGAAAGGAAGGAGACTAATTCAGAAGACAGACTCTGGACAGAGTTCAGGGAAAAGGAACATACCAACTTCTCAGAGCTGAAAGGGGAACGAGAACCCAACATTCTAGGTGAGAACTGAGTGCTTGACTCGAGAAACTCATAATCTCATCCCGAGTCAGCTGCATCACTTTGAGAATTTTTAGGAGTTTCTAGATACACCACGATAACAGAATCAAACACCTCAGGAACAGCCAATTTACTTCCATACCTACTATCTTCTTGGTCCTTAATCACCTACCTGGACAGCTCTGGGTGGACATTTTGGCATTTATTATCCATGGTTCTTTTCCTTGCTCCAACTTGAAGATTAAATCAGGTTTGGACCCAAGATAGCCTGTTAATATAACACAAAGGATGCAGACCAAAACTGCTAAGAGTAAACTACAAAACAGAAGAACAATTTTAAAAAAGAAGACCAAATATTCACCAAGAACATTTACCTCTTTAAAGTTCAAATTCATAATCATCAGTCACTTCAGAGATCTCAGTTAGGTAAACAAAAGGAAAAGAAATGGAGGTTATGACTTGCAGGTGAGTAAAACATAGGTGTTGGACTCACCCACTGACAACAGGTTGCTGTAGTTCTCCAGAGTCACCTCTCTATATAGGTGCTGTTGTGCAGAGTCCAATAGCTGCCATTCTTCACAAGATAGCTCCACAGACACATCCTTAAATGACAATAACCCCTGTAAGAATACACACTCTGTTAAGTAGATGTACTCACAGCAGGTAGCATGGGGAGAATGCAGAAAACTCAAAAAGAAAACCTATTCCTCTCCAGATCGTCTCTTGTGCCAGATCCATCATCTAATTTTTAAAAGAGTAGAAAATTGGCCATGGTCGAGCACTGGTGACACATGCCTTTAATCCCAGCACTTGGGAGGCAGAGGCAAGTAGATCTCTGAGAGTTTGAGGCTAGCATGGTCTACAGAGTGAGTTCCAAAAGCTCAAAAGCTACAAAGAGAAACCCTGTCCAAAAAGGAAGAAAGAAAGAAAAACAAAAAGAAAATTGGGCCTGAAGTCTTTTGTTTTGTTTTGTCTTGTACACTGCCATGTGGCTGCTGGGAATAGAACCCGGGGCTTCTGGAACAGCAGACAGTGCTCTTAACCACTGAAGACATAGCTCAGTATTAGAGAACACTTGCTGAAGTTTGTATCATAGTAATCAAATAACAAGTGATGCATCCCCAAATGTCTGCAACTCCAGCTGTGAGAGATCCAGCACCCTCTTCAGGCCTCTGTAAACACCAGGCACACACATGGTACATAGACACACACATGTGTAAGCAAAACATCTAAACACATAAAATAAAATTTAAATAAAAAAATCATTCAGCCAATAATAAAAGTACCAAGCAATCTTTGGGATTCTGTGATCTCAGGGTGAGTAAAATACAACTGTCACTGAGAAGTTTTCAGTCTTGTAGAGGGAAACAAGCACATAAACAAATACACAAATGCACCAAATGGACAGAACAATTCTCAGTAAGCACAAAGACTCCGCTCCACTGAGAGTCATCTAAATGGTTCACCCAGAGTAATGGGATGAAAAGAGAATTCAGGAGGTGATCAGGATGAGGTTCCCTTGGCAACAAGGAGGGGAAGCCACAGTGAAAAACTGAAGGGTTCAGCCTCCTACTTCAGGAACCTGAAGGTAACTGGACTGTACAGAAACCCAGACTACACTGGAGTAAGACAGAAGAGGGCTTTGTGCCTTCGGCTCTATCCTGTGTGGCTTTCCTGCCCCAGTAATCCAAGCCTATGAGAACAGCAGTCATGATATACAGGGCATGGGTCCTGGCAGGGGACAACAGAGAAACTCAGAAATGTCTCTTTTTACACAAGGTAAAAAGGTGTTGTCAATTATGGAAGAAAAAAAAATGTATATCCACTATACTACGATACAGCAAACATCACTTACAATACCGAACAGAATCTGGAATATTCAGGGACTGTGGCATCTCAGAAACAGAGGAAGGCTCTTATGATAAACAGGAAAGGAAGGAGAGGGGGGATGGAAAAACAAAGAAATTAAATATATATCAAGTAAACACTAAGTAATGAACACTGATAATCAGAACTTACACATGACAATTATAGTTTTATGACAGTGTAACAATGAGGAACTAAACTAAATGCATCTCATATGCAATCCATTTTACATGAAAGCCACTAACATAAGAGAAGCCCAGGCTTTGACAGTGCCACCCAGTTCCCCATTCCTGGGTCACCAAAACTTGCCAACTGCATAGAGAACCAGCTAATACTCTACTATGCTACCTGGCTGGTTTATATTGTCATTGACAAAAATCCAGAATAGTTTAAGACACAAACCTCTGGGCCTAGCTGTGAAGAATTATTTCAATTAGGTTGAGATAGGAAGACTCCCTTAACTATGGATGGAACCACAAGTTAGAATCCTGGACTGAATAAAAATGGGGAATTGAGCTGAGCTTTTTAAACACAAATGTAATGTATGACCAGCTGACTCAAGTTCCTGCCACCATGGAAGCCACCATAATGGACCACACCCACAAAATGTGAGCCAAAACAAGCTCTGACTACATGTATGTCTGCATGCACACCAGCAGAGGGCACCAGATCTCATTACAGATGGCTGTGAGCCACCATGCGGTTGCCGGGAATTGGGGAGTCACTGCTCTTAACTTGTGAGCCATCTCTCCAGCCCAAACTCTTCCTTTCTCAAGTTTCTTCTTGACAGGTATTTTGTCATAGCAATAAATCAAGTAACTAATATACTGGCTTTCCAAAATATATAACTTCAAAATTCAAACACTGACAAAATTATAAGATTTAATTCCATTCAGTAGCTCGGTGCATGCATGAGCTCTACCTCACCTCTCTGGCTTCTTCCAGGTAAGTGGAAACAGTTCAGAACCAAGGAGTCAAACCAGAGCAGTAGAGAGTAATAAGATTCTCATAAACCTTATGGTTAGTACATAAAAGGGTGGGAGGGAGGTCACTTTGATTTAGCATAATGTGAGTAATAATGAATTACTTCATCTGGTGCCCATCAAGGAAGCAGCAATCTATCCTAATCCCAAGAAATGTGGTTAGAACCCTGTTAAGAGTCAAGCATGGCATTGCATACCTTTAGTCCCCGCACTTGGCTGAGGCAGGAAAATCTCTGTGACCTCACCTATACAGAAAGTTCAAGTCAGAACTATACAGAAACTCAAATATACAAAAGGAATGTGAAGCCAGGCAGTGGTGGTGCACACCTTTAATCCCAGCACTAGGAAGGCAGTAGCAGGTGGAGCTTTGTGAGTTTGAGGCCAGTCATGGTCCCATGCTAACCCTGTCTCAAAATAATAGTCATAAAATTTAACATCGTGTTGAAAGGACCCGCTCAGGGTTCGGCAGGCAAAAGGCATTAAATGAATATGCATTTTCAAAACAAGCGAAAAGGGGCATGGCAAATTTACCCAATGAGCTCCTAAGAGTATGCATAAGGTCAGACGCAGAATGACTTCATTCACAAGAATTACCTTCAGACCACCTGCACCTGACAACAGTGTTCAAGTAAACCGAGGCGCGTTTCTGGATACGACTTAAAGAGTGAAGACGACCACCGACTGTATCCAGTCAGTTTGTTAAAAAAAAAAAAAAAGACCCTACGTACCCTGAACGAAGCCGACCGCGGTTCGGCGGTCATGGCTTCGAGCTACGGCCTCCCGGCTCGTATCAACAGAAAGAACTCCAGGTGTCGGACGAAGAGTTCTAGTCTCTCGGTAATTCTGAAGCGCAGAGTCGCCGGACAGCCAGGCTCCGGCCACGCCGGCCGTACAGGGCCGGGGTTCGGATACGGAGCGGGCTGGCTGCGGGCTCCAAAGCCAGCCGCCACCACCAGTCCCAGGTCCCCGACGCGAGCCAAGCGGCCCCACAAGCACACTCGGGAGCGAGAAGGGAGGAGGGAGGGAAGGGGAGCGGCGCACAGAGAAGCCGTCATTCCCTCGCTGGACATGCGCCCGAAAGGAAGCGGAGAGGCTGCTGCACACAGGCTCTCCGCACTCATCGGGAGACAGGACCTGGAGGATTTCTGTGAGCTTCAGGCCAGCCAAGACTACATAAGCAGATCCTGTCTCAAAAATACAAAAGAAACAAACAAAAAACCCACGCTGAAGACGCCTCTAAGACCAATAAAGGGACTTGGCCGCTTCGCTGAGCACAGACTTGATAAAATACACAGTTCAAGATGATGACTCAGCGCTTAAGAGCTCTGGCTGCGCCTCCAAAGGACACGAGTTTAGTTCCCCCCTCCCACAGGCTGGATCCCAGTCAACTCCATTCCCGGGGAAGCTGACCCAGTCCTATTCAAAAACATCATAGCCTGGGGGTTAGGGGGAAGGACAGGATGCTTTGCAATTCACTAGGTGACTTAGGGTTGTGAGTATTAGTGCATCAAATTAACAACAGTAGCTAGCTTCATTAAAGGAAAACCTACTGTGGATGTGGAGAAAAATAAACAAAAACACATGGAGGTGAACTCTGTCTAAAATGAATCAAAGTATGCAGATAATGTAAAGGAGTGCAATCTAAGGTTTTCAGTCTTAAAACGTTTTCATCCTGACTCTTAACTACTCTATGGATGTACAAAAGAACACTGTGAGCAAGACTTTTGAGAATTTCTGATAGAAACATTGTCCCCAAAGAGGTCTGAGGAGAACGTTTTCCCTTGTTGCATAAACAACTAACGTTTATGACAGTTATGAAGGCAGAAGTCCAAGATTAAAGAAATATTTGGTTCCTGATGAACGCTAGAAATAGTGGCAGTATTGAAATGTCTAATTTGGGTATAGAAACCCATTACATCAAGACATCAAGCCTTCTTAACCACTGAGACCTACCTCTACCAGCCCCTTGTGTGTGTGTGTGTGTGTGTGTGTGTGTGTGTGTGTGTGTGTGTGTGTGTGTTCTTGCATATGTGCGCAGTAAACCTGTGGGTTAAACTGAGGTTATTAGGGTTTGCTACAAGCTTTAACCTTGGTTCTCTGCTCCCTTCCCTTCTCCCCCCACAATCTCTTCCCTCCATTTCCCTTCCTTCTTTTTGTCCCTTCCCCCTCTTCCTCCCTTCTTTCTTTTTCTTCTTGTCCTATCTCAGGAAGTGAGGCATCTGATGCTTTCTGTAATTCTGTGGCCTCTCCATTGGGATTGTATTCAAGAACCAGAATGTGAGCTGGATCCTAGCACTCAGGAGGCAGAGGCAGGCAGATCTATGTGAGTTCAAAGCCAGCCTGGTCTACAGAGTTAGTTCCAGATCAGCTAGGGCTGTTACACAGAGAAACCCTGTGTCAAAAAAAAAAAAAAAAAACTGGGCTCATTTCCAGCCCAGTCTCTCTCCACTTCTTATTTTTCTTATTTTTTTAAGTTAATGATGAATTCTTCCTTTAAATCACCTAATTTGGGTGCTCTTCAAGAGAACCCAAGTTTAATTCCCAGCACCCTACAGCAGCTCACAGCTGTCTCAGGGGGATCCTGTCCTCTGCAGGCACTAAGCATGCACATGGTTCACAGACAAAGATGCAGGCAGAACACTGATACACATAAAAATAAACAAATAAATTTAAAAATAAAAACGTTTTTTAATATTCACCACTCTTCCCACTGTTCCCCTGGGGCAGACAGGGCTTTTCCTGTCTCCCTCTTCTCTTCTGTCCTCTCTGTCTCATGCCCCTGTGTCTCTTCACCCCTTTCCTCTTTCTTCCCCATTCTTTCCGTTCTAATAAAGCTTCTCACTTAAAAAAAAATCATCTTCTTCATGCCAGTGAGACAGATCAATGGGTGAAGGACCTTCCGATGAATTGGGCTCTATCTCAGAACCAGAGTTTGTCACAGATAGGAAGAAAGAATCAACTCCACAAAATTTTCTGCTAAACATACATGCACTCTGGCAGGCACCCTATTCCCTTCACCATACATGCACATGCTAATAAACAAATAGATAGAAATGTGAATCATCTGTTTCATGAAGAGACAGGATAGAAAGGGAAATTATGGGGACGTGAAAAAGGAAAGGAGCTCTTCAGCCTGGAGTCGGGTTGAAGTCTCACACCAGCTGAATATCAAGAATTCCAATTCAACATTTACTTAGGTTCCTTTCCCCATTTATAAACCTATGCTTTTCTAGTAATCTCATTAAAAACCCCATTTATGGTAAAAGATATGTCCTAAACTCCTTGTACAACTCTATCGGTTCTCAGTTTTATTTTATCAGATTGTAATCACACCCACAGTACCTCTGCCTCTGGAGCCAATTTATAATCTCAGTTATCATAAAAGGGGATGGAGATAGAGAAAGGGAAGTTTCCTAGTTTAACATCCTGAGTTTGTCATTTTCAGTTTTATTTCATTTTGGGTTTTTTTTTTTTTTTATTTTGTTTGCTTTGGTTTTTTCGAGACAGGGTTTCTCTGTGTAGCTTTGGAGTCTGTCCTGGAACTAGTTCTTGTAGACCAGGCTGGTCTCAAACTCAGAGATCCACCTGCCTCTGCCTCCTGAGTGCTGGAGTTAAAGGCGTGCACCACCATGCCAGGTTTTGGATTTTCTTTAGTGAGTCCGTTAAATTGATAAATTCCACTTTCATGTCTTGAATTGTTTTTATTATTTCATCAACTGTTTATATTTTATTTTTATATTACTTGTTTTATTTTTATTTTACATATCGATCCCAGTTTTCTCTCTCTCCCTCCCTCCCTCTCTCCCTCCCTCTTCCCTTCTATCCCACCCTCGCATGCACCCCAACCACCCTCCCCTCCCATCCCCCTCCCACTCCACATGTAGGGTGATGCCATCCAGGAGGGATCATCTAAATCTGTCAATTCATTTGGAATAGGGACTAGGACTTCTCTCCTGTCTCTAGGTTAAAGGAGTGTCTCTCCATGGGGGATGTGCCTCCAAAGTCCTTTTGTGCACCAGGAATACATCCTGGTTCCACTGTATGAGGTCCCTTAGACTGCTCAGGCCTTCTAGCTGAGACACATGTTCAGGGGGTCTGAGTCAGTCCCATGCTGGATTCCCAGCTATCAGTCTGGGGGCCGGTTAGCTCCTCCTTGTTCAGGTAAGCTGTCTCTGTGGGTTTCTGCAGCTTGTTCTTGTCCTCCCTCTCTGCATCTGGATTCCAGTTCAGCTCAGTGTTTAGTTGTGGGTGTTTGTTTCTGTTTTCATCAGCTACTAGATGAGGGCTCCATGATGGTGGATGTTAGTCGTTGATCTCATTATCAGGGAAGGGCATTTATGGTAGCCTTTCCACTGTTGCTCAAATTGTTAGTTGGGGTCAGTCTTGTAAGTCTTTGGGCATTTCTTTAGGTTGAGTTTTCTCTGAAAACCTATAATGGATCCCTCTTTTATTCTCTCTCTCTCTCTCTCTCTCTCTCTCTCTCTCTCTCTCTCTCTCTGTCTGTCTCCTTTCTTCTATTCCTCCCCAGTCTCAATCTTCCTAGTCCTACGTGCTTTCCTCTCCTCCCCTTCTCTTTCTCCTAGTTCCCTCTCCACTCTCTGCCCCCTCCCACTCCCCATATGCTCTGGAGAACTTGTCCCTTCCCCCTTCTGTGAGGGACTTTATTTGTATCTCTTAGAATCCTCCTTGTATCCTAGTTCCTCTGGCAGTATGAATTATAGGCGGGTGATCCTTTGCTCTATGTCTAAAATCCATATATGAGCAAGTACATACCATGTTCCTCTTTTTGTGACTGGGTTACCTCATTCAGGATGGTTTCTTCAAGTTCCATCCACTTGCCTGCGAATTTCAAGATTCCATTGTCTTCCCACCCCCACGCAGAGTAGTATTCCATTGTGTAGATGTGCCACATCTTCTTTATCCATTCTTCAGTTGAGAGGCATCTAGGTTGGTTCCAGGTTCTTGCTATCACAAATAATGCTGCTATGAGTGATGTGGATTATTTGGGTATATGCCTAAGAGGGGGATTGCCGGGTCCTGAGGAACTGCCATACTGATCTCCAAAATGGATGTACAAGTTTACACTCTCACCAGCAGTGGAGGAGTGTTCCCCTTTCTCCACATAAGTTGTCGTTGGTGTTTCTAATTTGATGGTATCTCAAAGTTGTTTTGATTTGCATTTCCCTGATAGCCAAGGATGTTGAGCACTTTCTTATCGGCCTCGACCATGACCACCGCACCTGAGACTGGTGCTGAAGCCTCCAGGGAAGCTGATGCGGCCTCCTAATCCTAGGCCCCCGGGTCCTCCGGGCCCTCCTGCTGCACCAGCATCATCCACCATTTGATGTTTTCCCGAAGTAGAAGAAGAACCTATATTTTTTTTTTTCTTTTTCTTTTTTTCTTTTTTTCTTTTTTTTTAGATTTATTCATTATGCGTACGGTGTTCTGCCTGCATGTATACCTACATGACAGAAGAGGGCGCCAGATCTCATTACAGATGGTTATGAGCCACCACGTGGTTGCTGGAAGAGCAGCCAGTGTTGTTAACTACTGAGCCATCTCTCCAGCCCAACCAACTGTTGGTGTTTTCATGGTCTTCATTACTTATGTATTCATATCCTCTTTAAGGTCCATAAACATATCCATAATTACAATTTTGAAGTCCTGGATTTGTGATTCAGGTAAACTGCTTTTTTGGTCACCTATTACAATAGAATTGTTGACTTCTGTAGGAGGTATATTGTCTTGGCTATTCAAGTTTGGTTTTTTTTTTGTTTGTTTGTTTGTTTGTTTTTTGTTTTTGTTTTGTTTTGTTTTTTGCACTGGGGTCTAGGCATGTGGATTTATGATGTTTGCAGTATTTCATGTTGTAGATCTCTGATCTAGTCTTTGTTGGATGGATGTTCCATTCTTCAGTTGCTGTTGCCTACTCTGGTTCCTAGCCAAATATGGTGGCTTTGGGGTTCTTGGTAGAGAGTGTTTCTGTGGGTCGATAGGTGTCACAAAGGGATGGAAATGGGATACAAGGAAAAGCTGAAAGGGGCATTGGGAAAGTACTAGGGGAAACCTTGCCAAGAGGTGGAGTCCCTAGGAAATGGAGGTGAGCTGAAAGAAGGGGCTCTGGAAGGTTCCTTGGGAACCCACTGAACAATGAAATGACAAAAGCTTCAAAAAAATCATATACACAGGGTGGGTAAGATGATTCATCAAATAAAGACAATTGCTAAGAAGCCTGATGCTCTGAGTCATCTGTCTCTGGGTACACGTGTGCTGTAGCACATGCATGCATGCATGCACATATACACACATGAAGAAAATAAATAAATATTGTGTTTTAAAATTCTTATATACAGGCCAGGAATTGGTGGCACTTGCCTTTAGTCCCAGCACTTGGGAGGCAGAGGCAGGCCAATTTCTGAGTTCGAGGCCAACCTAGCCTACAGAGTGAATTCTAGGACAGGCTCCAAAGCCAAACAGAGAAACCCTGTCTTGAAAAACAAAAACAAAAATCTTATATACAGTTACTACCAGGACCTTGAAAAGAGGTTCTTGGAGAAGCCCATACCTGCACTTCTGGTGTATGTTTCTTCATGAGTATCTTTTTCATTCTCTTATCCATCATTCTTAAAATCTCTATTAAAAATGTATTTTTCAAACTGTTAGTTGTGGACCCTGTGTGCAAAACTACCAACTTGAAAGGCTGTGCATGTTGTAATTTATTTTAAAATGCCTTGAAGAGAAGTCACCCCATACAACAGGGCTCACATGATAGATTTATTGGAAGAGAAGAGAGAAGGGGCAGAGGGGTGGAGGGTGGGGTCAGAGACTGGTCCCTGAGAACAAGAGCGGTAGAAGAGAGGGAAAGAGAGAGAGAAAGACAGGCCTTGCCCACCTTTTAAAGTTAAGCAGCAAATGTGCTCAGGTGGTGTTCTTAGTGGCTACAGTTGAGGAAGTATCCTGTCAGGACCCCAGGGGCAGGCAAGTAATACTAACAGTGCACACACCCGGGAAATAGTGAAAAGCCTGCCACAGGAATAACAACTTCCTTCTTATTGGATTCTAGGCCTGCCTCAAGAAAAAGAATTCAAGCAAGTAGTGTAACCCTAGTCAAAAGTCTGTGGCTTGGGCTGGTGAGATGTTCAGCAGTAAAGATCTTTATCATGCAAACCTAATGACCTGAGTTTGATCCCTGAAACTCAAGTGAAGGTAGAAAGAAACCAACTCGGGCTGGAGAGATGGCTCAGAGGTTAAGAGCACTTCCAGAGGACCTGAGTTCAATTCCCAGCAACCACATGGTGGCTTACAACCATCTATAATAAGATCTGGTGCTCTCTTCTGGTGTGCAGATGGAACACAGTATACATAATAAATAAATAAATTAAAAAAAAAGAAACTAACTCCACAAAGTTATTCTCACACATACTTCTGCATATATCATGAACACTCGCACTAATGATAATAAATACTAATAATATAAACAATAGTGTAAATTTTAAAAGCCTGTGACTACAGAGGTTTCACGTCTTCATGGGAGAATTTACTACTGTTGTTTGCTAAATAGACACAACATGCCTATCTATCAAATTGCCTTCCAAATAACTGTTAATGCTCCTTGATGACTGCTGCTTTGATTAGCAGCTGCTTTTTTACAGTGAGCAACAGAGACTCACGCATAATTGAACAGAGTATTAAGAATAGTAAGTTACAGTTGAACGTTTAGTCATGAAGGTGAAGTCTACATTAACCATTGTGAAGCACAGGGAATACTGTGAAAGATCAGACAGAGTGTAAGAGCTAGAAGAAAGAGGAGAGTGGTGCAGAACAGGGGCTTCTGGCCAGGGCACGACTGTTTCACTCTTGAACTAAAAGCAGCTGTAACTGAATCAGGGGAAAAAAAGAAATAAAAAAGGATGACATGGTTGCTCCTAGGTGTGGTGGAAGAGAAAGTTTATTGGAGATATGAGTGAGAGCATAGGCAGAAGCAGACACATCTGGGAGAGTCCAGTGTGAACTCGGGCCCAGGGCCAGGCCATATGAGGAGAAGGGGGAAGGGAGAGAGGAGACTCAGGAGACCAAGAGGTCAAAAGGGAAAAAAGGACTGGCATAGTAAAAATGGCTGGATTATATAGGGAGGAGCCAGGAGCTCAGTCCCTGGGCTGGACAGTTTAGGGTGGTGGGTGTGTTGTGTCAGCCATACCCTGTAACATGTAGGAACTGATATGCTGGGAGAACCTGACAGCCAGGTCTCCTTTGACCTTTAGCCGTTTTTCTGGTGTTTGAGACCTAACAGGAACTGTCTGCACAAGCTCTTCACACCATTGGATTCACGAAACGCATCACAGATGTGGGAAGAACATATGAGGTCCCACTCCCCTCTGAGGGTTTATGTACAATACAAGAGACTGGTAAAGTGCCCATGTTCCAGCAAACAACCCTTTACCCATGATCCTGTAAGTAAGTCTAAAAAAGGTCATTGGGTCATCTAAATAAATAAATAAATAAATAAATAAATAAATAAAATTACATAGGAGGGGACTAATTGGGAAGGACAGGGATCAATGGCAGTGAGGGACAAAAGTGGGAAAGGAAGGAATATGGTCAAAATACATGTATGAAAACGTTAAACCCATTATGTGTAGGTAATAAGATCTTTTTTTTTTTTTTTTTTTTTTGGTAAAATCTCACTCTACTTCATACTGGCTAATCATGAAATTAGAAACTAGGGGTCGAGTTTTACCAGAGATAAAGGCACTTCTCAGACTGTAACTGCAACTGTATCTGTGCCCCATCACTGCTGATAATTAGGCTTCAAATTCATTAGTATGGCGGATAGTGGTGACTCACGCCTTTAATCCAAGCACTCAGAAGGCAGAGGCAGGTGGATCTCTGTGAGTTCGAGGCCTCCCTAGTCTACAGAGCTAATTCCAGGTCATCCAGAGCTGTTACACAGAGAAAATCTGTCTTGAAAAACCAACCAAACAAACAAACCAAAAAACACATTAATATAAAGTTGAGTAAAATATTACTTCACTAACATTTATCTTCTATGTGCTCTTCTATTTCTTCATGATTGCCTCCCCCCCCCCCCGCTTTTCCAAGTCTTTTGGTAAAAACAACCTACTATGCTTTTGTTTTCTTAAAGTGGATGAATCATGTTTTGCTTTTAATACACTTTAACTTGTTGGTGTCTAATTTAAAAGTTGTTTTTTGTTTTGTTTTGTTTCGTTCCCCCCCCACCCCCGCCTTGTCTTCCATGCTGGCCTTGAACTTGCTGTGTGGGTGAGAATGATCTCGAGCCTCTAGTCTTTCTGCCTTTATATCCTCCGTGTTAAGATTACATGCTTAGATCAATTGTGCTTGCTCGGAATCAAACTCAGAGTTTCGTGCACGATAGGCATCACTCCACCAAATGAACTAAATCTCCGGCCCCAATTCAGTTAATTTTCGTCTTTCCAGAGCTGTATTTTAATTTCCTTTCATTCTCATTTATTTCCGTTCTTTTTTTTTTTTTTCAGTGCTACTAGGCTGTGAAAATTGAAACGTGACATAAGAGACCAGGGGACGGAAATAACGCCATCACCTCCTTGCAACGAAAAACAAGTACGCTGCATTGAGAGGCTTCTGGGACCGAAGCCCACCATTCAGTCTCCGCCACATTTGCGCCAGTGGAATTCTGGGAAACGTAGTCCTGTGTCGACACTTCCGCTATCTGGTCGCATCCTCCCTGAGGCTCTCAGGTCCACAGCGCTAGAGAAGAGGGTGAAAGGTGAGGTGGCAAGCGGGGAGCAAACTCTGCGTCCGTCATGGTCCTTGGCGACCCAAAAATGTGCAGGCACTGGTCGGAGCCAGAACGGAGCCCTTAGAAAGGCTCACGGCTCAAGCGCAGAGTGGGCGGGTTGCGGCCCTTGTCTTGGTTTGTGTTAAGGTGGGGCGGGGCCCTGGGCGTTCTGATGGGTTTAGAGCATCCTCAAGTGTGCTGGTGTGTAAGGAGCTTGGGTCCATGGGTGGAGGGGCCGGCGGGAGGGAGAGGGGAAGCGGGGTTGGCGGGAGGAGGAGAGTGTGGGGGAGGAGTCATTCATTACTGATGCTGCCACCCTGTCGGAGAGGGGACGCCAGAGGATTAGATGGCGGAGAATCTGTAAATGAACCATCCTGGTCGGAGAGAGTAGCTTTAGTCCATGAAGAACTAGTGGAATTCCCCAGACAAGTCCTTTGGTGGAAATGCTTTGTAGGTTTGTGTGCGGTGAGTCCTGGGCGGCAGGTATGTGCGATCTTTTGTCGTTGAACCTCAACAACAATGATGCGTCGTTTGGATGCCAGCGAGTATGGCGTTGTTTGGGGGTTGATTTACAAGGTTCAGTTGTGTCGTGATTTCATTAATTGGAAAGCATGTTGCTGTGAGGACATTAGAACCCTGTCTTGCTGAGAAACAGGAGAGGTTAAGAAATCTCTCACGTTTGTATTCCAGGAGAGGCTCATTGTAAAGAGGTCTCATCCGGGTACAATGTTGATAATGTCTGCTGCTCCTTTGTTAGCAATGACAAACCTGAACAGAAATCCTCTATTTTCATTCTTGCTTCAGACGATTAACCCAACAAAAGGGTTTTTAAACAAACTACTTAGATTTCTTTCCTTCCTTCAGTAAGTACTTGTGTGCATTAAATTTTTTTTCTTTTTTTCTTTTTTCTTTTTCTTTTTTAGTTTGTTATACTTACTTTAAGTGCTGTTCATGCTAGGTTTGTTCACTTGACCTGATAGGGTGACTATCTTTACTCTGAATTTTTTTAGTTGAGCCAGGGTTATTTTTCCTTTACAATTTATTTTATTTATGTGTCTGTTGTATTCGAGGGGGCAGCTGGAGTTATAGGCAATTGTGAACTACCCAATGTGGGTACTAAAATTTAAACTTGGGTCCTTTGGAAGAGAAGCAAGAGCTTTAACCAATGAACTATCTCTCCAGCCCAGAGCCAGGATTCTTAAGGATGGAGTATGATACAGACCTAGCCCAGATATGACCAGGAACAATGAGACATGCCAGGATGTCACACTTCATTCCCACTATTTGTGATATCTAATCTGAGGCTTTAAATTATCTGAATTTCTAGCAAGGGAAACCCAAGATTGACACCTCCAAACTAATGACATTAACTAAAATAACATATCTGCTATCTCCACAGGCTACTGCCCTCAGGCATAAAACAGTTCCTGTGAGACAAACAAAAGGAGGGATCAAGAATGAGAATGTGTTCTTAGGTTTCAGACTTTTGACCAGAGATTACTTTTTGGGATCAGGACAGAGAGAAGTCACAACATACTGAGTTTCTTCAGCATAAGAGAAGATGACTGCGTCAAAGGTGAGTTATTTGTTTGTGTATTATGGCAGTTTTTTTTTTCTCCATAGAAGTGATTCAGCGTACATGAATCTACATACAACAGGAAAAGTCTAACATTTAGACTCTAAATAGATTTGAATAATAATAAGAGAAAATACAAAACTATTTAATAGCTACTTAAGTGGGTGATCTAGTGAACAAAGTCCTAAATAGCAACCCTGCAATAACTATACATATTTCATTTCCCAGGACTGTTTCTTATAGAATTCCTTAATGTATGCTTAGGACATTAACTTAAAGAACTTGGACCACTGTTTTTTTTTTTTTGTTTTATTTTGTTTGTTGTTGTTGTTATTAGTTTTTGTTTTTTGGTTTTTCAAGACAGGGTTTCTCTGTGGCTTTGGAGGCTGGCCTGGAACTAGCTCTTGTAGACCAGGCTGGTTTCAAATTTACAGAGATCCAGCTGCCTCTGCCTCCTGAGTTGTGCCACCTGGCCAACCACTGTTTTATAGAAGCTAAGAAGGGAGATTATAGTTTTAGGAAGGAGAACTAGGTCATATAGCAGGTTGGTCATTATAGACTTTCATGTCATACTCATAGTCTCTCAATTGAATTTCTTCTGGGCTTTTTTGTTTGTTAGCTGTGTGTGTGTGTGTGTGTGTGTGTGTGTGTGTGTAACAGCCCTGGCTATCCTAGAACTTGCATGGTAGACCAGGCTTGCCTAGAACTAACAGATCCACCTGCATCTGCCTCCAAAATGCTGGCATTGAAGGGGTGTGCCACTGCTGCTAGGCTTTTTTGGGAGGAGAGAGGGGGTCAATTTTATAGACCTGGAATATAGAGTGGAACCTGCACAAGGTTTGGGAGTGGAGAAGTACTGAGTCCTTAATCAAATTGAAGACAAGTGTCCTAGGGAGATCTTGATGTGCTCCCATGGAAGACCTCAAAGAAACCAGGAAGAAAGCATCTGGGCTAGGAATGCATACAGTTGATATATATAATCCCACCATCTGGGATTCTGAGAGCAGGAAGATCAGAAGTTCCTGAATTTCATGACTTGAATGAGTTTTAGCAGTTGCTTTAATAGGAAATGATTGTTCAACTCAGGAAAAGAGCCAGGAGCTTCTGTTATGCATAGTTTTCCCCTAGCACTAATTTATGACTCCAGATTGTGGCCAGTAAGTTGGAGCTGATTTGAAGGCTTCTTCAGGCTGAGATATTATCAGTGAGATCAGAATACTCACAGAAGTTAGTACTAGATGGATATGCGAACTCAAAGTGTAAGAACAGATATTAATTATGCAATTATGCTAATAAGGATCCTTCCCCTGAGTTCTTAAACTGGTCTAGATCCTTTGTTTAGTGTGGATTTGTCTGTTTTTGCTTTGTTTTGTTTGAGAGAGGATCTTATTTAGATCAAGAACCATTACTATTATCCTTAGTAAAAGGATACCCCTTGTGCCTTCATGTAGCCTTAATCCTTGGATAATTCTGTTTTGAGAGAATATTTGAAAGGCAAGGTCAGCCAGGTGAAAGTGGTGCACATCTTTAATCCCAGCACTTGGGAGGCAAGGGCAGGCGGATCTCTGAGTTTGAGGCCAGCCTGGTCTATATGGTGAGTTATAAGACAGCCAAGACTATATAAAAAGATCCTGTTTCATAAAACAAAACAAAACCCAGAACAAAATCTACATCCTATTACAGATTCTAAAGTGACAACTTTAGAAAATCTTAATACATCATATATATATATATATACACACACACACACACACACACACACACACACGCATACACACACGCATACACATTTTGTTTATTGTTATTGTTGTGATGCTAGTGATAGGCTTTGGCACATGTTAGATAAGCATTCTGCCACTGAACTCCATCCCTACATATCTTATTAATGTCTTTCATTAATCCAAATACAAAGTTGTACCTTTGGTATTGCAACTTTAAGGCAAAAGATGCCCTGTTCTTGGGTCTTGCTCTAAATCTTTTCCTTTCTTCTGTGTCCTCTGGCCCATTGGTGCTAGCTTTTTAAACATTTACCTAAATTCAGTAAAAGTTGGCCTCTGACTACTCCAGGCTTTAGCTTTCACATTAAGAGCCCAGAATTGTCCCTGTCGTCATTCTCCCACAAACTGTGTTATATTCCTATATTCTTTCATAGCTTCTTTGGAATGTTACTTCCTCTGCCTTCTTTGCTTGTATTCTCTCTGAAGGTTTCCTGACCCCAGTGTCTCATACCTAATGCTTGCAACCTGTTTTATCCCATCCTCATGTATACTCGTTTATACTCACAATGCTTTATTTGCTAGTGATCTGAAAAAGATTCTCTGACATGACTTTTTTCTAGTCAACATTGTACTGTTCAATTCCTATAGAAACATTAGTTATTCCATATTTGCATTTTAGATGATACCAAAAAAGCTGCCTACTAGTTCTGAGATGAAAGAAGAGAGTGTCAGTGTATTCATGTGGCTTCATTTTGCCAGTGGCTTAGAGGTATGCCTAATGTTTAGTAGGCAGAAGCCAGGCATGCTGGAGATCATTCCTATGACTCATTCCTGCTTAGCTGAAAATAGTTCTCAAATACCAATGAAACCTTCTTTAAGAACTGCTTTACTTGTAAACACACACTTTTTCAATTCCTCATTAAATGGACTTGTATATAGATGTGTGAATTCATAATGGCAATTGATTTTGTGTTTGTGTGTGTGAGGGGGGCAATCTGTTTTGAAAATGGGTGTCAATATGTATAGATGTATAGACTTGATGTATAGACCACCACTGTCAGCCAGGGACAGTATTGCTATATAGCCAAGGCTAATTCTCCACCACAGCCTTCCTAGCACCTGGGATTACAGATGCAAATCACCACACCCAGCTCACTATTACACAGATTTTAATAACATATAGATTCTTCAAAGTATAATGTAATATTATTATATCATAGTGTTTATTCATCTCTGTGTGACTAATTGTCCCAACATTCAGTGTATAAGAAGAAACATTTATCTTTATAGTTTCTGTGGTTTATCAGATACTTACCTCTTTGGTTCTGGAACAGAGTCTTTTATAATACAATGTTCAGAAGGGCTGAGGTCATTCCAAGGTGAAGTAGGGAGATGATCTAGTTCATACACCCTCATAGGAATATTTGAGCCTTGTTTTCTTGCTGTATGTGGCTTTCTATAAGGTTACTTTACCATGAGATTTTCCCAGGGAGAGAAAGAACTTTCAAGAAGGAAGTTATGAAAAAAAATTTTAAAAAAATAATAAATAAATAAAAGAAAGAAGATATATTCTCTTATAGCTTAATCTGTGAAATAGCAGCCCATCACTTCCTCCCATAATGTCCTATAGTTGGTGAGGTCAGCTCACACTTGAAAGAGTATACATGACACCCATGGTGGGAATCAGAGATCACAGAGGCTGCCTGCTACACATAGAAAAGCAAGCCTGTATTCTGCAAGGCCTCCATAATCATCACTTCACATCAAACAGAGATTGTGCTTTTCAGATATCATTTGAGGATGTGGCTGTAGACTTCTCATGGGAGGAGTGGCAGCTGCTTAACCCTACTCAAAAGAACTTGTACAGAGATGTGATGTTGGAGAACTGCAGCAGCCTTGTCTTCTTGGGTGAGAATTTCCACTGTAATTTAGTGTGCACACAGTAACCATTCTTCTTATGTGTTTACTTATTTAGATATACATTTCAAACTTCTTCATTTCTATACCATGTCTATATATGTCGATTTTTTTTTTCAGTCTCTTAGTTTATGTCACAGTCTTTAAGGATTTTTCTTTAAGATTTATTTATTTTATGTGCATGTGTGTTTTGCATGAATGAATGTATTTGTACCACATACATGTTTGTTGCCCACAGATGTCAGAAGATATGGGTTGGATCCCCTGGAACTGGAGTTACAAATGGTTGTGAAACACCATGTGGGTGCTGGGAATTTAACCTATTCTTAACTGCTGAGCTATCTCTCCAGCTCCTATATTTCATGGTCTTATAAAGTTATTTATGTTTGAATCACTCAGTTGAAGCAATTGGTCTTAAATTCTCTGCTTCTAATTGACAGGTTATCAAACCACCAAACTTGAGGTAGCTTTCAAGCTGGACCAAGGAGAGTCATGGATAATGGAGAAAGGAATCCTAAGTCAAAACTTTTTAGGTGAGAAATAACGAGCATTATTAGAAAGGGTAAAAATTAGGTCTCAAGGGTTTTGAGAACAGATGAGTACATTTGAAGTGTTGTTCAACTGTAGTAGCAAAGGTCCCAGGGAAGAAAATACCTTTGTAATTAAATATTTGAGGGTATTATAGTTATAATAATTTGTGAGTAAAAAATTATAAAGGTCTGGAAATCATGATAAAACTTTGAATTTATCAGAATTTTAAAGATTATTAGATGTTAATGTTTTTAAGTCAGAATTACAAAGTGGACTGAAAGTAGTACTATTATTTTGGAAAAGTGGGTAGACTCGAGGATGCTGTATGCCAATATGTGGCAGAAACAAAGTGCAGAGATTTACATGTGCCCACACAATAGCAGCAACAGTCTAATTTTGTCAAACCAGTTTAAATGATTTTCAACTTAAGCAATTCTCAGCCATTTCAAGACTTGCTGGTTTGCCAGAAATGTCTTGTAACTGAGATCAGGTAAAGGTTTTGAAACACCTAAAGGAAAAGCAACTCAATAAATCTCAGATAACAATCACTGAGATTTATAAAAGATTATTTCAAAGCCTAGGTAGCATCACTCTTGAGTAAATGCCAGATACTGTGGCTCTTATAAATTTCCTACTACATTAAAATTTCATTTTCATGGTTTAGTATCCAAACAAATGCCTGTAGTTCTAGTATTTAGGAGGTTTAGTTAGGAGGATTTGAGTTTGAGGCCTGGGTGGGCTACATAGTAAAACTGTTTTCCAAAAACAAAAAGAAATTAGCCTTGTTAGTATACATTATTTGAGGGCTTACCTTCTCCCCAGGATAGTAAGGTGTATTTCAGAAGTTTTATATATTTGTAAATGTAATCATTGAGGATATTATACAGTGTGGTTCTTTTTTTTTCCCCTTTTTTAGAAATCTGGCTAGACAATTATTCTCAAGTATCTCCTCAAAATAAACAAGACAAGATTAAAAGAAAGGGGAGAGGCTATGGAAATGATATTTTGGAGGAAATACTCCAATCAAACGTGAACTCTGTTCGTTTAGAAATGATATTTCATAAATGTAGCTCATGTGAAAGAAGTCTAAAACATCCTTTAGAATTTAAAATTCCAAAAAGTAACTGTGAAAGAAAAAAAATTAAGGTCAGTAAGAAATTATTGTTTTGTCTAAAATCTGACAGAACCTATGGCAAAGTAAAACACAATGATTGTAATAAATGTACAAAAACTAGGAGTAAAGGGTCAGTGCTCTTTAGAAAGCATATAACAAAGTTAGGAGTCTATTTATGTTTGGAATGTGGTAAAGTTTTAAGCCAGAAATCACAGCTTACTAATCACCAGAGAAATCATATAAGAAAGAAGCCCTATCAGTACATTCGATGCGGGGAAACTTTTGCACAAAAGTCACTGCTCACTATTCACCAAAGGACTGACTCAGTAGAAAAACCATATGGTTGCAATCAGTGTCATAGGGTTTTCAGTAGTAAGTCAGTGTATATTCAGCATCAGAAAATTCATACTGGAGAGAAGACCTATGCTAGTAGTGTATGTGGAAAAGCCTTCAGCAAGAAGCAACAGCAAAAAAGACATGAGATAACTCATAAAATAAACAGACCTTATGTTTGCAGTGATTGTGGGAAAGCTTTCTCTCAGAAATTGAAACTTATCATTCATCAAAGAAGACATACAGGAGAAAAACCCTATAAATGTAGTGATTGTGGAAAAGCTTTCTTTTGGAATTCACACCTTATTATTCATCAGAGGTCTCATACAGGGAAGAAAACTTATGTATGTAGTGAATGTAAAAAAACCTTCAATGAGAACTCACTTCTCATTAGGCATCAAAGGGTTCACAGAGGAGAGAAACCATATGCATGCAGGAAATGTGATGAGGCCTTTGTTAGAAAGTCACAACTTATTGAACATAAGATGACCCATAAACGAGATAAGAAATATCAATGTTGTGATTGTGAACATGCCTTTTTAAAGAAATCAGAGCTAATAAGACATCAAAAAAGTCACTTAGAGAAACCTTATAGGTGTGATGAGTGTGGGAAAAGATTCTTTGGAAAGTCACAGCTCCTAACACATCAAAGAACTCACACTGGGGAGAAACCGTATAAATGCAATGAGTGTGGAAAGGCCTTTTCCCAGAAGTCAAGTGTGATATCACACCGGAGGACACATACAGGTGAGAAACCCTACAAATGCACTGAATGTGAGAAAACTTTCAGTGAAAAATCAAGCCTCATTCATCATCAGAGAACACATACTGGGGAAAAGCCCTTTGAATGTAACGACTGTGGGAAAGCATTTGCATGGAAGACACAACTCCTTCGACATCAGAGAATTCACACAGGGGAGAAACCCTTTGAATGCAATGAATGTGGGAAAGCATTTGTTCAAAAAGTACAGCTCATTAAGCATCAGAGAAATCATACAGGAGAGAAGACCTATAAATGCAGTGATTGTGGAAAAGCTTTCTTTGAGAAGACACAGCTTATGGTTCATCAGAGAATCCATACAGGAGAGAGACCATATAATTGTGGTGAATGTGGTAAATCTTTCACTAGAAAATCACATCTTTTGAGGCATCAGACAATTCATACAAGAGATAAGTGAAGTAATATAGGGGCAGTCAGTGTGGTACTAGATTTATCAGGAAGTTACAGTTTATCATATATCAAAGAAATCATATAATATAGAAGTCATCTAAGTGCAAGGAACTTGGATAGATGCTATCAGATGTTCCCTTAACACTTCTTGAGAATAAATAGAAGAGTCTCCTATCAAGACCATCAAGAAAAAAATTAGAAATTATAAATCACAAGAAAGAATTCAGAAAAAAGACTGTAGAGGTAGACAAAATGAAAAGTAGTTTTCCCATAAGATACAACTTATTTCACCTTGGATAACTTGTCAAGGTAATAATATTTTCAATACTACTAGAGATAGTGCTGGAGCCATTAGTCAGAAATCACAGGAAAAAAGCAACTATAGAAAGTGAGCCAAAGATCTCATCAGAAAAGGACAACCCATTGAGTATTAAAGAATGCTAAAAAAAAGTATAGTCTAAATAGTTCAAACTGATGATTTGAAGAGTGTAATTAGTGTGATGCTACTCAACTGATTTTGTGAGAAAGTTGTGTTCGTTGTACATAAATTACTACAAAAATCTGTTTTAAATAGCAAGTGTGTTTGTGAAGACATCTGCTTCTGCTGTGGAAGAGTAATCTCCCTTGTCTTAAACAGCTAGAAACTGTAAATATATGTGAAATATTTTTACTTTAATGTTTTTAATTGCCATCTAGAAGTTTTATGTATTTGTGGAGGTACAGTATGGATTTTAATGCACATCATATATAATATGTAATTATTGGATCTGTGGAATTGGTTTAACATATATTACTTCATATATTTATCATTTCTCTGTTAGGAATATTCAAAATCCTCTCTAATAGCTTTGTGTTGTTATTGAGACAGGGTCTCACTATGTATCCTTTCTGGCCTAGAGCTCTCTGTGTAGTCCAGACTGGCTTTGCACTTAGAGAGATATGCCTGCCTCTACTTCCCTAGTGCTAGGATTAAAGGCATGTACCACCATGCCTGGCTTTCATTACCTATTTTTAAATACTTCGGCAGTGGTGGCACACAACTTTAATCCCAGCAGTCATGAGGCAGAGGCAGGTAGATCTCTATGAGTTTGAGGCCAGCCTGGTCTACAAAGCTAGTTCCAGGACAGCCAGGGTTATACAGAAAAACTATCTGGAAAAACAAAAACAAAAAAGTCAGCTGGTATTCAAAGAAGTAAGACAGTGCTGCTGGGCATAGTTAGTGGCACATGCCTTTATTAAGTCCCAACACTTGAGATACAGAGGCTGGAGGAGCCCTGAGTGTTTGAGGCCAGCCTAGTCTGAAACTTTTAAATAACATTTATATATATATAACTTTGTAAAGATTCAAATGGGACTAATATTGATCAAAACATTATTGAAAGGATTTTTTAACACTTGGTAGAATTGAGCAGTTTAGATATTGAAAATAAACCAGTAAAGTTGATAAGTAAAAATAACAATTATTTCAATGATATACAAAAAAAAAGAAAACAAAGCAAACATTGCATTTGAAGGCTGGTGTATAAACTGGTTGATGTAGCATTTAGCTGGCATAAATGAGACACTGGTTCAGTTGCCTGTACTGCAAAATGAGAGAAAAAAGTATTGGCATCCAGTGAATCTCAGCACTTTGTCAGGTGGGACAAGAGGATAGTGACTGTGTCTCAAAAACTTAAAAATGTACAGAAGAGCTGAAAATGTTCCAAGTATGAACCATCTTAAAACAACTAAAAAGAATGAGATAATACACATGAAAAAAGAGCAGCAGCATATTAGCTGCTCCAAGATACACAAGTTAGAAGACGAAGGGGAAATATCAATGAAAACACATTAAAGTAATGCAGAGTAGGAATTTTGAATTAATAGGGGATAAAGAGGTCTGGGAATAGAGGCTCTGTGAGCAAATATAAACTTTTTAAGATTTAAAAAAAAAAAAAAAAATTGAGTTTAGGACCAAAGCATTTGTAACATATTTTAAGCTTCTAGGCTCTTAGAAGTTCAATATAGCATTTAAATGATAATAGTTTACCTATGACTGCATCATCTGAGTCAGTAACCTGTTCTTAAATTCTGGTGAGCTGCATTTGGAGCAACTGAAGAACAGGAAATGTATATGGTGGTGGTGGTTCTGTGTTGATTGTCCTTTACCTCTGTATAGTAACTCATAATCTGTCTTCTAGAGGCAAGTTTCCTGGGACTTCTTCCTAGGTTTGAACTGTGAGCACCATTAAGAAGTGACGTCTGTCCCATTCCTGTTTCTTTTTTGTGCCTTGGTTTTGGTACTTCTGTGTAGTTAGCAGCCTTTCTTATGTGGCTGAAACTCTCTAGCTTACAGCTAGCATATGTCTTCTGGCTTTTCAGATTTAATTCCCCTAAGTGCTTGCTCATCACTGGTTGGTTTCATTCTGTAAATAAACCTTTTACTAAATGTTCTTTTGTTGTTTTAGAACTTACTTATTAATTATAGATACAGTATTCTGCCTGCAGCCAGAAGAGGGCACCAGATCTTATTACAGATGGTTGTGAGCCACCACTTGGTTACTGGGAATTGAACTCAGGACCTCTGGAGGAACAACCACTGTTGCTCTTAACATCTGAGCCATCTCTTCAGCCCCAACTAAATGTTCTTTCAAATAATTTAAAGTTTTAAAAATATGTTTGAGCTTTTGATTGCCTACGTGTGTGTGTGTGTGTGTGTGTGTGTGTGTGTGTGTGTGTGTGTATTTGTGCACCAACTGCATGCTGGTGCCTGTGGAGGGTATAAGAGGGCATTAGATCCCCTGGAATGGGAGTTGCAGATTGTTGTGTTGTGTCCACCATGTGGATGTTGTGAATTAAATGTGGACCCACTGCAAGAGCTACAAGTGCTCTATACTGTCAAACCACCTCTTTCGTTTCTATTAAATGTTATTAAAGTTGATATTTTGACTGTGTCATTTGTTTTCTCTTGTTAAATGAACATTTACTAGTCATGAACATCTGTTATTAATACATGTTTTCATAGAAAGAACATAGATCGACATTTGTGAAAAATCTTACCAAATACTTTATTTCCTCTTTGTTTTAATAATTATGGACAAGAATACCTATGGTGAGCTTTCACATATGCCATAAAAAAAGATATTTTGAAGGTAAATTATTACAGGAGCTGCCACCATAGGTGTATCTTTCACTTACTAACCATGAAGTCATCTACAAGGAGTTAAGTAAACCTTCTTTCTCGTCAGTTCTCATCACCATAATCATGCCAAAAAGAAAAATAGCTCTTGTAAAACTAACCTAGAGCTGATTTAGACATGAAACAGTAAGTTGACTTGAAACAATCTACCAAAGAGGCCCTATGCAGGCAGCATCATGTCCTATTATTTCGTTCATATGAGTGTGGTGGTTCATTCCTGTAATTCAAGAAGTTGGGAGGTTGAATCAAGAGGATTGCCATAAATTCAAGGCAGCCTGGAATATATAGTGAGTTCCAGGCTTCCTTGAGTCTGCACTTTGAGATCCTGTCGGTAGGCCTATATGAATTAATTAAAGAATGTTACATCTCCATGGTGTCCCATTTTCTCCATCTGGCTTAGGAACATCATTGAAAAGTGAAATGAACTAATCTTCATTAGGCCACAAACAAGTTTTTCCTTCCAGTCTAATCTGGACTCTTGTTTGGTTGGTTTTGTTTTGTAATGATGCACAGATTAAGACATACAGGACAATGATAAAATATGGGTTATATATTTTATTCTGGGAGAAGTCACATGAAAAACCAATGAATGACCTACAAGTTTTTGCTCAAAGGATCCACACACACACTTCTGACTGGAACAGAGGGCTGGTGTCCAGGACCCCAGACCTAGCCTCCCACAGGTCATGTCCACACCTGTGTCCATGCTCCAATGGTTGTGATCAGTGCAACAGGTGTGGGCAGGATGGATTTCTCACTACAATTGACATCTCCCATCAGTTTTTTTTTTTTTAGATAGGGTTTCCAAGTGTAGCTTTGGAGACTGTCCTGGATCTAGCTCTTGTAAACCATAGACCAGACTAGTCTTGAACTCACAGAGATCCACCTGCTTCTGCTTCCTGAGTGCTGGGATTAAATGTGTGCAGCAGTACCACCTGGCCTAATCTGGATTCTTTTAAAAAAAAAAAAATTGTGCAATTTAAGTTTTGAGAAGACCATTGTGATGTTTCTGTCTGGAAAATCAAAGGAGGCACCATTCACACATCCATGTCTATGTAAATGTCTATATTACAAGTCTTGCCCTTAAGGAAGTAACAAATTAAATATTTGGTAAATAGGCATGATAGAATGCATCATTGTTGAAATACATATATATGTAATAGTAGGGCAATGATCCATTTACAGTGTTTTTCACAATCAGGAGTCTCTTGTGGCTTTCCTTATTTGTAACAATGTGAAGGGAGAGTTCACAGTATGATTAGTAAATTTTATTTATTTGGTGTTCTGTGCTACTTCTGGGACATCTAAACAACCTACAAAAAAGCTTGGGAGGCAATGTAACTTTGATGATTAGTTCAAAAGAATGAAATTCAATTAAGTCACACATAGAGTATGCTTTGCATTCAGCAGATACCATGCTTCACATCAACTTGACCTTAGTGCTTTGACCACTGTAAACTGCTGTCCACTGGGAGCAAAAAAAGTGAGGCTTTGATCATGGCTGAAAGCATGCCTGGGGGACCAGGTTCCAGCATTGTAGGGCTCAAAGGGAATTCATGGAGTCAGCACACTATGGCTTTTTTTATCTGAATGGGTAAGGGGAAAGATACACACTCTCTTCATGGTTTCATTCTTCTGTAGTTTTTTCTTTTTATTATGTTTTATTGTTCTTTAAAAGGGGTTAGGGTTTGGTTTTAAATCAGGCTGCATATCTTTCAAAAGTTTGACATCTCTCATGTAAAACTGGCTTCCACTAGCAATACTTCATAAATCCAAAAACGATTTTGATTTTGAGGGGAAAAAATCCAGTTCTGAGAACAATAACATTAATCTTATTTGAAACAAAATGAGGGCTGTTTTCTATTGATTTATCCAGCCTTCTCCCACACAGAACTAGGAGTGTAATTCTATACAGGCAGGAACTGATACTGATGGACACCTGCATGCCCACACCCTCACAGGAGCACACTTGCACAAATGCACACACACAAAAATTCTGAGCATGTCAAGTAGAAAAGGTTTTGCTGGTATTGATGAAAACCCCTGGAGTCTACAGTTGATCTAAGTTTAGAGGGTAGGATATTCTGATCTTGAGTTTATGTTAAAGCAATCTATTGTCATGTTCTGAAATAAGAGGACTTTGGATTGTATCATCATTTTTTACCTTAAAATTCTAGAAACACAGTCAAAAAACATTATTTTTTATTTTCTGGGATAAGGCAGGAAGCACTCCACAGATTCAAATTTATCAGAACAATTCCAGCAACAGTAAAGAGGCAGCTCATAAAGCTGCCAGCATCTTAGGTATCCTGCCTAGCTACATCCGGCATGTCCATTGGCTGGAACAGCTTTATTCATTAACCAATAAGAGAAACATATATTCACTGCATACAGAAGGACATTCCCCCATCATGCATGTATGTCTGCACCACCAAAGACCCTACAGAGTACTCAATGTGTTAGTACCAAAGTCCAAGACAAAATTCTGGATATGGCTCCTTTTCCCAAGGCAGTGACCTGGTAGCAAGTTGATAACATTGCATTAGGAAGGCAGCAGTATTTCCTTACTAGAAGGACAATATGGATATTGATTTGCCTTCTCTGTATGAAATGCATCTATCCAAAATATCATCTATAGACTCACTAATTCCACAACCATTGTATTCTATACATTGTTGCTTTTGATCAAGGAATTCACACAAAATGATGTGCACTCTGGCTCCAGAACATGGAATTCCTGGGTCTGGCGGAGCCGAGAACATTAATCTAATAGTTTTATTTTTATGATACAAGTACAGTAAGTATCATGCACCACATAGCAAGTTGGTTAATGATGGAACCAGTGGTGGCTCTGAAAGATTGCAATGAAACTTTATAATTCCTATTGTCTAGTATTAGTAACCTTTCATTTCTATGTTTAGACACACAAATATCATTGTATTACAAGTGCCTACAATGTTCAGTGCAGTAACATGCTATTTAGGTTTGTAGACTAGGAGCAATAGACAGCATATGTCCTAGTTATGTAATAGGATCTACCATCCAGGCTTTTGTCAATGTGATACTCAACAATGAAGTCATCTAGTGAAGCGTTTCTCTGAACACATGTAAGGCTAGGAATGACAATAAATGTTGAGTGCAAGTATAATCACTGTGCTGACTCCAATGATCCTAGAGGCAGCCACTGCTACTTCCATATCCTTTCAAAGATATTTGTAGAGATATGAAAAGTATTTCCACATATATTTACAAATATGTTTGTGTGTTTTCATTTTTAATCCAATTTTATTACTTTTTAAATGAATCATAGCCAAATTTATTTAAATTATCCAAACTTTATAGCAAACGTCAATTGCTTCTAAAAATTTATGTTGCCCTTTATATATAATGGTTACGGTGTCTTGCATTACTCATTTTTTTTTTCTTATTAATACAGTATTTATTTGTCTTCTCTCTGTCAAACCCTGAGCCAAACACTTTCCCCAGACTTCCTGGGGAGGTACAGGAAAAGGAACATACAGGGCAGACCAGACACGAAAGAACTATGGGAGGTGGAAGTGGAGACAGCTGCTTCACATGGCGAAGAGAATGAGAAAGGCCACCATCAGGCAGAAGAGCCCCATGGCTTCTGAGAGGGCAAAGCCCAGAATCGCGTAGGAGAAGAGCTGCTGCTTCAGAGAAGGGTTCCTGGCATAACCAATGATGAGGCTCCCAAAAACAGTTCCAATGCCAGCCCCAGAGCCAGCCTCCCCAACTGTAGCAGCCCCAGCCCCAATGAACTTGGCGGCTGTGTCAATGTCCCTGGAAATGACGCTGGTTTGGAAGCTGCGGCTAGGGATGAGTGAGGTCAGAGGACGAGGGGCTGCCAAGCTGCTGAAGCCCTCATCTGTCCAAGTCTGTGGTCGGTTCAACTCCACTGCAGACAGGGGACGACTCAGCAGCTGAGAGGTGCTCCTGATCAAGGAGCGGGTGGAGATGAACTTGGAGCAGGCATACATTTTCAGGGGTGAGGGGCCAAGGCAGGAGAGCTGCTCCCAGGGTAGAGAAGACAGAGAGGGCGCATTACTCATTTTTCTTCTTCTCTTTATAATTCTTTAGTAGAAGCCAGAAACTTGGGTTGTGCAGTTGGGATTTTATTACTTTTTTAAAGCTGTTCACCAGCAAAGACATTCCTCTGAGTGGCTAGAATACCACTACGTGGACTTGCCTCTCTGTCTTCAATGACTTCCTTCTTCCTGGACGTTGTTTTTGCCAATGTTTCATTTTCAGCAAGGGCCACAAATATGCTTATGCATCCTTCTTTGGGATACAACATGGAGATGACACAAGAGTCCAAGAAACAACGTGGAAAGATATCGCAAGTCTGCTCTCAGCCTCAGAGATCACTTACCCGTTTCTATTCTAAATGACACCTTAGTTGTGCTCCTTGCAAAGGGCTGGTACAGTGTACCAAAACTCTATTTTATAATCTGTTGTGTGAAAATAGCACCTTATCTCGCTACAGGTTAACTTGCAGGCGACGCTTAAAGGACTTTCCATTTTAGAAGTTACTCGGTCCTTTTTGCTTCAACATAACGTGACGTTCTCCACAGCTACTTCCGTGCTTTGCAGGAGAGTAAGTTGGCCTGCCAGCATCAAAGATGGCAACCAAATGCGCATCCTGTTGTGTGCGCATGCTCGGATCGCCCCGGCCCGCCCCCTCTGCATGGCTGTTCCTGGCACCGCTCTAGCCATCGCTCTCTGTGGGCACCGCCACCAGCCAATTGCGGGGCGTACCGCCCTAAACCCTCCCCCTTGCCTCCCGTGGATCAGCTGAGGGACCCGAGATGTCTGTTGACAGCGGTGGTGGCTGTGTGGCCGGTTCCGGGATCCGCGCAGGGCGGGGGGTAAGCTGGCTGGCGGGCGGGGTCCCGGCTGGGGAGAGGGGAGAGGGCGGCCGGGCGGCGGTGCTGAGTTTGTGAGTTGGGCCCTGAGCCAGCGTTTCCGGGTCTCTGTAGATGTGAGTCCCATGGAGCTACCCGGGAAAGACGAGCAGCAGCCACCTCAGGAGCCCTGGGGGAGGCTCCTTCGTCTAGGCGCGGAGGAGGACGAACCGCAAATCCTTCTGTGGAAACCCGAGTGGACCATCGGAAGGAGGAGAGGTGCGGAGGACAGAATGGAGTGAGGACGAGGATAGGGGCTGAAGGGGTGGACCGTGATTAAAGCTCGGGACCCAGTGGGTGTACCCAACCGAGGACAGAGACTGAGGGCCTAGAGCAGCATCGAAGACCTAGGCATCAAAGTGGGCTTCGATGGGGGAACCGTCAGGGGACCTGAAGTGGGAAAAGTACAGGATTGTCGATACAGAGACTACCAGGATGGGGAGGAGGGTGCAGTTTGCTTTCCAGTTTTTCATAGAAAATGGACTTTTCAGTAAGACCTGCTATTTAGTTACTTATTTGCCTGTGCAGTTGATCCTCTGGTGGTTTGATGTGGATATCGTTCAATTTTCATTACAGCTTTATAAAGTAGAATTGTAAATATGTCCTTCGGAATATGATCTTGTGCCTATTACAGTACCTGTCTCTTTCCCAATGGAATGAAATTAGAAATCAATAACAAAAGGAAAACTGAAAGGATATGTAGAAATTAGACACCACTGTTAAGCAATTGATGGGACTTTAGGGAAAAAATGCTAGGCAGGCAGTGGTGGTGCATGCCCTTAGGAGACAGAGGCAGGTGAGTTCCAAGACAGCCAAGGCTACACCCTGTCTCAAAAAACAAAAAGAAAAATTCTACAAATGAAAACAAAGAATGTATTGGAAGAGTGGAATGCTGCTAAACCAGTGCTCAGCGGTGATGATGCACAGATTAAGATACACAGGACGAGGATAAAATTTGGGTTATGTATTTTATTTTGGGGAAAGTCACTTACTTGCATGAGAAACCAATGACCAGCAAGTTCCTGCTCCAAGGATCCACACCCAGGCTGCTATCCATGAACCGACTGGAACCAAGAGAGAGAGCTGGGGTCTGGGACGCCAGACCTTGTCTCCCACAGGTCATGTCCACCTGTACCCACTCATGGTCGTGGTCAGTGCAACAGGTGTGGCTGGGGTGGATATCTCACTATACAGAGGGCAATTTGTAACAGCAGGGTTTCTTTTCTCTCTCTTCCCTCTCCTCTCTCTCTCTCCCCCCTCTCCCCTCCCCCAACCCAAATAGGGTTTCCCAGTGTGGCTTTGGAGCCTGTCCTGGAACTAGCTCTTGTAGATTAGGCGGATCTCCAACTCACAGAGATCTGTTTGCCTCTGCCTCCCAAGCGCTGGGATTAAAGATTTGTGCCATCACCACCTGGTAACAGCAGGGTTTCTATTTGAGAAGATCTCCAAGTCCAGAACTAGAATATTTTATTTAATGAACCCATGAATCTGAGAACTTAAAGTCATATACAAAGCCCAACATGTCTTGCTTTGGGTCAACAACATTCCTTTCTGTAACTTTGTTATCTGCCTTACTTTTTTTTCTAGGAGGATTGATGAAACCTTACATGAACTACTTGTAAGAAACCTCAATTGGGGCCTGGGGAGAGCTCAGGTTATGTGCTTGAGGACCTGAGTTCAGATCCCCAGCACCTTTGTAAAAAGCTAAGTGTGGACGGGTGTTGGTGGCACACGCCTTTATTCCCAGCACTCAGGAGGCAGAGGCAGATAGATCTCTGTGAGTTTGAGTCCAGCCTGGTATACAGAGCCAATTCCGGGACAGGCTCCAAAGCAATACAGAGAAACCCTGTCTCAGGGAAAACAAAAACTAAAAAACAGCAACATCAAAGCTAAGTATGGTGGTACATGACTATAATCCTAGTTCTGGGGAGGCAGAGAAAGAAGGATCCCTAAAATTTTGTGGCCAGCTAGTTTTTCAGAATTCTTAAGCTCTAGGTCCAGTGAGAGACTCTGTCTCAAAAAATAAGACGTACAGTAAAAGAGGAAAATGTCTGACCTCTGCCTCTGCAAACATACGATCATATGTGTACACACATGCATTAGATATGTATTATAACATACATATCAAGATGCTTCGTTGCATATTAAAACAAACAATAATCTGCTTGTCATAGAAATACTTGCAGTGAATGTATTAATACTAGTTCATTAATACTACCAGGTGGAAAGCTAGATCTAACACCCGAAGGTTGTCCTCTGATATCCACACTAAAAATTTTATGGTATTTTGAATGGAATTGAATGGAATTGGCCTTGAATGCTAGAAGAGAAGTAATATCTTAGTAACACAGGATCTTCTAACTCCTGCAGTCTTCATCTCCTCAAGGCAATGTCACTGGCATCCTAGCCTTACCATGACTTCCTACAGTTTCCACTAGTTGTCAAGTGCTTTCTCCTTTAAGGTCTTGGAAAGAACATTAGGGCTAGGAGCATTTCTGTGAACCAAGCATCCATGGGGCCTTATCTGGGCCAAACCATGTCTGTGTCTTCTACATTTTTATGTCCTCATCTTCCTCTTTGATGATGGCTAAGTTATGCCTGCACTTTGGCTGGGTCAATTGAGCTACGGGCAAGGAATGAAAAGGTACCCGTGTAGAACCTCAGTGATTGTCAGACCAGAGTGAGCAGGAGTCTAATACCAGAAGCAGGGGTTTGGGACCTTCTATGACCATTGCCACTACTTCAAGACCATGGAGGATCTTTAGGACAAGATTCTTGATGACTTCTTTGGTAACTCCAGATTTGTCCAGAGAGGGATAGCACCCATCCAACTTCAGGTGATTTCTAAATCAAATTTTAAATGCATAAGACCAGATCCTGTATCTGAGCCTGAAGATCAACTTCAGCTAACTGATCATGAACAATCTGGAGATGTAGGTTGCAGGCCTAGAGGAAAAGCTGGTGTACCTGCAGAATCTCACATTTGGTTGCTCAGGCTGGTGTGGACATGTACTCCACTCTGGGAACTGACTTACCCATGATCTTAAGAGACAAGTTGTGGCAGAGAATAACTGGAAGGATGAACAACTCCTGTACAATCAAACTGAGGTAGTTACCACATGAAGTAACTCCACATGACCAAGTCTTAGGTTACTGACCTACAACATATTCTCCAGAATCTTGAACTACAGCTTCAATTATAGCTTGACATGAAAACTTTCCTGGAAGGCATGCTAACATAGACAGACGTCCACTTTAGAGCCTAGTTGGTACAAGTATAGATAATGATCAGCTGCATTTAAGCCTGTGTGGGTAACATGTATGCTGATATCCAGGAGTGCCAGCAGCTCGAGGATATCATGATGGCTGGAGCAGGATTTTGCCCTATGTGCAACCTGGTTAAGGGCCAGTATGTTATACAAACACTCATCCTCCAGATCCTCTGAGTCGTTAGGTAGGGTTTCTCTGTAACTTTGGAACCTGTCCTGGAACTTGCTTTGTAGACCAGGATGGCCTCAAACTCAGAGAGATACACTTGCCTCTGCCTCCTGAGTGCTGAGGTTAAAGGTGTGCACCACCACTTCCCGGCTAGACTTATTTTCTTACAGAGAGTTTCACCTGGTACGAGATGAAGCAAGGGACACTGGCCCTGGATCTTCCCCTATCTTGCCAGTAAAACTTGGTGAGGCCAAGGAGGTATTGAGTCTTCTGCTGATCTACCAGTCCATAGGTCAGTGATGGAGTCAAAGTACAGGCCAAATCAGGGTAAGGTTGTGATTTCATGTGGGACATTGTCTCCCCTTACCCTTCATGGCCCCCTACCTTATTTTAAAAAAGGCTTTATCTCAGGCTGGACTCACTATTGGGATTCTTGCCTAGGTTGTTATTTTATTTTATTTTATTTTATTTTTGGTTTTTCAATATAGAGTCTCTCTGTAGCCCTGGCTGTCCTAGAACTCAGAAATCCACCTGCCTCTGCCTCCTGACTGCTGAGATTAAGGGTGTGTACCACCACCACCCAGCAAGAACTAGTTTAAAATATTGAAAAGTTAATTAAACCCCTTTGGGCTTAATTTTGTTTTGTTTTTACAATTCAGATACTGTTTATCTTCTGAGCCATTTGTATGATAAACTCATAAAGATGTTGCTATGTTGGTATATCTTCTAGGTGACTGGGTTCAGGAAGGTATGGGGCATACACATTGTCCCTTTATTTTAGGTTAACACTTCAGTATTTAAATGTTATTTGTGTATTTGGTCACAGACTGGAAAAGCAAGGCAGTAGTACTCATAGAGCCCACAGTAATGTCCAGTGTCTTCTTGATATCTGTTTCAGGTTGTGACCTCTCTTTCCCCAGCAATAAATTGGTCTCTGGAGATCACTGTAAACTTATAGTGGATAAAAAATCTGGTCAGGTGACACTGGAAGATACCAGGTGAGCATTTTATTTTCTGATTCCTTTTCTAACTTAGGAAACTGATAACTGAGGCTTCCTTTTTCTAAAATTTACTTATTTGTAATTTTATGTGCATTGGTGTTTTGCCTGCATGTAAGTCTCTATGAGGGTGTTAGATCTTGGAGTTACAGACAGTTGTGAGCTGACATGTGAGTGCTGGGAATTGAACCCAGGTCCTCTAGAAAAGCATCTGTGCTCTTAACTGTTGATCAATCTATCTAGCCCAAGGCTTCCTTTTTCTAAAGTGCCGTTCAGGTTTAAGTCAAAAGGATGTACATTCTCCAGTTTCCCTCATGGGATCCTGGGTGTGGTTTAGCTTCTATGTCTTGTTTTCTTATTAAGTATGGCTCATATCACTCAGAAATAAGATTTAAAATATATTGATAAGTTCTTCTTTTATTGAAAATAAATAGTGTTTTTCATACAATGTATTCTGTTTATGATTTCCTCTCTCTCTCCTCCTCCCAGTTTCTCACCACTTCCCCGCATCTGGATCTACCCCATTCTGTCTCTTATTAGAAAACACAAATACACCTGGGTGGTGGTGGCGCATACATTTAATCCCAGCACTCAGGAGGCAGAGGCAGGTGGATCTCTCTGAGTTTGAGGATTGCCTGGTCTACCGATAGAGGTCTAGGACAGGCCCCAAAGCTATACAGAGAAACCCTATTTCCAAAAACCAAACTAAAAAAAAAAAACCTCACTCGTATAAATAATAATAATAAATATAATATAGTAAGATAAAACAAAAACAAACAAATTGGAATAATACAAACAGAAGGAAAAGAGCCCAAGAAAAGGCACAAGAAACAGATACAGATTCAGAAACACACTCATTTGCACACTCAGGAATCCCATAAAAAACACAAAACCAGAAGCTATAATAAATATGTAAAGAAATATAGGGTAAAAAGAAAGAAAGAAATTAAATTTAAAAAGAGAGAGAAATAATCATAAAAGCCCTGACACAATATTGTGAAACAAAGACCCTTCAAAGATGCTGTTAATTTTTTGTTAACCATTTCTGCTGGGTCTGGTCCCTTCTGGAGGCTCTTGGGACAATCTCCTGTCAGAGGTGCTGCCTTTTGGGTCAGAGGTGGGCTGGAGAAGCAGGTAGTCCAGGCAGAGGCACCAGGACATGTGGGAAGGATGGAGGTAAGGAGTAGGAATTACAGCAGTGCATTTGGGCTTCATTCTGACAGCTGGAGTTCATTTGTTAAGAAAGAGTATGAAATGAACAATTGGAGGGTACCTGGTTGCAGAGGGCCATTTGTGATTGTATCAAGATTGTGGTCTGTATACTGTTTTACCAGTTTTACTGGGACATGGGCATGCCTGTATTCATGTCCTGCCTTTTAGTGACACAGCTGAGTAGTTAAGAGTAAGACTTTATGACACAGAATTTGAACTAGTGCCATGTGCTTTATGGAAAAATGTTTGCCATTTCTTGACCTGAAAGAATTAAGTAAGGTTCAAGTCTGAAATACAAATTCCTTCTAGTACTGGACCTCAGGAATGAAGCTGCAGAGCTAAGGATTTTGTGTTAAGCATACTCCAGTCTTTGGCCTTCATGTACTCAATTCTGGATTTTCCAACAGGTCTCCATGAAAAAGTTCTTCCCAAGAAAATCCTTCCTGTCTGCATACTCTAGGCCTGGGACATGTTCTTTGGCCTCCCCATCTAGCAATGTGATTGATTATAATTGGGCCACTGCATCTTCTGAGCACAGGAGCCATGCCATCTTCCAGTTGAAAGACAAAAGTTTATTTTGCTTTTGCTTTAATGCATCTTCTGGGAGGGATTAGTATTCTCTAAGGATGAACTGACTGGAGTCATGGTTGTTGGAGAGAACTGACAGAGCTATTGATAGCTCAGGAAAGAAGGAAATGACAGCATTGGTCTACCTCAGAATCTACATAGGAGCTACCCTGAGATACACATGAAAGTACCTGTATTGGAATAGTAGAACAGTAAAAATATGCTGCTCTTACAGATAATCCAGGTTCAAGTCTCAACACCTACATGGCCACTCAAAACCATCTGTAATTACAGTTCTAGGAGTTCTATTGCCCTCTTCTGGCCTTCCTTCACAGGCACTGTGTGGGTGAATGCACATGCTCACTTGTGTGTCCAACCCCCCCCCCCCCCCCATACACACACACACAGTTTCTCATTAGCCAGTAATAGGCAGTCTTCTTGTCTTAGTATTATCAGGCAATACTTGTGAACTAGCATGTATGAAATGGTTAATTTTTTCCTTCCTTCCCTCCCTCCTTCCTTCCTTCCTTCCTTCCTTTTGACAGGATTTCTCTGTGTAACAGTTCTGGCTGTCCTGGAACTCAATTTGTATATCAAGCTGGCATTGAACTCACAGAGATCTGCCTACCCTCTGTCCTCACAAGTGCTGGGATTATAGGTGTGGTGTGTGCCACACTGCCTGACGATTAAATAGTTTCTTGTCCCTTCTGAGTATTTTCAAAATCTTAATGCTGAGCAGATTTCTTTTTTTTTTTTATTTTTTTTTTTTTTTTTTTTTTTTTTGGAGACAGGATTTCTCTTTGTAGCTTTGGTGCCTTTTCTGGAACTTGCTCTGTTCACCAGGCTGGCCCTCTGCCTCCCAAGTGCTGGAATTGAGGGTGTCTTAATGGTAGTAGAAAAATGTTTACCATGTTTAGTTATTTTGAGTAGGGCAACTTATACTTTTGTTTTCTTTACAGCACCAATGGAACAGTAATCAACAAGCTGCGAGTTGTTAAGAAGCAGACTTACCCTTTACAGAGTGGGGATGTCATCTATTTGGTATACAGGAAGAATGAGCCAGAACACAGTAAGAGAGAAAAATTTACTCGTGTAGATACTTTTCCCAGGTGTTGCACCAAGAAGCCATCCAACTTAGACTAGAAAATACCCTCAGAAAGAACATGTGTTAAAATAGTCATTTCCATAGAAAGTGATAATTATGGAGATTTTTGGTGTAAGCACTTGGATGGATTGCTGACTTTTCAGGAACAGCTTTTCTTCAAGAATGAATGGCAGCCAAGGAGGAGTAAATGGGCTGGGCTGGGCTGGGCTGGGCTGGGCTGGGCTGGGCTGGGCTGGGCTGGGCTGGGCTGGGCGAAACAGTAGAATTGGAGTGTGTGAATAAAATCTAGATAGGAGCCGTGGAAGCCATTGGCAGTTCTGCTCTTGGAGACTTTACAAAAAGAAACAATAGGTTAGACTAGATCCAGCACTGTATAGGGTAAGGAGAGTTGTAACTGAAGAGCAAGGAGGAAAAAAGAGGGCACTAATAATCCAGCCTCTTGCCATATAGAAGGAACTCGAATCTTTCCTTCCAGTGGCTTGCAGTTATTAGTGAAGTGTGTCTTTTTCACCCTTGTCTGCCTTCTGCAACCATTTTTCCCTTTGGTTGCTTGCTTATACTTAAGTTGGTAAAATTGTGATTTGCTTTTATTGGAGTCACTTAAGCTGTTATTACCAGATGGTACGTGAATTTAATCAAAAGACAGGTTGTGATGTGGTCAAAGATGAGCAGGGGTCATGTTTCACTGGGGCCACAGCTCCCTGATTGGATTCATTTCCTTTTAGATGTGGCGTACCTCTATGAATCTTTAAATGAAAAACAAAGCTTGCCTCAAGAATCCCTCGGTAAGTGAGCTTATGGCAAAGGCATGGATGTTGAGTGCTAGGAATGGCCGCCCCTAAAGTGTCTTTCTGAGTTCTGAATGCACTCTTTATTTTTGTGCCTGTAGAAGCCAATAAAGAAAATATGTTCCATGTGACCAAAGATTCCTCAGGTCCAGGGCAGGGTGATGACCTCCAGGTTCCACCGTTGTCACCCGTGGCTCAAACATGCTTAGAGGAACCACAGCCATCAACATCGACATCAGACCTCTTCCCCATGGCCTCTACCTCTACTATGGAGCCAGAGCTGACCTCTGCAGGGCAAAAGCATTCCTCTAGCTCTGGTGAGATGGGGCTCACAATGACAGTCGCAGTTTTTTGTTCCTTGAGATACAGTAAATCCATTCATCAGTAAGTGTTCTGTAGTCATGTATACTGACTTATTTCATTCTCAGGAGAAAGTCTAAACATTAAGGACCATGGTAACATAGTATTTTTGTAATTTTATCTAAATTTAATTCATATACTATAAATATCAGTAAGTTAAAGTGTACCCATCAGTGTTTTAGATACATTTACAAGGTTATATGGGCATTACTGTTTGTTGTTTTTTGTGAGGGTTTTTTTTGTGTGTGTGTGTTTTTTGGTTTGTTTGTTTGGTTTTTGGTTTTGGTTTTTCGAGACAAGAGTTTCTCTGTGTATCCCTAGCTGTCGTGGAACTAGCTCTGTAGAACAGGCTGGCCTTAAACTCATAGAGATCCATCTACTGGGATTAAAGGCATATACCACCACTGCCCATGGTCATAACTGTTAATTAGAACATTCTATCACATAAAAGGAAACTCTTGAATCTCTGTGCATTTATTTGAATATTTTGAACATTTTGTGTTCATAGTCATGCAGCATGTGGTCTTATGACTGGCTTCTTCATTTATCCTTTTTTTCTTTTTTTGGTTTGATCCCCACACAACACACATACATAAACACTCAAAGAAAACCTACTTTACCACCACACTTAAATTCTATTCCATCTATCCATGTGCATAGCATGTAGTTTGATAAGGCTCTACTACCCTTCTGATTAGGAAATATCAGATTTCCTAGAGTGAGTAATGTATAATATCTTTTGTAATTTTTAAAAATGAAAATTTTCCTTCTGTATGCTGAAGTATTTTTATACTAACAAAATAATTATAGTTAAAACTTAGTGCCTACCTTTAATCCCAGCACTGGGGAGGCAGATCTCTGAGTTTGAGGCCAGCCTGGTCTACAAAAGAGCTAGTTCCAGGACAGCTTCCAAAGCCACAGAGAAACCCTGTCTCGAAAAACCAACCAAACAAACAAACAAATAAAAACCAAAAGAAACTTAGTGCGTACCAGATGTGAGAAGGTATAATAAGTACTTTTATATGTTCAGTTTCCCTATCTGGAGCCTTCCATAGAAGTACCATTATATAATCTTTGTCCTTTAATAAAAAGCATGGCTGATCATAAAAGGCTGTGAATATCAAAGGATGAGTAGGTTCCAGGGCCAGGAAAGTATAGTTTTTTCTTTAGTATATGAGTTAATTTATTCCTTAAATAATCCTTCTACCCCTCTTTTTTTTTCTTTAGATGATGTAAACCAGTTTCTCCCTTTTTCTAATAGTAGTGCTTATCATTTGAATATTATAATAAAGTAGATATGTATTATACTATAATATTGTGAATAAACTAGAGAGTGATGAAGTTTCCTGACTTTTCAGTCAAGTTCACTCAAGTTGCTCATGATGTTTAAGCTTCTGTTTAGGTCAGAGCGCTATCTGTTAGTTTCTGTTATTTTTTTTTTTTTAATCATACTCCCCACTCCTGTTAGAAGTGTTTCTACTTCATACCTCTTTTGGGTGCATTTAGTATATAATATGCATTTTGTGGTTGCAAGAGTGTTCACTTGTACATCTTAGACATAGTATATAGGGACGACCCTACTGTGTTCTTTCCCTGCATCCTGCATGTCTTTCCATATGAATGTGCCACTTGTCTCTAGCTTCATTAGCATAGAGATGGGCTCTAGTGCTTTTAAGGTATGACTCATATGGCTAAGTATTTGTATAAGACATGATACATGTGAGATCTCTAATTATATAACACACTTTATTAAGTCAGTGACTCTTCAGAAGTAGATAAATCAGAACCTGTCTTATTTGTATCTTTTCACAGGACTTGGGAATGCAGGCATCTCCCCAAAAGAATGTAGTTCACTTGTTGCAAATGGTGAACTCTCTAGCCTTTCTTCAGTTCTCCAAGACAAAGAGGCATCCTGTTTCCTTTTGGAAACCGAAGACCATGATGAATTAGAGCCTGCCAAAAAAAGGAGGAAAAGAGGTTAGACTTTCACTGCTCTGTGCATCTTTTGGCCTCTTGTGCTGGCTGTTGCCTGCAGTGGGTTCCGCTTTTGCAGTTGTATGTGGATCTGCTTTCGGTTTATATTGTAACAACTTGCATTTTCTGTATGAAAGTCTGGATTCAAATAGAACTGTTCACTACTAGGTCATGCGATTGTTCTGAAAACTGCATTTTTAATTACAAATGGGTGTCAAAGTCCTCTATCTTTGATAGGATAGTAATTCTTTTAAAAAATGTTATCTTAACTAGGATATGGTGATTTATACCTGTAATCTCAGAACTTGGTAGGTAGAGGCAGGAGGACTGGAGTTCAAGGCTACCTGGCTGTGGAAACAGTGTGATAGAAGAACTCTAGAAATAATATCCTGGGGAAGAAACTGGATTATCTGAACATTTATGGTAAAATAAATTAATTGGCTCTGGAGGCCATGGTAATTATCACAATATTTTACACTTAAAAAAGTAAGTATAGGTCTGGTGACATGGCTCAACAGTTAAAAACTTTTGTTGTGAACCTGGTAATCTGAGTTCAATCTCTGTAACCTGTGTATGCGGAAATAGAGAATTGACTCCCCAGAGTTGTCTTCTGACCTCCACATTTGTACTCTCTCTCTCTTTCTCTCTAATAATAGTAATTTCTTTAAAAGAAAAAGTATTAAGCCAGGCATCGTGGTACATGCCTTTCATCCCAGCACTTGGGAGGCAGAGGTAGGTGGATCTCTGAACTTGAGATGGTGAGTCCAGGACAGCTAAAGCTACATAAGATGAGATTCTATCTTGGAAAAAAAAAAGAATTGATATGAGATTTTTTTTTTTTTTTTTTTTTTTTTTTTTTTTTGTGGGGTGTGACAGTCCTGGCTGTCCTGGAACTCATTTTGTAGATCAGGCTGGCCTCTAAGTCACCGAGCTCTGCCTGTGTCTATCTCCCAGTGTGCCATCATAACCAGCTTATAAATCCAACTTGTAAAAAAAAATAAATAAATAAAAATTGAGCTAGGTATGATGTTGCATGCCTATAATCCCAGTTCTGGGGAAGTGGAAACAGGTGAATCAAATCTTTAAGGTAGTCCTCAGCTACATAGTGAGTTTGACACTAATCGGGGCAGCATGAGGACATCTCAAAAAACAATAATAGTAGTATTTTGTGTGCATATATATAAATATACCAGGAAAAAAAGAACAATTTAAAGCTGCCAGTGCCACCTTAGAGTTTTATTTCCAAGACTTTTCTTTGTACATGGGATTGTATTTTATTTGTTTAAAAAAATATTATACAACTGGTCCTCCCTCTTTCTCTCTTCCTACCATTTGTTACCTTTATGTCACAGGTACACATGCATACATCCTGGGTGTCTTTTTTTTTCCTTTTAGGTCAACAACTGTTCTAAGTCACAATTTAGACACAAAGGGACACATGACTTATTTGGGACCTTCTTAAAAATAATCTTTATATAGCCAGGCATCATGGCACATACCTTGAATCCTAACTCTGTATTCTAGGGAAATCTGGTATATATATAGTGAGTTCCTGGATAGCCAGGGCTACATACAGAGACTCTGTCTCAAAAAACAGCAGCAAAAACAACAAAGTCTTTATAAGTGGCTTTGCTTCCTCTGCTGTTGATGGACAATAGAAACTTGAGGATCTTCTGTGTCTTCAGATTAAGTGGTTGTGACTGCTCTTTTGTCTTATAGATGGGGAGCTTGCCTTGAACCTGCAGTTATTGGTTGCAGACCAGCATGGAAATGCCCAAACCTCACATGAGGATGTCAGAGTTGACTCTGTGAAGCCAGACAAGATGGAGGAGACACTAACCTGCATCATCTGTCAAGACCTTCTGCATGACTGTGTGAGGTGTGCTGCTTTATATCCTAGGGTTGCCTAAGTAGCGCTGGCTCCTTTGAGAAATAACTATAAATAAAACAGACTTTGATTCTCTTTTGCCCTGGTATTTGCTCCAGTTTCTATTTCCCTTTCCCTTGTACTTGTGGTATCAACAAGGAGAATTTTTTTTTTTTTTTTTTTTTTTTTTTTGAGACACAGTTTCTCTGTGTAGCTTTGTAGACCAGCAGACTGGCCTCAGACTCACAGAGATCCACCTGCCTCTGTCTCCTGAGTGCTGGGATTAAATGTGGCGCCAACACCACCCAACTCATAAGGAGAAATTCTTGTACCCGGAAACCACAGGGTCATAGAGTCCATGAGATATGGTCAGTCTTGATTTGACCATGAGTAACCGGAAAACCTAGTGTTTGTCTTGTGGGAGGATCATGTGAAGTATACTGATGTTTAAACACTTTCTGACTGAAGACATAATACTTAGAATGAAGTTCCCAGGATTATTTTTGGAAGAAACTTCTCTTAGCTTTTGTTTGGGAACTTGGGAGGTATATCCTACCCAACCAAGTCCCCATACACTTCTGTTGCTTGTGTTCCTAGAGTTATGATCTGCTCTTTGTACCCCCCTGAAAACAGGCATAGAGCTCTGATTTTTTTTTTTTTTAATATTCTAACACTGAGCTTAAATATTTGTAGGTTAGATGATAGAATTCTCCACAACTGGCTTATGGTTGAGGATCCAGCTTGTATTCCTGTTTGGGTAGGCCTGCTGAAGATTTTGTCTGAGTGTTATAATGACAAATACTTTGGAAGATTTTGTCAAACAAAGATGTGTTTTTGTTCCTTCCTATTCTGCCAGTTTGCAGCCTTGTATGCACACATTTTGTGCAGCTTGCTACTCTGGCTGGATGGAGCGTTCGTCTCTGTGCCCTACATGCCGATGTCCAGTGGAGCGGATCTGCAAAAACCACATCCTGAATAACCTCGTGGAAGCGTACCTTATCCAGCATCCAGGTCAGCTTCACTAGCTTCCCTTTTAGGGGCCTGGGACTACAAGCTCTGCTCTGAGCAGTCTAGATCATCTCCCTAGTCCTGTGTCCTTGAGGAGTGAATTTTGCTTGCCCTTTTTATCTAGATAAGTGTCGCAGTGAAGAAGATGTGAGAAGTATGGATGCAAGGAATAAAATAACTCAAGACATGCTGCAACCCAAAGTCAGGAGGTCTTTTTCTGATGAAGAGGGGAGTTCAGAAGACCTGCTAGAGCTGTCAGATGTTGATAGTGAATCCTCAGACATCAGGTTAGACATGTGCCTGGCTCATAGTGGGCCCTGGGGATAAGGAGAACATTAATACTGTGCTTAACTGTGTTGTGGTGTGTACAGCTACAGGATTTCAGGATATCAGTTTCCTTATGTTTTTAGCTTGTTTCTTCAAATTGGAGTATGGCCAGACTGGGTGGACTCTGAGCAACAATGAATAGAATAACAGTTTCAGGTAGCCTCAATGGTCTTTTTCAATTAATTTGTTTATTTATATATTTATTTTGACACTGGGCCTCTCTGTAGTCTTTTCTGTCTTGGAACTCACTCACTATGTAGACCAGGCTGGCCTTGACCTCATAGTAATCTACCTGCCTTAGCTTCCTGAGTGATAGGATTGAAGGCCTGTGCCACCACGACCAGCTTAGTTGTCTCTATATATAACCCTGGCTGCCCTGGACTTACTATGTAGATTAGGCAGTCCTTGAACTCACAGAGATATATCTGCTTCTACATCTTGAGCAGTAGAATTAAGGACATGTACCACCATTCACAGCTTCCTTAGTGGGTTTTGAACCCCACCTTCATACCCTCATTTACTTTTGCTCCAATCATGAGTCCCGATTCATTGGCAAAACAGAAAAGTCTTATGTATTGTTTTTCCCAAATAAACACACCTAACTTTTTTTTCCCCTTAAGACAGGGTTTCTCTGTGAAACAGTCCTGGCTCTCCTGGAACTCACTCTGTAGACCAGGCTGGCCTCAAATTCACAGATTCACCAGCCTCTGCCTCCCAAGTGCTGGAATTAAAAGCATGTGCCGCCAGTGCCAGGCTAGTCCACCTAATTCTTATAGACTAAGACTCATGGTTGTAACAAGTATGGTTTTTTCTGCCCGCCATCGCTGGTCATCTCCTGCCGCCACGCCACCAGCCCCAAATAACACACAGAGACTCTGTATTTGATACAATACTGTTGGCCCGGTTACTTGTTTCTTATTGGCTAGCCCTGCCTTTAATTATTAACCCATTTCTGCTGATCTATGTATTTCTCTTACCGGGGAGCCGGCAGCATACTGTTTTCTTCAGACTCTCCATCTTGACTCCTCCTTCCTACTTCCTATTTCCTCCTTGTCTCCTAGTCCCTCCTATCTTCCTTTCCTATTGGCCAACAGTGCTTTATTATTAACCAGTATGAGAAACATATATACATAATTACATCTCCCATCACATGGTAGTGTTATAATTTCTTAAGAGTAGTATCACAGTAAAGGCTTAATCCTCTGGCTGAAAGGACACAGCCCTTTCAGACCCAATTTTACTTAATGACACATTGGTTTCAGGTCTACATTTTGGGCCAAGACTATGATATTGAAAAAAAAAGTCAATAACCTCCCCTGAATTACAGAGTGAGTTCAAAGCTAGCCTGAGAAACTTAAGACTATTGTCTCAAAATAAAAACATTTAAAAGGTCAGTGATGGAATGTTTGCATAGCATGTGAGAATTGACCATGAGGTTAATCTATTATACTATGAACAACAACAAACAAAACAAATTTGGATGTGGCTGCTGACACCTGTAATTCCAGCTCGCTAGGACTCTTTTGCTTCAGTCTTAACAGTGCTGGGATTACAGTTGTACTCTGAGCTAGCTGTATTTTCTGTGTAGTTTTCTCTTAAGAGCATCTCCATAAGAGAAAATTCTTGTGTGGGTTTTCTTTGCCTTTTCATGAGCCTATGAGCCCATGTACTAATGAGTAGGGACTAAGTGCTCCAGGGTAGGGTGTGCTGAAGCGTGGGGTGTGAGGTATTGAACTCAAAAGTAAGCTGAGCACAGAGCAGCTATCCTGTGGTAGATGCTAGCCTCTCTCTCTGATTCCTGTTCCAGTTTGTTATGGGTCCTTACAATGGTGGGAGCTGGGCAGAAAGGAGGGGTCAGCTCCTTTCTTCGTACATTGAAGTGGTGCTGAAGATGAGTAGAGGTAGAGCAGAGGCCTTGAAGAGTAGAAGTACAACAGCTGGAGCTGGGAGTAGATGGTAATATAACAGTGATGTCTGCCTGTTCCTGTGTGACTTCAGCTCTGCTTGTTCTTCTCACAGTCAGCCATATATTGTATGCAGACAGTGTCCTGAATACAGAAGGCAAGCAGTGCAGTCTCTTCCTTGCCCAGTACCAGATAGAGAGCTGGGAGCTACACAGGCCCTTGGTGGGGAAGCACCATCAACATCTGCCAGCTTGCTAACAAGTAAGACAGTGGTATCTTAACTATGAGCTTTTCCTTCCATTGTGTTACTCCCTTGTGATTCTTGTCCTAGGTTCTAATGGTGTGATTCTCCTATGATGTCTCTCCTGCCCTGTAGTCCTGTTTCAGCAATCATGTTGCCTCTATTAGCCTCTTGCTTGACATATCCAGTATTGGTATGAAATTAGGGGAGGCTGGCATGCCTTTAAATTCCAGCATTTGAGAGGCATAGGCAGGCAGATCTCTGTGAGTTAGAGGCAAGCCTGGCCTACATTGTGAGTTCCAGCACAGGCTCCAAAGCTACAGAGAAACTCTGTCTCAAAAAACCCAAAAGAAAAGAAAAAAGTTTAGGTGAGCCAGAGAGAAATTGGAGGATCTCTATGAGCTCAAGATTTGTCTGGTCTCCGGGGGGGGGGGGGGGGGGGAGCAGCAAGACAGAAACTAGGTGAATATCTTTATTTGAGGGTGTCCCTGTTTTGGACACACCTGGTAATTAACAGTCTGGTTTTTAAGTTTTGCTCTCTCTTCAGCCTACTGCTTCAGGCAGTTTGCTTAGTGGGGTTTGCCAAAGCCATAATGATCATTCTGTATCTGTCACCCAAATTAGAAATTGGCCTCTTTCTAACAGTGTGTGCTAAATTCCCACAGTGTGTCTTGTATCTCCATAGAGTTGCTCTCTAAACAATCTCCCATCAGTTGTGTATTTCCAACAGATAGGTTCCTAGATGCACTGATAAGAGCAAGAAGGGCTGAAATAAAGCTCAGTGATAAAGGGCATGCTTAGCATTTGCAAGGCATTTGGTTCTACATCAAAGACAATGAGAGAAAGAGAAAAAGAGAGCTATGTATATACATGTGGCATGAAGTTCTTAGCTCTAAGGGTTGAAACCTACCCACTGGAACCAGCTATAGATAACATAACAATGTCCCTCTAGTGAGGCTGGCCACTCTAGTTCTAGCTCTGCGAGCACTGTGGTCATTGTGCCTTTGCCTTTTAGCTGCTATTTAGCCTGAGTGTGTTAGATGGCCACTAACCTAGGTTTCTCATTAATAGCCACATTCTTGGCTACCCTACTAGAACACTGTTCTAGTTCTCTAGGTCACTTCCAGAACCCATAGTTGGGACAGCAACCCAGTACTCAGCTACCAGAGATAAGATAATTGATTACTATCCAGGATGAACTTTTTGGTTTTTTGAAATAGAGTCTCAATTTTTAACTCAAGCTGGTCTAAAACTCAGGCTAGCCTTGAACTTGTGATTTTCCTGCCTCAGCTTCCTAGTACTCTCATTTGAACTTCCTTAGTCCAATTTCTTTTTAAAAACATTTTATTTATGCATATGTATGTATGTATGTATGTATATGTACATATATATGGGGATTTTGGGTGTTAGAGATTAAGCCTAAGGCTTTCAAATACTAGACAAGTACTCACTGAGCTATTGCCATTGAATTCCCATATTTCAAAGGGCAGAAGTAGTTTGAATTCCTGTGTACTTTAGTGTATCCTCTCTAGATGTAAATCTTTTCTTTGCTGTCTTTCACCTGGCATCTGGATATATTCTGACTCAAATATGTATGTGTTTCTGCAGCCCAGGATTATATGTGCCCTCTTCAAGGAAGCCATGCCATATGTACCTGCTGCTTCCAGCCTATGCCTGACCGGAGAGCTGAGCGTGAACAGGATTCCCGTGTTGCCCCTCAGCAGTGTGAGTATGTTTGACCCCATGAGGTGCCCCCTCCAACAGGAGGACATTCTTGTGCATTCTTCATGGCTTGAGTTTTCAGATGGAATTGACTTTATGTGAACTGTGGAACAAAGATACAGTGTTTTTCCTTCTCCACATAATCTTTTGATCCCACATGACATATTGAACACTCTATTTTCCCCCCACCAATTAATAAATCTAATAGATGAAATATTTTGTTTTAAATTTACATTTCACCATTAAAACAGGTCTTTGGATAGAGAGATAACTAAATGGTACAGCACTTGCTTAGCATGTATAACCTTCTGGGTTTCATTCTCTGTGCTGCAAAATATCAGAAAAACAAATGGAGCTCTTTATTTAGGTAATATTTTTTTATTTACATTTGCAAAAGCTTGTTTTACATCTTACTCTTCATTTATTTATTGGCTGTTTGAATATATTTTTGTTTGAAATGCTTGTTTATGTCTATTGCCTACTTGAAATATTTCTCAATTTGAGAGTTCCTTGATCATTACTGCTGTTAAATGAAGGAAAGCATAAACTCATGTGACCACATCAAGTCTCTGCAGAGCCTGAGCCACTCTTATGGATATTAAGGGTGCAATGTATGATAGAGTGCAAGTTCTCCACTGCAGTGATGTAGTGTATTTTGTGTGGTCCACCTAGCCTAGACTTAGTGCAGTATAGAAGAGGAGACAGTGCAGGGCGTTGGTGGCACACACCTTTAATCCCAGCACTTGGGAGGCAGAGGCAGGGGGATCTCTGTGAGTTCAAGGCCAGCCTGGTCTACAGAGCGAGTTCCAGGATAGGCTCCAAAGCTACAGAGAAACCCTGTTTCAAAACATACAAACAAACATACAAACAAAAACAAAAAAGAGGAGACAGTAATACAGTAGTGGTATGCATTCTGGGATGGGCAGTTAACAGGCTACCAGGGTAACTAGGCATGTTGAGAAGAATCCATGAAAGATTCCTAAGAATACTGACATTTGAGAAATACAAATCAGCAAGTGGTAGCCGAGGTTAGGTTCTTAAAATTTTGCTAAAAGGACAGTCTTTACTTTTGACTTATTTTTATGCTTTTAGTAGATACAGGCATTTACAAAGTGATTATACTCTTTTTAAAAGATTTAATTATTCAATCCTATAAGAATTTTAGCTAGGGTTTATTTAACATAGTCTAAGAAATTGCATTGTAGAGAATATTAAACATTAAAAAGGGAGTGCAAGATAACTGTATAAAAACATGTTAGTCTTCAGGCATCTGTACTGATATGTACAGGATACGCCTTCAGCTGCAGCCACTAAGAGCACCACCTGTGCATATTTACTGTGCTCCCTTTCAAAAGGGCCCTACCCACCTCCCATCTCCTCTCTTCCTTTGTCTCCCTCTCTCTGTTCTATTCTCCTGCTATTCCTGTCTCTGGAGGCTGGTCTCCCCCATCCCCATCCCTGTTTTTATGATCCCCTTCCCTAATTAAAAAAACTGTCTGCTTGAACCCTGTCTCATGGCATCTTTCTCTTACACACTGCTTTTCTTAAATTAGAACAGTTCATGATAGGTAGAAAAGCTATCTGCAGACATGAATGTGCAATTACTTCAAGTGTGTCACATAGTCAGAACTGGGAAAAAAAAATGAATCAGTGCTGTTTGGGTGCTGGGATCATAGACCAAGCTGTTTTTAAGATCACTGTTTTTAAATTAACCTTGAATTATCACAATTCTGTCCCCTTTGATTTTAGATGTTATCTGGGATGTTGTCTCTGCTCCCTAGTCCCATGAGAACACCTCAGAAAGACTGTCTTCAAAGAGAGTTGAGCACTTGAGTCTGTGCTAAATGTCTTCAAGTATGAGAATAGGCACAGTTCTAGGTCCCAATTGACCAACTGTCCTCTGTCCATAGGTGCTGTGTGCCTGCAGCCCTTCTGCCATTTGTATTGGGGCTGCACCCGGACTGGCTGCTTTGGCTGCTTGGCTCCATTCTGTGGTAATCTCAGCCCTTCAGTCTAGTTGCTTTGACTTGTGTATGTTCTATTGGTGAACTTGGGGTAGGTGCTATTGAAGTGGGACTTGCTGTCTTCAGGGAAAAAGAGGCAGCTATAGACCATCAAGTGATTGATTTACCTGTTTGGTTTTTTGTTTTGTTTCTACACTGTAGAGTCTCAAACCCATGTTGTTTTAAAAGCAAGCAGTAATAAAATAAGAGAAATAACAGTTTCCTATATAGGAGAAATTATTTATTTACATTAAAAAAAAACTATATAATCCCAGCCCTCCAGAGGCTTAGGCAAGAGGATCATAAAATTCAAGAATAGCTGGGTATGGTGTTGCATGCTGGGATTAAAGGTATGCACTAGCATTGCCCAGCTCTACTAAGAATCATAATAGCTATGTTTGTGTAGGAGAATATTTTCCCATAGTGCCCATGACGTATCTAGAACAGGTTGCTGGCCCCATTAACAGTGCTGGGTATGTGTTCCATCTCATAGAGAAGGCCTTAAAGTAATTTAAAAAGTGTTTAGTTACTTCTTACATTTGTGCTGCTATTGCACCAGTGGGTATGTCTTATAAACAGGTCACTATTATAGCATGCAGGGCTCCTAGATGGTTGAGACTGAAGATTACTTTTTTCTCTGGTAGCATGTATAATACCTTTTGAACACTTTGGATGCTAGTTAGTAGGGGTGAAACATCTAGCTGAGTACCAGCTTGACTTTTCCATGTTTGGTAACATAAACATGTGGTGACCTCAGCAATAGGGTCTTAACTCAGATTGTGGAGGGAAACCAATAGTATTGGCAATAGCCTGTGATGTCTGGGGGTGGTCTATAGGACTCTAGCCAATGATTCAAAAAAATGCAACCCATTTCTGGAAATGGGGGTGTTTATTTGGTGGTAATATATAGTTGGGGCGTCAACTAACCAATTATATTCCATCATCCTTATTTTGAGACAAGGTCTTTCAGTGAACCTAATGTTCACTAATTAGCTAGACTGATTGGGTCAGCAATCTCCAAGAGATCCACTTGTCTCTTTCCAATACTAGTATTATAGACATGCTCTGCTACACTTGCCTGGCTTTCTCTCTGTCTCTATCTCTTTTTAAATAGTCATGCTGGGGTCTCAGGTCTACATATTTAAGTGGTAGGCATTTTACTGACTGGGGCATTTCCTAAGCTTGTTGCTTTTTTTTTTTTTTTTTTTTTTTTTTTTTGGTCTTTTGAGACAGGATTTCTCTATTGTTTTGGAGCCTGTCCTGGATCTCGCTCTGTAGACCAGGCTGGCCTTGAACTTACAGAGATCTGCCTGCCTCTGCCTCCCGAGTAGCTTGTTGCTTTTTTTTCTTTCTATTTTTATTTTTATTTTACACATCGATCCCAGTTCCCTCTCCCTTCCTCCCTCCCTGTTTCCCTCTCTCCCCCCCTCACATGCACCCCGACCACCCTCCCCTCCCATCCCCTCCCCACTCCACATTAAGGTGATGCCATACAGGAGGGATCATCTAAATCTGTCATTTGGAGTAGGAACTAGAACTTCTCTCCTGTCTTTAGGTTAAGGGAGTATCCCTCCATGGATGTGTCCGCAAGGTCCTTTTGTGCACCAGGAATACATCCTAGATCCACTGTCTGAGGTCCCTTAGACTGTTCAGGCCTTCTAGCTGAGACACATGTTCACGGGGTCTGAGTCAGTCCCATGCTGGATTCCCAGCTATCAGTCTGGGAGCTGGTTAGCTCCTCCTTGTTCAGGTCAGCTCTTTCTTAGCTTGTTGCTTTTTACAGTCTATAATAGAAAGAGATTTGGTTATCCTGTCAGGCAAACAATACTTGGATACTGTATTACCCTTAAAAAAAAATATTTCTCCTTCCTCCGACAGAGCTCAACCTGGGGGACAAGTGCTTGGATGGAGTGCTGAACAATAACAACTATGAGTCAGACATCCTGAAGGTATCGTCTTCACACTTGTCCGGGGATCCAATGGAAACCATGAAGCTTTCCTATAATTTTTGTGGTTTCTGTTAGGACACACATTTTCTCTTTAGCATTTGGCTGCAGACGTGTACTGCCACAACTGGCAGCACATACTGTATTATCTGACCAGTATAATCAGATAGTTCCATGATTCCATGATAAATATCAAGTTTTCCCTGCGGTCTAAAATGAAGTGATTCCTGTTTGCTTATGATGCTATCAAGCCATATGAATTGCTGAATACCTCTTACAGAGAGGGTATCTCAATTCTGGCTCTTTTCTCTGGCTCCTTTTTCTGAACATTTCTCTTTCCAAGTTTGAGTAAACTAGCTCAGCTCTTAGAATTGTAACATGTTCAATTCTGCATTTTATGTTGAGAACTTTGCCTCCCTTTGAGGCCATTCATTTACCTACACACATCATCAATCTTACTTAGGTGAGTACCACTACACTTTACTTTTAGGTACATGAAACCTTTTTGTAACAGCTTTGACCAGTGTCTAAATAGAGAAAGCAAAGGCCTGGCATTCATCTATACTTGTCACCATTAGGGTGGGGTGAGGGCAAGTGTAAAAGCTAGAAATACAACAATATTCAGAGATTAAAAAGAGAAATTCTCATTGGAGTGAGCTGCTGAAACATCTATCTTCTGTTCAAAGTTTGGCTTCTACCAGCAGTATTCCATTGCTTATATATGGCAGGAAGTATCTTAAGTGGTTATTGATGATTGCCACTTCTGAAGGGTATATGTCTGTCTTTTCAGGAAAGAAGGGAAGGGGGCTCCAGCAAGCAGTTTACAAAAGCAGAAGTCAGTAGTTTAATTTTAACTATTTTAGAAGCAAAATTATGACTTAGAGTCTGTTTTCTTATTCCTATGTCCCCTTGTGCTATGAATGCCTTTGTGGGATTTTGAGAGAATAGTGTTTCTTATTCAGGTCCAGAGATCAAAGAGTCTCTTGGTAAAGAACTTGTGAGACCTATGAGAGGCTTAACTCTAGCTTATCCACTGGCTCTGTGTCATTGCCACTTAAGGGTAGCTGTGCTCTGGCTTCATCTACCTCAGAGAGCTTTTATGAAATGTCCTTACTCATTTTAGTGATTCTTCTTCTAAATGGAATTTCTTTTCATACTTTTTTCTATCACAGAATTACCTGGCAACTAGGGGTCTGACATGGAAAAACATGTTGGCAGAGAGTCTCTTGGCTCTACAGCGGGGTATATTTCTACTGTCTGGTAAGCATTGTTCAGCCATCCAGAATGGGCATTAATTTTTAAGGGTGTCTTTGTCACTTGTAAAGTGGTAAGAAGGTGCCAAGTCATATTTGGCGATATTATCTATCTGCTTTTCTACATTCGTGACATTGACTCTCACCCTTCCTAGGAAGATAAAGGAAGCTCTAGACACTTTAAATTTTTGTTTTGTTTTAGGAGAGTCTCACTATGTAGCTTAAGCTGCCCCTGAAGTCCTAATCCTCCTGTCTTCCTCACATCTGCCTAATCACTTGAGTTTTTTAAATTTGTTTTGTTTTTTAGAGACAGGGTTTCTCTGTGTAGCCTTGGCTGTCCTGGAACTCACTCTGCAGACAAAGCTGGTTTTGAATTCACAGAAATCAGCCAGCCTCTGCCTCCCAAGTGCTGGGATTAAAGGTGTGCACCACCACTGCCTGGCTCACTTTTGAGGTCTTAAAAGCTTTGTGTGAAACATGAAGCATTTGTTCCAGCACTTTTTCTCCCTATTAGGGAAGGGTGGAAACATGGCTTAGAGAGTCTCTACCACTTTGTCACTTGATTTGTCATCACTCAATTGGGGGATAGATTGAAGTAGTTATGCTTTCTCCCAGAGGAGTACATAGTGTGGAAAGCTATAAAAATTGTAACACTCTTTTTCTAAGACTTCAATGTTTATCAACAAAAATGTGAGCAGTTTTCTTAAAATACCTTGTATCTTTCCAGTGATCATGTTCAGGTGTGTCTTGCATGTTGCAGCCCATCTAACTTCTATGAATATCTTTAATTTTTTTTATAATTTATTTAACTTTAATTTATGTGGATTGGTATGAACATGTCAGATCCCCTAGGACTGGAGTTATAGACCGTTGTGAGCTGCCATGTGGGTGGTGGGAATTGAAACTAGGTCCACTGGGAGAACAGGCAGTGCTCTTAATCACTGAGCCATATCTCCAGCCCCCTACCTTTGATTTCTTAATTTTGTAATGATAGTAACTAATACAAAAAATATGAGTGACTTGCTGCTCTTCCAGAGGACACAAACAAATTTCTACTGGCCTGCCTGGGTATGCACTCTAGTACAACTATAAATAAAATAAATACTTAAAAAAAAAAAAAAAAAAAAAAAAAAGACTGAGCATGGTGGTATGTATACACCTTTAATCCCAGCACTCAAGAGATAGAGGCAGGAAAATTTCTGTGAGTTTGAGGACAGCCTGGTCCACATACCCAGGGCTTTGTAGAAAGACCCTGTATCAAAAGACCAAAAAAAAAAAAAAAAAAAAAAAAAGGAAATATGAGTGCTTTAGTGAAGAACAGAGAATAAAGTAAAACTCGAAGTCCCACATCTTAACTACTAGCAGGAACAGCCTGCTTATCTAGCATTTGTGATACCCTGGTTTTTGTCCACAGCATTGGAAAAGCATAAACAAATATAGAATTAAAAAATGGGAATAGTGTTTTCATGCCCATCCATCCAGGCCTTTTGAAGAGGTCCCATTTGTGGGCTACATTACAGATGGTGCCCTATTGAGTGTCCTGTTTGCACTCCCTTCTGCCAAGAAAAATCCAGGCATTGTTTTTGAGGTAGCAGGAAACTGCCCAGGGTTCTTATGCATACTAAACAACTTCTCTATTGTTGAACTGCATCCCCAGCCCTGCCTTGGTTTATTATTATTATGTAGAGGGAGAAGCTTAGGAAGTCTGGTTAGTCTCAGACTTGCTGGATAACCATGACCTTGAACTTTAATACTCATTACTTCACCACTTAAGTGATTGCAGAAACCAGCCTATAGCACCATTTCCAGTTGTATATACTGCTAGGTTCAAACCCAGGGCTATGTGCATGCTAAGCAAGCATTCTACTACCCGAGCTACATCATATAGAGTTTTAATATCATAGCTTTATTTAGCTACTTCATGAAAGGATATTTATTTCTTGTTTTCCATTACATTAATGCCATAGTTTTTGAGTATGCAATGCTGTACATAAGTAACTAGGATTTTATGACAGTAGTACAAGAAGCTGAGACTTTGCCTCATGAACACACTGTCCTTTCTAAGTGCTGCAGATTCCCCCTTAAGCCTGAGGCATCCCCTGCCTCTTGGCTTTGCATTTACCATTTTTTTTTTTTTAATTATAAAGCTGTTGGCTAGTGACTAGCGTTTCTTACTGGTTATTTCTGTCTTAATTATTAATCCATTTCTATCAGTTTTTATATTGCCACGAGCCTGTGGCTTACCCGATTATGTTCAGCACAGTGTTACTCCTCCAGCAGTCTACATGGTGACTGCTTAGCTTGTTATTCTGATTCTGCCCAGCTATGTCATTTCCTGCCTTTACAGACATCTAGACCTCTATGTTTAGCTAGTGGCAGGTTTCTGCCCAGCTACATCATGCTATTTAATTTTGTGAATATGAGAGAAGTTGACAATGATTTATTTTAATGCCTTTGAGTGACTATTAACAAAACTGAAGATCTTTTTTGCACTATACTTGCTTATCTATGGTCCTGGACTTTCCATACACTCTTTGGGGGATCTCTGGTAGCATTGACATGCATTTGTTAAAGTATACAGTATTGCCCTTTGTGTTATAACTATGTTCTTACTGTAGCATTACCACTCCAGTTTGTGGTTTTTATATTTCAATTTTAAATTTTAAATTGTAGGTAGTCAAAATTATAAATCATTTTTGTGTGATTTTTTATTTTCAACACATGTAGGTTTAGCATTCCAAATTTGAAAATGCCTCCAACATTTGTAACTGTAAGAGTGCTGAAGACATGATACCACAAGAATAAAACCTACACTAGATCTGTTATGATGGGTCATTGTATGAAATCACCTTCAGGCAGTGTGTGTGAGATGCATAGGAAATGTAAATGATTCTATGTTTATAATTGGGTCCCCCAGTTCTCATTACATATACACAAATCACCAGGCATTGTGGCATACACCTTTAATTTCAGTATGAGGGAAACAGAGGCAGGTGGATCTATCTGAATTCAATGTCAGCCTGGTCTGCAAAGTAAGTTCCAGGTAAGTAAGGACTCATAGTGAGATCCTACCTCAAAAAACAGGTTTAGGGAGGCTTGAGAGATGGCCCAATAGCTAAGAGCATTGGCTGCTCTTACAAAAGATCCAGGTTTGGTTCCCTGAACCCACATAATGGTTTACAACTAACTATTCCATAATTCCAATTCCATCAGATCCAGTGCCTTCTGTCCTCTGCTAGTACCGGGTACACATGTGGTATATACACACATACATTCAAGCAAAATACTCATACACACACATTTTTTTTTTTTTAAATCATTTGGGACATACCCAAGTATCGCAAAATCTGGAAAATCAATCTATAATTCATAATAACTCTGAGCCCATGTGTTTTTGATAAGGAATAATTAACCATACTTAAATGTAGCACAAGAGAAAATACTATTTCCAGTCTTAATACTTTTGAGGGAATTTTTAAAAATACTCAAAAAATTTTAATCCACATGAGATTTTCTTACTATTGAAAACTAAACTAGTGGGCTGGAGAAATGGTTTGGTGGTGATAAGCATTTGTTGCTCATGGAGAGGACCAGATTCCCTGCACCCACATGGTGACTTAAAACCATCTGTAACTCCAGTTCTAGAGGATCCAATACCCTCTTCTGGTCTTTTCAAGTACTGCACACACATGGTACACACATTCATATAGGTAAACATTCATAAAATCTTTTATAAATACAGCTAAATTTTTAGTATTTATGTTGGTTTTGGAATTGTTTTTCCAGATATCTATCCCATTGTCTCTATCTCATTATGGTGTTAAGTTTCCTCCTAGTTTGAAGTATATCTGTTTTGATGTTTAGAAAATGGCATTGCCTTGATAAATGGCTGTATCCAGATATGGCTATCTTCCCTCAGATTACAGAATCACTGGAAATACTGTGTTGTGTTACTGCTGTGGTCTTCGTAGCTTCCGAGAGCTGACATACCAGTATCGGCAGAACATTCCTGCTTCTGAGTTGCCAGGTAAGGAGTCTGTTCTGTCTGTGTTGGCCTCCCTACTCAATTCAAACATGTACTTAGCATGGCTTTATACTTCATACTTAGAAGTTGTAGCATATAGGCAGAAGACAAGCACACAGGAGGGCTGAGGTTGCATTTGCTTTTCAGACTGGGTCAAGATACATGGGTTTCTACAGCAAAGCAACATAAAGACACCACTAGAACAACTTCATTTCCTTGACTTAGTTTTCACATAAATTTGTTTTTCTTGTCCAAAAATCTTGTCATGCATGGTCTATGAAAACTGATCATCAAGAGAGATAAGATGTAAGCTAGGACAATAGCTTAGTAAAGAGCTTGCTGTTCTGGCATGAAAACCTGAGTTCAGTTCCCATGTTAAAAACAAAATACAAAAACTAGATATGTAAAGGACCTAGGTGTGGTTTCTGGAAACCACATAGAAACTTAACGTTGTCTGTAACTCCAGTTACAGAGGATCTGGTATCCTCTTCAGGCCTCTGTGGACACCAAGCACACACACAATGCAGGTAAAATACTCTTACACATAAAGTAAAATAAAATAATCTTTTTTAAAAACAAAGAAGAAAAAGCCAGGTGTAGCAGCTCATGTTTATAATTTAATAACTGGGGAGTCACACAGGCAGGTCCCTGGTTTCGCCAGGTAGCTTAGCCTAATTGGCGAGCTCCAGGCCACTGAAAGATCTTGTCTCTAAACAAATAAATAATAAATAAATAAAATCAAGGTAGATGATGATACATTGACTTCTGAGTTCTACACATATATGTGTATCCACATACATGCACCCGTATGAGCATACATGAACACACACAGAGTGACAAAGATGCTTTGTGCTCAGGGAGAGTTTCCCTGTATCTTTAGTTAAATTCATGTAGCTACATGAAAAGTGTGTGATGCATCTAATGGAGACATGTACTTTCTTTTCCAGTGACTGTAACATCCCGTCCTGATTGCTATTGGGGCCGTAACTGTCGCACTCAGGTGAAGGCTCACCATGCAATGTGAGTGAAGCTGGGGAATATTTGGGTCAACTACAGGTCCTCCGGGCTTAGGGATTGGGAAGGCAACAGTAAGGTGAATTGTATACTAAAAAATGCACAAATTTGGTGACTTACGGTATCCACTATAGTAGAGTACAAAGTTCTGGGTTCAGTTCCCAGCATCCCACTCCATCCCCCAAATACATATTGTGTGCTAATTTAATTCCTGTACTTCTATAAAATCATGTATTGTATAAAACAGCATTTTTATATAGAAATTCTTCTCTCATGTCACTGCATTTCTTGAAATGCTTTTATGCAAATATCTACCTCTGTCTTTCATTTGTGTCTTCATGGTTGGAGTCACATTATGCTTTATCTGACAGCTAGTAGTAGCTCTTTCTGGGTTAATAGCTGTGGTCACAGCATATGTCTACAGAGTTACCCACCCAATTTGTGATAGAGTCACACCTGGGTTTCTCTTAATATTGGTGTGTGTGTGGGGGGTGTTGTGTTATAACTGAACCATTCCCACTGTGACACTCAGCGCTAATCATTCTACTTCTGTTTTTATTTTTTTTAAAGATTTATTTATTATGTATACAGTGTTTTATCTGCATGTTTGCCGGCACACCAGAAGAGGGCACCAGATCTTATTATAGATGGTTTTGAGACACTATGTGGTTGCTGGGAATTAAACTCAGGACCTCTGGAAGAGCAGTTCATGCTCTTAATCTCTGAGCCATTTCTCCTGTGCCTGTTCCTGTTTTTAAACAATTAGGGCCGTGGTCACTGTTAATCAATACACTAGCTAGTATTTAATCTCTAAACAGATTTTTGATTGAGATTAAGGCAATGGAACTGGTATCCACAGTATGAGAGAGAGGAGAACAGAGGTGACTTTTTTTGTTGCTGATGTTGTTTTGAGACAGGGTTTCTCTGTGTAGCTTTGTAAAACAGGCTGGCCTCAAACTCACTTGGGAGGCAGAGGCAGATGGATCTCTATGAATTTGGGGCCAGCATGGTCTACAGAACAAGTTCCAGGACAAGCCAAAGCTGTTAGCACAGAGAAACACTATAGCAAAGGTTAAAAAAAGAAGAATAAAAAGAAGAAGAAGAAGAAAAAAAAAAAAAAAAGAAGGGCAGGAAGGAAGGAGGGATGGACAGATGGACGGACATTTCACAACTAACTCACTTTTGTTCATGGTAGTGTGGATATGAGTAGCAAAGGCACACACCACTTTCCCCATGCACATCTCCAATCTTGCCCCTGGTTTGTGGAGAAGGAAAGGTGGCCACTGTCACACCAGCATCTGTCTCCACCCTGCTAGGTGAAATGTAGGCAAAAACGAACATTACAGTTGTTTTTCGAGACAGGGTTTCTCTGTAGCTTTGGAGCCTGTCATGGAACTAGCTCTTTAGACCAGGCTGGCCTTGAACTCAGAGATTTGCCTGCTTCTGCCTCCTGAGTGCTGATATTAAAGGCATGTGCCACTAACACCAGGCAGTTTTTATTCTTTAATCTGATAAATTACCCACAGTGTTTTTATTTTCATTTTAAAATTTAAAAAGATATAAAGAAGACTACCTTTGGAATTTAGTGTCTTTAGGAGGGCAGTGCCTTATCCATTAGGCTACTGGGGCTCTGGAGTTTAGTGTGTTTAATATTATTAAAAAGTACGTAGAGGGACTGGAGAGAGATGGTTCAGTAGTTAAGAGCACTTGCTCCTCTTCCAGACAACTTGAGTTTGGTTCCCAGAACCCATGTCAAATGGCACACAAACATCTGTAATACCAGCCCCAGGGGATTTGATTCCCTCTTCTGGCCTAACCCTAACCCTGGCCACCTGTACACACATGGCATATACTCAAACAGACATATATAAATACACATAAATTTAAAATTCTTTAAAAAACACAATTTTTTTAAAGCATAAAAACTGTTGAGTGAGCTCACATATATGAAGCATACATATTTTTATGTGGTGATTACAGTATGCAGTTTCACAGCCTTTGATGTTTTCTCTCCCTGCAGGAAATTCAATCACATCTGTGAACAGACAAGGTTCAAGAACTGAGTGTTGGAGGATACACATAACAGTTACAGAGCATAGGAAGCAATGACACTATGTTTTTTTGTTTGCTTGTTTTTGTTTTTTTGGTTTTTCGAGACAGGGTTTCTCTGTATTGATTTGGAAGTTGTCTTGGAACTAGCTCTGTAGACCAGGCTGGCCTCGAACTCACAGAGATCCACTTGCCTCTGCCTCCCAGAGGCTGGGATTAAAGGTGTGAGGCACCAACACCCGGCAAGACACTATGTTTTTAACAAAATCATATACAAATACTTAAGGGCATTTTTAGAGTTCTCCTTTTATAGTCTAGCACTGGGGGTTTCTGGTCAGGCACTCCCTTTGTGGAGCTTTAACTTCAAACACACATACACCATGTGTCCCAGTAACCTAGAAGGCCTATACATACACACCCACACCGTTTGTCCCAGTAACCTGGGAGGCTTACTGGCCACACTGGCCTCCTAGTCAGTGCGGGAAGATCAACAGTAAGATCTCTCTCCCACTGGACAGCTCTTCCCTTGTGTGTGGTGAGGCAGTGATAGTGCAGGTTTATACTTTTGTATCTTTTATACCTTGTACCTTGACTACAGTTAAAATGGAAACATTTCATGGGAAAAAAGCGTCAGATATGTAAGGAGCATTCTATGTAAGGAAAGGAAGTGTAAGTTTACAGCCTCCAGGGATGTACAGGATATTCTTACATCTGGAAAGCCACAGCCTTTTGTATATTTTTTATTTTAATAGGTTTGGTGCTTATCTTTTAATAAGATTAAAATATTAAAAACTGTAGCACAAATATTATAACTTATAATTTATAAATTGACTGAAATGAATTGGGAGTCTGATATTTGAAAGAAGAAGCATATGTTCCTGTATTTAAAAAAAAAAATTAAATGTCCAAAACTGCTAATCCTGAGGAGGATATCTTGAGTATCCAGGTTCTTGACAAGAGGCTAGCCAATGCCTCTTATGTGGCAGTTTACAGCCTCTGCTGTTAGCCCTCCAATACCTGAGAGCAGCCCCCTGCTGAAACTCCAGATGTCTCCAGACTGATAGGGCTTCTGCTTTCTAAGCCCTGTGCTGGTATATTAGATTTGTTATGTCATCTGGAATAATACTTGAAATTTTGTTTTTTGGATTTTTTTAAGCTTTTTTTTTATCTTTTATTGAAATTGCCTGTTATCTTTGTTTGCAAACTGCTAACTTTTTGCTTCTCAGGAATACACTTTTCAACTGTTGTCTTGCTCTTGATACAGACTGAGAGGCAGCACTCTGTATTTGTGGGAGGTTCTTTTATTTTATTTTATTTTTGATCCTAATAAATGAGCTGTGTTTGTTTCTCTTGTGTTTCGTTCTTATGTGAGGTGCCACATGCTTCATGCTAATATAGACAAGTGCCACTATTTACTACATTAATTCTTCACTACTCATAATATTTACTTTATTGCCTGTTAGTCAATCTTGTAGCTCCACCAGCAGATAGGTAATGTCAGGAGGTAAGCAAACAGGACCTGGTTGGACTCAAAACCTGAGCACTTTGAACATGGCACAGGACAGTCTATTTTGTCAGTCCATGTCAGGGGGTGGGGGAATGTGTTGTCTGTACAGGTGGAACTCTTTAGTCTATAGAGTGAGTTTCATGACAGGCTCAAAAGCTACAGAGAAACCTTGTCTCAAAAAACCAAAAAAGAAAAAGATAGCTAAACCAGAGATAAAGTATAATGTGGATCTGATGGGAGATGTCATTCTGTATATGTTTCTCATACTGGTTAATAAATAAAGCACTGTTGGCCAATAGGAAAGGAAGATAGGAGGGACTAGGAGACAAGGAGGAAAAGGAAGTAGTAAGGAGGAGTCAAGATGGAGAGCCTGGACAGAGCAGAACCGTCATTCCTCCGCTCTCGGTAAGACCACGTGGAAATACATAGAAATGGGTTAATAATTAAGACAGAGCTAGCCAATAAGAAAGTAGTACCTGGCCAACAGCATAATATCAAATACAGAGTCTGTACATTATTTGGGACAAGAGTCGGCGGCGGCGGGCGGAAAAACCATACTCCTTACATGGGTCTCTGCCAGTTGAGGGTGTTGGTCTGGGAGCCTAGGAGAGAATGATGAGATAGGGTGGCCTTACACAGCTATAGTGAGGTTTAGCCGACAGTCCCAGAAACTATTGCCACCAGAAGCCTAGAATTAGGAAACGGAAACTTAAGTAAAAAGAACACAGAATCCAGTGTGATTCTCACTTCAAGTATGGTATGCTGTAGGAACCCAGACACTGTCCCTAACACTGTTCTCTGGTTTTGTCTTCTCTCTTCCTCCCCTCAAATTTTGGTGTACACACAGTTAATGGTCAGACATTGTCAATAATCTATGAAGAAATTGTGTCTCACCTTAAGAAAAGAGAACAGAAGCCCACAAAACAGGAGAAGCCAGATTCACCAGACATAGTTAGCCATATAGTAAGCTCAGGTGATCTATAACAGAGCCACCACCTCAAAGTTAAACACAGACCATTAAACACAGACACTAGTTTAAATGTATAATAACACGAAAAATAAAATTCAGTGACAGATACTGGGGTTCAAGCTGAAGTTTCAGAGAATCAAAGAAGCCACTAGAGAGTTCTCACCTCTACCAATGCTCAGACCAAACTGGTGATCCACTGAATCTCAGTTTCATCTCCTAGACTACTACGGTCTCTTCAACGTGACTGGAGACTAATTCTCTGAGATTGACTTTGTTTCTTTTTATACCTCTCAAATCCTGGGATTAAAGTCATGTGATCCCAAGTGTTGAGATCACCTTTATGTGGGCTGTCTCTAGGACTGGATCAATTTTGTGTAGCTCAGTATGGCCTTGAAATAACAGATCTGTCTGCCTGTCTCCTGAGTCCTGGGATTAAAGGTGTGTGCCATCACTGCCTGGCTCTTTGGCTTGCTAGTATGGCTGCTGGGATTAAAAGTGTGTATCACCACTGCCTGGATCTGTGGTTTGTGGCTAGCTTTGCTTTCTGTATCCTCAGGCAAACATTAATAAATCATAAATAATACATCACATCATAACATAGAACTACATAAATTACACTAAAACAAAGGTAATAAACACTTGGATTTAAACACTTCCTAGTCTACTGTATTCCATGCTCTCTGATTTCTCTGGGATATGTACATCCTTATGTCTATGAGTGGATAAAAACTCCAGAGTAGATATCATACCACCCACACATGCCATGAAAACCTGCTTTCATGGTCTTCAACATCTCAGAAAACATGACCCTGTGACATGGGTCAAAACCCAGGCATCATCCTTCATCTCTCTTTCTGGCAGAGCAACTGCATATATGGCAAGACTGAGCACTGTTCCCATAGCCAGAGTTTGTGCCTGGGCCACTGTTTACCTCTGATTACTGTAGGCTTTTAAATCTCTGAAACTTCTGCTTTCTTACTGCTGCAGATCCTATTATAGCCTCAAAGACATTCCTTCTCCATGTTGCTCACATTTAACACTCTCCTAGATCCTCACATGCTTTCTACCCACTCAGGCAAGTTTAGTTCTGAGCTTACTTCCTCACATGAACCTGGGAGCACTTTGGAGTTCTGAAGCAACCTTTCCCCAGGTACTGGCTCAGATTGATGAAAGCTCCTTAAAAAGTATATTTAAAAACTCGTGTGCATGAGTGTACATGAGAGAGGGATAGGTATACATGTGTGGTGAGTGTGCTGTGGTGCATGTGTGGAGAGGAGAGTTGGTTTTCTCCAACCACCTTTACTTGGGTGTTTAGGTTGCCAGTCTTGTGCTACAAGTGCCTTTACCTGCTGAGTCATTACCAGCCCAGGGAAGTCCTTTCTAAACAATTCATAAAATTGCAGGATATCTACCCACCTATCCATTCATCTCTGACATCATCTCCTGTTCTGCTCTCCTGTACGTTGACCATTTCCCACCCTGGAGTAAGTTTGACAGCAGGGATTTTTAGACCATCTGGCAAAGTCCTTGGCACACAGCAGTCCTCAGTAGTATAGAATAAACAGATACAAGTGGCAGTTCCTCTCACTGTAACTCCTGCTTATACCAGGTATTGGTTTTGGAAGGGTTGGCCCCCCCACCCCCATGGACATATAGAGCTAGAACCCTGTCGGTCCCTTTGTCCACCTCAAGGTCCTCTACATGCAGAACAGTGTGGAGCTCAATGTACTGAAATTTGTGCATTGCCTGATGAGTACAGAAACTAAGGGGGAAATATCCACTAAATAGAATATTATTCAGCAATGGAAATGAAGCACTAAAACATGTACAACATGGCTACATCTTGAAAAAGTACTCGGAGCTACATGGTACATGAGCCTTTTTCATTTCATTTTTTTTTTTTTTTTTTTTTTTTTTTTGAGACTGGGTCTCGGCTACATAGTATGTGAGTCCTATTTCTATGCAGTATTTAGGCAAGCACACTCAGAAACAGCATAGTGGTGACCATGGCTGAAAGGAGAGGATGAGAGCCACTCCCATGAAAGTGCTCTAAAACGGGATTGTAGAAATGGGTGTATAGCTGCAAATTTACTGAAATAATGATCAAATTGTACACAGGGGCAAATTTTATAGTAAGTCAATTATATTTTAATAAAGCTACGGTAACTTTTATTTGTGGCTGGAAATGTGGCTTGGAGAAGGGGAAGTTGCTTGGTTTTTTTCGAGACAGGGTGTCTCTGTGGAGCTTTGGACCCTGTCCTGAAACTAGCTCTGTAGACCAGGCTGGCATCGAACTCACAGAAATCCACCTGCCTCTGCCTCCAGAGTGCTGGAATTAAAGGTATGTGCCAACGCCAGGCTCATTCTAGACCTTTTTAAGAATAAACTTACTTTATAGTCCAGTCAGGCCTTGAACTTGTGATATTCTGCCTCAGACTTCCTTATGCTAGGATTGCAGTCGCGTGGCACAGGGTCTGACGTGGATGGATATCGCTTGCACAACACAAGCTAAGTATCCAAACACTAGTAATCTCCTGTACCACCGTGGAGGCGGTGTCGGGCGGGCGAGCCACGCCCTCTGGGACGTGACCACGTGGATCACTTATCCACCAGTCAGAAGGCTGCGAGGGGCGGTAGACGGGCGAATCCTGGTTGCGCCATTGCCGCCGGAAGCTTAACTTTTTTTTTTTTTTTTTTTTTTTTTTTTTTGGAGTGAGTTGGTCTTGTTAGCTGGAAGTTGTTTCTCTGAGGGGAGGGCCCACAAAAATTTAAGGTCGCTTTCTGAAGTCTGCCTCAGTTCTGTCGGGAGCGAGATCCGTATCGACCCTAGTTTGAAGGTGGCTTCTTGCCGCTGACAGTCTCTCTTCCGGAACGAAAGCCGCGCGGACAGGCTGTTTCCGGAGGGGTTGCCCGAGACTGGTGCCCTGTTGCGCCCCGCCCCTCGCACGGCCACGTCCTACCGGAGCCGCAGGGCTGGGCCGCTGATGGTGAGGGTTGTGTGGGTCTAGTACTGAGGTGGCCTTGGGGTCGTGGACGGTGGTGGGACTGGCCGGGCGGGCAGCGCCGCGCCCAGAGAGGCATGCGCCGGTAAGACTGATGCAGGGTCCGGGGAGGGTCGCGCAGACTTTGGGGCAGCGCTAGTAAGCTCTTCCTTCTAGGGTCTCAGGCTGGAAGCCTGCCTCGCAGCTCGTGTCAGTACCGGCTTGGTAAACGCAGGGGCTCCCCCTGCACCTCATGGGATGCGGTCGGCCCTGAGAGCGTGTGCTACTGCTGCTTGGGTCAGCTTGTTTGAAGTCTTCTCCTTTTGCAGTTGATGGCGAGTGTGACATGGTGGCAAGTCGTTCAGTTCGTGGGGGGACTTATTGTTTCGGTTCTGGTGCTCAGAGGTGTTTCACGGTGCTGCTGACATGGACAGTAGAGTCAGTGACTGGAGAGAGCTAAGTGAACAGCTCACCCTTTCCACAGGCGCTTTCTGAATGTCTGTGGAAGGAGAGGCTCAGTTTGTGACAGGTCCTAGGATACAGTTGTGTTGTGGTCTCTGTTCTCACCATTTTATGTTGAAAGCATACTGACAACTCAAAATAGTTGTTGAGAGGATTAGCTTTGTTAGGTCTGAGGAAAAGGTGACTTTTGGCCCAAGGCAGGTCTCCATGATAAGAAGCTTCTGTGCAGTTGTTGAAAGTATTTCTCAGAAGAGTGAACAAGAAGTCCCAGTTGGGCGCGGTGGTGCACACCTTTAGTCCCAGCACTCAGGAGGCATAGGCAGGCAGATCTCTGTGAGTTTGAGGCCAGCCTGGTCTCTATAAAGCTAATTCCAGGAGAGCCAGGGCTCTGTTACACAGAGGAAACCCTGTCAAATAAGCAAACAAAAAAGTATAGAGACACTACGGAGAGTCATTTGTACTTCTGGGTGCTATTATGCCAGGTAATGAAAAAAGGCACAGCATGTGAGGGGTGCAAACATAAGCAGGAACCACATAAAAGTGATCTCTGTTTTAGGCTACCTAAGAGGTTTGTATTTTATTGTCAGTGGGGCATTGTAAACCATTTATAGATGCATCATGGCCTTTGCTTTTATAACCGTTTAGTAGCTCCTAGCTACATTGTACCTTAAATGAAAAGGAAAAAACTGGGTGTAGTTGCACATGCCTGAAATACCAGCTCTGGGGAAGCCAAGACAGGAAGACTTCCACTACTTTGAGGTCCAGGCTACATACTGGATTCTGTTTCAAAACCCAAAAGCCGATCGGCAAGATGGCTCAGTGTTTAAAGGTTCTAGAGTCTGACACTATGAGTTCTATGGGAACCCCATGGTGGAAGGAAAGAACCCACTATCATAAGCTGTCCTCTGACCTTCACACACCAGTGACTGTGAACACATAAACACAGACACAATTTGGCGGCGGTGGTGAAGTCTATCTACTCCTTACTCCCCAGAAAAGAGAATCATAAGAAATGAAAGTCATCTGATGATACTCAGATTTAAAAGTAGCTGGATTTGGGTAAATTGATTTTTCAAGTGAGAATATAATTTCCATTTGGCTTTTACTATCAATTTTGAACAGCTGTTGAAAGAAGAAATAATTGCACCTGTGTATTCAAGGCATGGACAGATTTTATATCTTTTTTCTTCCTTTTTTTTTTTTCTTTTTCAGATCCTATATCTTACTGTAGTCCATTCTACCAAAACTTTGTATTCATTTTCTTTCTGTTTTTGTTGATGAGAAAATAAGCTAAGTGTGGCTCAGAAATCTGTCTAACGAGACCTTACAGCCAAATGGAAGAACAGTCAGGATTTGAGGTAAACATGTTTAACTCAAAACCTGTAACTTATGTCCTTGCTGTACCTGAGGCTGAACTTTGCTTTTACTTATATAGAGTGATATTTGTTATTATTTGATGTCATCAAGCAGACATCCTCGGGAAGTCCTCTTTTGTCTTTGGTTATGCTTGTCTAATTGATGATAACCTCAGTAATAGGGTAGCTATTATTTGTAGACCAAGTTCATGGACTCTGGGGAAAGCTTGAAGACCTGTTGTATCTGAGATTGTAGTATCAATGTGTCTAGGTGAACTGCTAAAGTTGGGTATCTTTGTTCTGCCATCTAGAAATGGAAATGCATGTGGTTAAAAAAAAAAACTATAACCTAAGTGAAGTTATACAGGACTGTAATCCTAGCATTCAAAAGGTGGAACCAGGAGGATCTACCTGGGTTGGAGACTATACTGGTCTGTATATTGAGCCTTTGTCTTTAAAACAAACAAACAAACAAATCAAGATAGCTAAGATAGCTTAGTCAGTTAAGTGCTTGCTATACAAGCATGAGGACTTGACTTTGATGCTTTGTCAAAGCCTGTATAGAAAAGCCAGGTAAGGTAGTCTACATTTGTAACTCCAACACTGGGGAGGTGGAAACAGGCTCCTTGACCAGCCAGTATTGACGAACTCACGGTAAGTTAGAGATGCTGTCTCAATAAAACAAAGTGAATGTCATCTGAGGATGCACACATACATACACATTATAAAAACCTAATTGACCAAACAAATGAAAAAAAAAAGGATAACTGTAATGAGAATGAACTCTTTTTTTTTTTTTTTTTTTAAACTCACAAATGTGTGTATTACAAAAACAGCTTTTTTGTGCCTCTCCTCACCCCCACCCCAGCTGGATCGTCTTCTTCCTTGATGCTCAGAGACTTGCCCTTGTCAGCAGTCTGAGGTAATGAAACCCTGTATGACTGAGTCATGCTTACCAAAATTCAAAGGAGACCAATGGTAGACAGTAAATGTCAGTTTATTGCCCTTCATGCAGGACTGCTGTCAGAAGCCCAACTCCTGGCATGGTCCAGAAATATTGTCTGTAGAACCACTTAAGGAGTAGCTAGCTGATTTTGAACAGGAGCCATCTAAGCGAGTTAATCAGTCAGTTGTAGTTGGGATCCCCTGTTCTAGAGGTCTGTACTATTCCTTCTCTGAAAGGAGGAAGGACTGCATGGGAATCATGTGTCTTACTTAGCACAAAATCAGAGTAAAGGGAATAAAGAGGGGAATATGTGATGATCTCTAGCTTGTGACAGCCTGGTACATCTGCTGTCAAATTTACATCATCAGCGGAACTAATGTCTGTCTTTATGAATAGTCTCACTGTTTCTTAGCTGTCCTCCTTTTTGTATTTGTCATATTCTATACCTATACTAGTCATTTGCTATGTTGATAAGTTGAACTGACCATATCAGTGGTGGGTTCCCTCATCACAGGTGGTCATCAGTCACAGAAGACAGATGGATTCAAAGGACATGTGTGCAGTGACAGGTGTCAGTATGCTATCCCTACTATCAAGTCAGCATCACACCTTGTGTGTGAAGTTTCTTCCCTGTAAATCCTCGCTGTGAATTTTGATTTTGTTTTGTTTTGTTTTTGAGAAAGGGTCTCAACTTGTAGCCCAGGAATGTTTGAAACTCACTATGGAGTCTAGATTGACCTCAGACTCCAAGATCCACCTGATAACCTCTTGAGTACGAAGACGTATGCCACCACACTTGGCTCAAGTGTGCTTTGTAAGCTCAGGATGTAGGTTATTTTGCCATGAAATATGTTAAGCATAGCACAGAAAGAATAATAGGGAACTTATTCTGAAGAACATAGATACCAATATTCCTAAGTATGCCTGGAAACTCATATTTAAATCTTACCTTTTGATAAGGAAATGACTTAGCAAAATCATCAGCACACCTCAGAGTTGATAACTAATTGCCAGATTCAAGGTGAAGTTGTATTTTCCTAAACTTAGTCTACCGTAGTGGGTCAGAAAACTACTGATTCTCCTAATAGGGAAGGGTAGATGGTCACCTGCCGTAAGATCCCTCTCTGCCTATTTTCTAAGTTAGCTACCTTTCTATGTGTGTCCTTGAATCTCCCTTCTGGATCTCCCCATCTAGCATACTGTCATCTCATCCTTTTGGCAACCTGAGCTGTATAACTTACAGAGGGGGAATTTCCTTTGGGCTTGGGCATGGCCATTGCAGGTGTTTTATGAGCAGCCACGTCTGTCTAGTTTATAAGCTGTTGACCACAAATAGCTATTTAAATCAGATTAAATGTAAATAAAATTTAAAGTTCAGTTTCTCAGCACACGCTCAACTACAACAGATTACAAGCTCTTTAAAACCTTGAAAAATCATTTGTGGTAGAACTTCCTGTAAATGACACCAGGAGCGACACCCAGTTCCTTATGGCTAAGGTGTGGCTGGTTTGATATTTTACCCTCAAGACCTAGGATGTTGTTGGTGTTCAAGGATGGTTTGTGGCATGGAAATCTGTGTTTGTTTTCTATACAAGTTGGGAGCCTTGTAACTGTTACTTGAAATCTAACAAATTATGTTTCATAATAGATTTTTTTCTTCCCCTTATCAGGAATCATGATATTACTTGGATTGACTTCAAGCCATACATGAGACATTAACCTTATGCTGAAAATGGAAAACAGAGTAGGATCCTTCCTAGAAGCTCTGGGCTGTTGCTGATGGCAGAAACCAAACTTACTACAGAGTCACTTCTCGCTCCTCAGAGTCTTCTTAGTCTGGATTGCCCTGACCATGGATGGTGCACCAGCGGAAGACAAGTCTAGCAATGATATTTCATCTTGCCCTGAAGCCTCACTGGAGTCATTGGACTCACTGGCCCTACTTCCTGACCAACCAAACAAAGTTCAGAGTAAGTCAACAGGTCATTCTTTTTAGGCCCTAGCATTTAATTTTCAAGAAGATGTGATCAGCCTGTGTTTTGGAGGGGGGCGGGGGAGCGTGAACTTTCATTTTCTGAGTGTTTTAGTTATCTTATAAATATTTTCATTTGGTCCTAACTTTAGATCAAGCATAGTCTATAGTTAACAGAATAGGAGCCACTTGGATATGTACCATGGTCAACAGTAGAGCTGCTTCCTGAAGGCTTCTGTGGGTCTTCACTGGTGAATTATTATTAGTGCTTGAAATTCTATCTTTCTGGTTGATTGGGTGCCAGAGTTCTAATAACTGGAACTGAGTGGTCTAGGATTCCTGAATCATGTTTCTCTGTTAGCTGCTGGGTTGTTTGACAGTTGATTCCCAGACCCGATGCAATCAAGAACTAGGAATGCACTATGCACTTTAAAAAGATAGATTATTATGTACTAGTTCTCTAACAGAAATTACACTGCAGGTCTTTTAAAATGATGTTCAAGAAGTTAGTGTGCAGTGGGTGAGGCAGGTACTGGTATTCATACCTGAGAATGGATTCTTGCATGGAACCACATCTTAGATCTACCACTAAGGAAGATTCATGGAGCCTATGTATAGGGTAGTTGTGAGGATTAAAAGGAGTGATGTATATAATGTGCCAAAAATGCTGGAATGTAGCTCAGTGATAGAATATTTTCCTGACATGTGTGAAGACCTGATTCAATACCTACTGCCTAGTGAACATCCAGTAAGTGGATGCAGCCATTTCTGTCTTCTATCCATCGTGATAATTTTGTTTTGGAAACAAAGTCTTCATACATATTGGATCTTGTTGCTTTTAGATTTTGTTTAAGGTGTAGTATGTTGTTCAAAACTCATTTTGTTTAACAGTCTACACATCAGAAAGTGGTGTTAGCCATTTGTAACTTGTATCTGAAATGCAGAATACCTGCACCCTTTAATAAAGGGTGACAGTGTGGGGCCATAATCCTTGTTCCCTTTAGCAAAGGACACCTTTAGTAAAGCTGGCAGTGTGGGGCCATCTGTGTCTTATAGCAAACATGTCTTGGTCATTGATGATTTCATTTTCAAGGAGGCATGCCAGTGAGTAGCAGGAACTTTTTTTAAAAAAGATTTTATTTATCATGTATACAGTGTTCTGCCTGCATATATGCTTTTATACCAGAAGAGGACACCAGATCTCATTATAAATTGTTGTAAGCCACCCTGTGATTGCTGGGAATTGAACTCAGGACCTCTATGACACAGTCAGTGCTCTTAACCTCTGAGCCATTTCTTCAGCCCCCAAGAAGCAAGAACTTTAATTTGTAAATAACAACCCTGCTTTTTTGGCATGAGCAAAAAAATAAAATAAGTAGAAGAAGAAGGGGGTGTGGAGGTGTGGAATTTCCAGCATGCCCTCTGGATAGTTCTTGGTACTATTGATATTAGTGTCTGTGAGATCTTAGGTCACTGAGCCTGGCAATTCCTTAGGATAGACTCTCCCTTCTTCCTTAGTGATAAATGGTTTACCCACTAGGGGAAGGCAGAAGAAAATCTAAATTTGACTTAATTTTGAAGTCTTTATCTTTTGAGGAAGAACTGTGTTTTGGTTCTTTGTACAATAATGGTGGTACGTGAGGCTGGGTTTGGGTCATGAGCAGAGTCCTTATGGGTAAACTTAGGTTATAGTGTTTTTAAGGTACAGTCTCTTAGGGCCCAGGCCTTCCTAAAATCTCCTGTATATCTCATATATATAAATCATGATCTCTTGACCTTCCTGCTTGTATGTCCCAAGTGCTGGGATTATAGGCATGAATAGCCACACCTGGTTTGTGAATAGAGTTTTTATAATACCTAATCCTTACTCATCACTTTTGCAGAATTACTCTGATGTGATTATGTACCTCTTTGGAAGAGAACATATTCTGAATTTACTTTGAAACCAGTGCATGAAAATGTAAGCGTGGGCTCTGGTTAGCCCTGCTGTCACCTGTATGTGTTTGAAAAATTCTCAGCTTTGTTTTAAGCCTCTGCCTGCCTCCACACACACACACTTAAAAAAATAGACTTTCAAAGATTTTTAAATTTTGTTTTCTAACATAAGTAGGAAGGAAACATGAGTTACATACCACAGTCATAATATGGAGGTGAGGCTAACTTCAGGTGAGGACATGAGACTTTGCCCCAAGTCTCCCTGCCCCATGACAGGTATGGAACCTATTTCCTGAGAGTCAGAGAAGACACACTTGTAAAATGTGGATAAGCTGTGCTCATAGGATTTACATATAGCCATATGTCTGGAAATGACCTAACCTTTTTCAAATGCAGTCTAACACACTTTTACCTCTCTTTCCAGGTGCCAATATTGAGGAAAACAACAGAATTTTTAGGGAAGGAGGAAGTCCAGATAGATCCAGCCAGGAGGCCCTTTGTCAGAATGGGCAGTTCCCAGACCCTCCGTTGTCTCTTGATCCCACAGCAAGCACAGTGGGACCTGATGGCTCTGCAGGTGTGGATGGTTTCCATGACAACCTAAGGAAGTCTCAGGGAACTAGTGCTGAGGGCAGTGTTAGAAAAGAAGCTTTGCAGTCTCTCAGACTCAGTCTTCCCATGCAAGAAACGCAACTGTGTAAGCATCCATTCCCTCTGGACTCTTACCACCCCTTGCTATCAACATCTTCTACTTGGAATCAGTGCCTGACTGCTCCTGTGTGAGCAGTCCTGACTTGTCCTGTCTTATCTTAGTACTCAATGCAGGCGACAGAAGGATGCATCTTAATGGTGTAGTTTCCCTTTAAAGAGTGCAAGTACATCTGGGTGTTGGAACTTTCTTCCATCCAATACTAGCAACAGTCAGATTTCCTGACAAAGACACCTCATATGTCATTCTTCATGGGTAGCTAACAAACAGGCAAGAGTTTTCTCTTAAGTCGGTAAACCATATTCTCACAAGATCCTTTGCATGTTTATATAAACATACCCACATTTTTCATCACTGTCTTTAAAAGTGAAGTTTATGTACCTGTAATTAGCCACTTGTGAAATGCTAAGGCAGGAAGATTGAAAGTTGAGGCCAGCCCAGCAACTTAGCAAGGCCCCTGTAATCAAAGAAAACAAAAGGAATTTTAGGGGCTAGAGAGATGGCTCAGCAGTTAAGAGCATTTATTACTCTTGCAGAGTTGGTTCCCAGCACCCACATCAGTAACCCCAGCCCCAGGGCATCTGATGCCCTCTTTTTACATCTGTGGTTATCTTCACTCAGACAGACAGACAGACACACACACACACTTAAAAATAAAACTTTTTTAAAGGTAATTTTAAAATGGGATTCTATTGTTTAAATAATTTTACAAGATTAAAGCATTTCATTTTATTTTGTGGCTCCCCCACTACCCACGGAAATTTGTGTTGGCAGCTCCCTGTTACCTGATGTATTTCTTTTACTTTTAATGAGATGGAATTTCTCTGTATGGTCCTGGCTTTCCTAGAGCTTGTTCTGTAGACCAGGCTGGCCTTAACTAACAGATTCACCTGCCTCTGCCTCCCCAGTGCTGGGATTAAAGAAGGCGTGTGCCACCAACGTCCGGCTCCTGATACATTCTAATGCTTGTCCATAATAGGCAGTATAACAGCTACAATCTTGGTACATGTGTCTTTGGGCCATTAAGCTTGCTTCTCTGTGAATCAAGCAGGTCATTAATATTTTGTTAGTAACTAGTGAAGACACTTTCCCCCAACTACAGTATATAGACTGTAACGAGTACGGTTTTTCCACCCGCCGCCTGGTCTTGTCCTGCCGCCGCGCCAGCCCCAGTTAACACACAGAGACTCTGTATTTGATATTATGCTGTTGGCCAGGTGCTAGTTTCTTATCGGCTAGCTCTATCTTAATTATTAACCCATTTCTATGTATTTCCATGTGGTCTTACCGAGAGCAGAGGAATGGTGGTTCTATTCTCTCCAGGCTCTCCATCCTGACTCTTCCTTACTACTTCCTCTTCCTCCTTGTCTCCTAGTCCCTCCTATCTTCCTTTCCTATTGCTTTATTTATTAACCAGTCTGAGAAACATATACAGAATGACATCTCCCATCAATAGACTTTTTTTTTTTTTGGTGGATAAAGAAGCAAAGCCTGATGACCTGAATTTGAGTCTCTGGGTTCCATGTAAAGATAGAAGGGGAGAACTAACTCTACAAAGTTGTCCTATGACCTCCTCATTCATGACATAGCATATACTTGCCCATACACATAGAAAATAAAAATAATTAATTCAAGAAATTTAGGATGTGACTAGATGACTCAATTGGTAAAGGCATTTGCCATTAATCCCATGGATCTGAGGTCAATTCCCAGGACCCACATTATGGAAAGAGAAATGACTCTTGCAAGTTGTCCCCTCACCTTACAAGCATGCTCTGGAATTTGTATGTTCCCAGGGCTCAGATAGGTAGGTAGGTAGATAGACAGATAGAATTATGCATTCTTAATAAATAAATATATTCATGTATTTTAAAGATGAACTTACATATTTGATCTTACTTGCCCAGATGTAAGGAGTTTACACCTTGCTAATGACAATGTATGGATCTGTTCTTATAGAGCTCTGTCTCAAACAGCTTGTCATGGAGCTTTAGTGTTTTTTAAACCCAGGTATGCTTACTGATTTGTGGCATCTGTGCAATGACCATAACCTTTGAATTTGTCATGCATATGGCCAACCCACTTGAATGACAGTAGCTTCTGTGAAAAGTCAGGGCACAGATTGCTAACCACAGTGAATTTGGTAGCTGTCTATAATTTAAAGATTTTTTTAATGCTCTTTTTAAAACTGTTGCTACTTCAGAATCCATGTCTGAAGAGGGTGATATATGTAAAAGATAGTGAAATTATGCATTTGTCCTCTTTTTTGACCTTTTAGTTCTCTGCTGATGTTTCACAGACACATCTTCTGGTTATTAGTATTAAAACCATAAACCCAGCCCTGGTGGCTGTCTTGGGTTTGCAACTGCAATAACTTTAGGTCACCTGCTCCCCAACAGGTTGAGTTTTAACTATTTTAAATCATTTTTTTTTTTTTTTTTTTTTTTTTTTTTTTTGGTTTAAAAGTTTCCATTTGTGCTTACTATCCTTGAATATGAGTTTTAGATTGAGCTCATTTGTTAGGAAACCAATGTAGCCCTCTCTTTGCCCTCAAAGACAGAGCCTTGATTTTATTTATTAAATAATGTTTGAATAAATATAGTTAATATGCTCTTGGTTTTTATATGGTGTTATGTTTTGTTACTGTAGCAATTGAGATAATATATGAATGTAATTTCATAAGAAAATATATCTTTTGTTATGAGAAGAGGCCCATTGTGGCACTTGTAAGGCAGATTTTATCTGTATTCAGTGGCTGTGGCTCTCAGTTTTCTCTAGGTCTGGAAATTGTCATGAAGTGCAGGTGGCTGTGTGTGGTTTACAAGATAAAACATACTGGTGATTAAATTTAAAACAACCAATCTGTGAATACCAACTTAACTCTCTGTACCCTGCTCCCTATCAGCCTCTCAATGGTCATTTCCCTTGCAGGCTCCACTGCCTCTTCATTGCCCTTGGAAGAGGAGGAGCAGGTCCGACTGCAGGCACGAAAGCGCCTGGAAGAACAACTGATACAGTACCGAGTAAAGCGCCATCGGGAGAGGGTGAGTCTCTTGGATTGGAGTCTGGGCTGTGTGCTGTTTCCTCTGCGTGAGTTCTGAGCAAGTCTGCTCCTAAACATAGTGTCCTTGTTTACCTCGATTGTCAGTCCAGTCTGAGTTGTCTAGTTTCTCCATCTCTCACTCCTTCCCTGTGTGTCCTTTTCTAGCAGTTAGTGCTCACATGTATATAACTGCAGCCTTTGGGATGTTCATTATTCTCACCTGTGTCCCTACCCTGGGATTACATTAATTTGGTAGAATGACAGGATTGAAATTTTCCTGTAAGAGAAAGTTATGCTGGATAGATGGCTCGGTGATTAACAGCACTTGTTGCTCTTTCAGAGGACCTGGGTTTGATTTCCAGCATCCACATGCTGGTTCACAATCCTCTGTAAGTCCAGATCCAAGGCATACAACAGCCTCTTCTGGCCTTCAAGGACATCAGGCATGCACATGGTTCACAGATATACATATAGGCAAAATACATACATACATAAAATTAAATATATATATTTCGAAACAGGGTTTCCATGTGTAACTTTGGAGCTTGTCCAGGAACTAGCTCTTGTAGACCAGGCTGGTCTTAGACTCACAAAGATCCACCTGCCTTTGCCTTCCAAGTTCTGGGATTAAAGGCATGCCTCACCACGGCCCAGGTAAAATAAGAATAATTTTTAAAGAAAGTAATATTGACATACATAGCTGGAGTTTTTCCTTTATCCCAAATTTTACTTGGGCCATTGTAGAATTTCTAGTTAGTATAGTGATGTAAGAGACACTAACAAACAGGAGAATTGGTGTTATTTGCAGGTTGATGATGTCTTAGAAGACTGAAAAGACAACTGAAAACCATTATTAGGTATAATTTGGCTTTAGAAAATTATCTGTTTATTATTATAGTTATTTAATGGGAAAACCATTAATTATCATTCCATGATCACTTGGAAAAGATAACTTGCAACAAAAATAAAAATGATAAAAAAGCTGGGAATTAAAATGATAATAAACAATGTTTAAAATGGAGCAAGAGTTTCACCTAGATAGTTGTTGTGTCACAGTTATCCTGGTACCAAGATGGAGGCAAGGTGAATCACAAGGTTCTTGATCATCTGTCAACATCCTCCTCACCCCACAAGAAAGAGTACCATTTGTCTTTGCTGAGGAATGTGTAAGCAGTAAAGATGCTCATTACCTTTTGAATAATTTCAAAACTAAAATATTTTCTAAACTAAAAGTAGACCTAATTTATCAGAACTTTAAAAAAATGTTTTTTTCTGATTCTGAGAAACTAACCAGGATGATAGTCAGGAAAAGTTTTGCCAAGAAAGTTAGATGTTACTTTAAAATGTTTTCAAGTGATGGACATTAAAGGGTGTGCTTCAGGCTCAGGGATGGTCAAGTCTGGTTATTCGATGCAACTTGAGTGGTGAGAAACGGAATTAGAAGATCTGCTGCAACCCCCAACATTCTAAGGGTCTAGTAGACTGCCGTTAGTAGAAAGAATGTTCATGCTTTCTGGATGACAGTTTTAGAATACTGCTTACTAATTTTTTTTATCTTTCTTTCTTATTTATTTTATGTACATTGGTGTTTTGCCCGCATGTATGTCTGTGTAAGGATGTCAGATCTTGGAGTTACAGACAGTTATTAGCTGTCATGTGGGTGCTGGGGATTGAACCCGGGTCCTCTGGAAGGGCAGTAAGTGCTCTTAACCACCGAGCCATCTCTCCAGCCCACTCTGCTGGCTAATCTTAATCATATTTTTATGCTTCTGTTTTCTTCTCAGTCCAGTCAACCTGCAACAAAAATGAAACTTTTTAGTACACTTGATCCTGAGCTCATGTTAAATCCAGAAAACTTGCCAAGAGCCAGTACTGTAGCTGTGACAAAAGAGTATTCCTTCCTTCGCACCAGTGTTCCTCGAGGGCCCAAGGTAGGCAGCTTAGGGCTGCTGGCACATTCTAAGGAGAAAAAGAGTTCCAAATCAAGCAAGATTCGGTCTCTGGCTGACTATAGAACTGAAGATTCAAGTGACTCTAGTGGCCTTGGTTCCACTGCTGATACTGTTGGAGGTTCCCTGAAACAGAGTAGAAGCAGCACTTCAGTTGTGTCTGAGGTTAGTCCATCATCTGAGACTGATAATCGTGTAGAGAGTGCCTCACTGGCTGGGGATAGTGTGTCGGAAGCTGATGGAAATGAAAGTGACAGCTCCTCACACAGCAGCTTCTCTGCAAGAAGGGCCTGTGGTGTCCTGGCTAATGTGGGCATGACTGGAGCAGCTTATATGGTTGATGGCCAGGAGATTTCTGCTGAGGCCCTGGGCCAATTTCCTTCAATTAAGGATGTACTACAGGCTGCAGCAGCCCACCACCAGGATCAGAACCAGGAAGTCAATGGGGAAGTACAGAGCCGCAGAGACAGCATCTGTAGCAGGTAAAATAGCATGTGTTTTTTGCTAATGCACCTCAATCTTTACCTTAACTTTTCACCTACACTGAACTCTGTCACTTTATAAGTAGAGTCAGCTCTAAACCACTTGTGTAGAACAAAAAGCATCCATCTTCTCATGTTATGTAGATCTATCTCTTTAAGATATCCCAGGTGCTTACAAACTGCTGTTTCTAGAGCATGTTCTTTCGGGAGGCATGGGCATAAGATTCAATTCACTGCTTAAGGGTTTTTGAAATCTGGGAGAAAGCTGGGTGTTAGTGGTACATGTGTATGATTCAAGCACTTAGGGGACGAGATTAGTTAAGTTCAGGGTCAGTCTAGACCACATAGGGAGTTTCAGGTCACAGAGGACCTGGGTATTTCCTACATAATAGAAGGACTCTTATCTATAAAAAGGAAAAAAAAAAAAAAAGATCCAAAAAACTGGAGGAGTAGAAGGGGTATGTAGAAATTGGACAATATGAGGAGGGATAAAGGGCTAACAGCTATTATGTTCTCATCTCTTGACTTTCTACTTCTAACCCCTAGTGTGTCCATGGAGAGCTCTCTTGCTGAAACACAGGATGAAATGCTGCAGGTTCTTAAAGAAAAAATGAGACTTGAAGGACAGCTGGAAGCTTTGTCATTAGAAGCCACTCAGGTAATGGATGTTGCTTTAAAAAGCCAAATCTGTATATCTTTGCTGTGCGTAATTTTATAGAGCTCCTTAAGTGTAATTCGTCAGCCATGTTGTTCATGCTACTCATTTTTGTTTGCAGGGTGTGTTGGTCTCATACATAAGTTGTGTTGGTTGATTTATGACTCATTCTTTCCCTTTGTCTCCATCAGAATTTGCCAAGAACATGTCCTAAATAGGTATGAGAGTCTGTGATAGTTAATTTCTCCTATGGCTTTACATTTCTCTGATAGAGTAAAAAGTTTCATTTTGTCCCCATTGTACTTTTTGCAATGATTTCTGCATTTACTTTTTAATAGCTTTTTTTTTTTTTAATTCTTAAAGATTATTGTATTTACTTATTTGTGTTTGTGTGTGTGGTAGGGGTAGATGTGCACATACTGTGACGTGTGTGGAGGTTAGACAACTTGCAGGAGTGGTTTGTTCTTTATACCATATGGGTTTGGGGAATCAAACTGAGGGCATCATTCTTGGAAGCAAGTGACTTTTCCTGCTGAGCTGTCTTGCTAGTCCAGGATCTGCTTTGTCTGATAATAATTCCACTATATTTTGTTTTCATTATTGGGGTGGGGGGGTTCTGGAGAAATGGACCAGTGGTTAAGAAAACTTACTGCTCTTCCAGAGGACCCAAGATTGTTTCGTAGAATCTATTATAACTAGTGGCTCACAGTTGCCACTCGTGTATACTCTTTTGTCCTTTGTGGATACTCATATGTATACACACATACACATACATAACATTAATTTTTTTAAAAATGATTTTTCATTCCTTAATTTTCAGGTTTACTCTTTTAAGTGAAACTTTATCTATTATTTTGAGACAATTCTCATGTAGCCTAGGCTGGCTTTTAACTTGCTATGGAGCTAAGGATAACCTTGAACTCTTTATTCTCATGTCTGTCCCTCTCAATGGCTTGGATTACAAGCTTTTGCCACCATGCCTGGCTTATTTTATATGTGTGTTTTGTTTTTTCAAGACAGGGTTTCTCTGTGTAGCCCTACCTGCCCTGAAACTTACTCTGTAGACCAAACTGGCCTCCAACTCATCTCGAACTCACAGAGATCCACCTGCTTCTGCCTCCTGAGTGCTGAGATCAAAGTTGTGCACCACCACTGCCTGGCTTACTTTTTTCTCAATAGCAGAACTAGTCTTTTATTTTTCTGTCAACAGTTTAGAGTCTATTAAGGGGAATTCAGCTATGTACTTTGTTAGGTAGATCATACATACACATACTGAGACAGCTAGAGGCTTGTCCTGAGGCTATGAACATATACCACAGTGTGAGAAGCCATGTGTGGTAAGATTAAATTGCTTTGCTAAGTACATGTGTCATTCTTAAAAATTCCTTAGGCATAAGCCAATTAGTTTAGTTCTCCATAAAACAGTCTTTAAAAGTGATTTTTAGAGGTTTTAAGAGTAATTTTGGGGGAGGACTAGAAACATGGCTCAGCAGTTAAGAGCACTGACTGTTCTTCTAGAGGACCCAGGTTCAAGTCCCAGCGCAGCTCACAACTGTATGTAACTCCAAAATCTGACACTCACATAGACATACATGCGGGCAAAATACCAATGCAAATGAAATTTTAAAAAGTAATTTTTGTTGTACACAGTTTTCTGTACTAATTCAGAATGTCACTGCTTCATCATTTACATTTATGCTTCCTATGTATATTCAATGCTTAGGTTGTGTAAGCATCTTCACTTGGTTTGTTTTCTAATGCTACTGTGAAGTAGGTCCTGTTAAACTCGAGCTACCTGGATCTCTGGCAGTTATACTTGCTCTAAATTCCTCTTGACCTGAGGTACAGATCAGGGTTACAGCACTTGCCTAGTACACATTAGTACCTGGGGTTAGTCCCTAGAACTGCAAATAAATAAAATCTTGGTGAATTTTATTGATTTAGTTCAGTTTTGTGTTTTGTTTGTTGAACATGTTGTCTTCACAATTTTCTTTCTTTCTTTTCTTTTCTTTTTGAAACAGAGTTCTCTATGTAGCTTTGGAGTCTGTCCTGGAACTAGCTCTTTTAGACCAGGCTGGCCTCTAACTCACAGAAATCATCCACCTGCCTCTGCCTATTGGGTGCTGGGATTAAAGGCGTGCACTGCCACCACCTGGCCCCAATTTTCTTTAGTGTGTTGAGTTCCCATACATACTCTTAGACTTGGGGTGTGATCAGGGTGTGCTGGTGGATGGGTCTTTGTCTTTCATTGGTCTTTTTAATTAAGGCCCCTTTTGTGGTGCTAGGGTTTAAATTCTGGTTCTATTACAGGCTAACCAAGCACTCTACTACTGAGTAACAGTCCCAGCCCTAACTTGGCTCATGGCTGTTCTCTGTATCTCCTGGGGTCTGTTTACTCTCTATGGTCTGTCCTGTGATATTGTTGTTGTAGTTACTCACTGTCATTCTTATATTTGTGTTATGGCTTAGCCCTTGAGTTTCTACAACAGCATTTTTCTGCAGATGTTTTGAGTCCATTTTCTTCATTGATTAGACTCTGACTGTTTTCATCTTTAGAGATCCATCAACTTATTTGATATGGGGGACAGCTAACTATTATGTTTAAGTGACTGGTTTTGGGGTAGAGTGCTTTAGGTAAAACTCATCTTTCTCTGTCCCACTAATTGTAAATGTGTAAGTTTCAGCAGTCTTGTTAAAACAGTGGATAGAAGTGACTTATTTGTCTGACAGCCATTGTGGTCATTTGGGTTATTTTCAGGCACTTCAAGAGAAGGCTGAGTTACAGGCCCAGCTTGCTGCCCTGAGCACGAGGCTGCAGGCACAGGTGGAGCATAGCCACAGCAGCCAGCAGAAGCAGGACTCCCTTAGTTCTGAAGTGGACACTTTGAAGCAATCTTGCTGGGATCTAGAGCGGGCCATGACTGACCTGCAGAACATGCTAGAAGCTAAAAATGCCAGCCTGGCATCCTCTAACAATGATCTGCAAGTGGCAGAGGAGCAGTATCAAAGACTGATGGCGAAAGTAGAGGACATGCAGAGAAACATCCTCAGCAAAGACAACACAGGTGAGGTCTGCAACCAAATGTGGTTTCTGGATCTTGTAGCTGGTGTCATGTAGATGAAGCTTCAGGTTCATGTTAGCTTAACATTTAATACAGAGAGGCTCTACACTGCTAAGTAAATAGAATTCTGGCTGAATTCTTGAGCATCTGTGCTTTTGCATAAAATAGGTAATGTAATCTTAGAAATTGACTTTGGGCATTTGACCACTAGAAGGAATTCTTTCTTTCTACTATTTTTCCCCCCTAAATCCATTGTTTGTGAGGTAATTGTGGTGTATGTTTTTTTTTTTTTTTTTTTTTTTTTTTTTTGGTTTTTCAAGAAAGGGTTTCTCTGTATTTCTTTGGAGCCTGTCCTGGAACTAGCTCTGTAGATCAGGCTGGCCTCGAAGTCCCAGAGATCCTCCCTGCCTTTGCCTCCCAAGTGCTGGGATTAAAGGTGTGCACCACCAAAGCCAGGCGAAGTATTTTTTAATAGATTTGTTTATTGTGTACACAGTATTCTGTCTGCATATCTGTATAAATGCCAGAAGAGGGTACTACATTTCATTACAGATGGTTGTGAGCCACCATGTGGTTGCTGGGAATTGAACTCAAGTCCTCTGGAAGAGCAGTCAATGCTCTTAATCTCTGAGCCATCTCTCCAGCCCAATAAAGTATATTTAAACAAAAGTGGTGACTATGCATAACAAACATCAACTATATTGCTTCTCTCCAATGACTTGAACTTCATATCAAATGACTGATCACTTGTGGCTTTTGTTAATGTTGGTTAGTCTGAGTTGGCTGTGCATGCTTATTTTTAGTGCACGACCTTCGACAGCAGATGGCAGCCCTACAGAGTCAGCTCCACCAAGTACAGCTGGAGCGCACAACACTGACCAGCAAGCTACAAGCATCACAGGCTGAAATCACATCTCTGCAGCATGCCCGGCAGTGGTACCAACAGCAACTTGCATTGGCCCAGGAGGCCAGGGTCAAGCTGCAGGGAGAGGTGGCACACATCCAGGTATAGTGCAGAAAACTCCTTTCAGGGATATAGTATGTGCTTTCCCATGCATAACAAAGATGTTTCTAAACTGAGTTTGATGGCATCCAAAACTGAGACAAGAAGATCATACATTGAAAGCTACCAAAATAGGGGGAAAGGTGTTTATGGGTTTAGAGTTCATAGACATGTTTTTGATTAGCATCTGTTGATTATTTAGTAGCCACACCCCTCCTCTACAAGAGCCTCTCATGCCTTCCCTTCAACCAAAGGGTAAATCCTCCTTTGACCTGAGCCCTCAAACACACATTTCCCGGGCTTTGAGGCTCTCCTATCTTGTCCTCTGTGAAAAAGGATAGGCTGGTCTACACTTGATACCTAATTTTAAGTTCCTTTTTACCTCCTGGGTTTTTCTTCGAAGGTTGGACAGATGACCCAAGCAGGCCTTTTGGAGCACCTGAAGCTTGAGAATGTGTCCCTGTCTCATCAGCTGACAGAAACTCAGCATAGATCCATCAAGGAAAAAGAGCGCATAGCTGTTCAGCTCCAGAGCATTGAGGTGAGGACTGTGGTGATGGTGGAGTGAAATTTCTTATCTGACTGTGGGTCTTGCTAGCAAGTATAAAACTACACAGACATAATCAAAATACCTATAAGTGGATATAAATAAATATATCTTATGACTATGTATACTTTCCTATATAATAATATTTCAAAAAATTCTTTTGGTGCTATAGAGATGGCCTACTAGGTAAGAGCACTTGCTGTGCACGCATGAGAACATGAGTTACATATGAATCAGACATGGTGCTAAGCGGTGGTGTTGCACACCTTTAATTCCAGCATGCAGGAGGCAGAGGCAGGTGGATCTTTGTGCATTCGAGGACAGCCTGGTCTACAAAGTTCCAAGTCAGGTTCCAAAGCTACACAGAGAAACCCTGTCTCCAACACCACCCCCCCCCCAAAAAAAAATTAAGATATAGCTGTATGTGCCTATGAACCCAGCATTTGTGGGAGGTTGAGACTAGGATCCTGTGAGCTTCCTGGCTACCTTGGAAAACACACACACACACACACACACACACACACACACACACACACACACAATCACTTTCAGCAGTGTGCAATGATGGATGTCCAGCATTTTTGAATTCCACCTCTTGTCTGGCCTAAGTGTCCTTAGGACCTTGCAGTTCTTCTCTTAAACCCTCCCTTGGACCTGAGTCCCTACCAGTGCACAGTGCATTGTTGCCATTTGGGGACAGAGCTAGCCACAGAATGGATGCGGACAGGGGATTAAGTATAAGTATGTCAGATAGTATTTCCAGACCAGTGATAATAGTGGTTTTTATTTTTTGTAAGCACTCAACCTCAACCTGCTTTCAGCCCTCCAGTGCCCACTGCTCTCCCAAAGGCATTTTCGTTATTATCTTCTGTCTCTACAGATTATCTCTAGATGATGATGGGAAATATAGTGTATTTGGCTTGGATCCAAATCCCATTCTCTGTAACACCCTAGGTCAGTGGTTCTCAATGCAACCCTTTAATACAGTTCCTTAGGTTATGGTCACCCCCCAACCATAAACTATTTCATTGCTACTTCATAACTGTAATTTTGCCACTGTTATGAATTCTAATGTAAATATTTGATATGCAGGATATCTGATATGCAATCCCCAATTAGGTCTTGACACATAGATTGAGAATTGCTGCTGCCCTCGATGCTTTCTTAACCTAAACCTATCTAAGTCTTTTCTTTCTGCCTTTTGAGACAGTCCTATGTAGCAAGGCTGGATTCAAACTCTTTATAAATAAGATAACCTTGAACTCTTAACCTCCTGCCTCTACCTGTTAGGGATTGCCAGTATATACATGTCCCACGATGTCTATTTTTATGTGTTACGGGGGATCAAACCCAGAGCCTTTTGAGTGTTAGGCAAGCATTCTATAACTGCATTATATCCTCAGCCCCTTTGTTCGTGTTGGTAGAGATGGAGCATAAGCTCATGTGTGTTGGTAATATGCTTTCTACCTCAAGCTACATCTCTTGCCCTAGTTTCCTTTGGTATAAAATGGATAGTAATACTTAATATTCTTGTTACAAAAAGCGAAAAAGAAAGCCCATAAAGCATCGAGTCAAGGACTGTCAGGTTGGCAAAATTGCTTGCTGCCAATCCTATTGACTTAAGTTAGATCCCTGCAACCTACATGGTGGAAGGAAAAACTGACTCTTACAACTTATCTTCTGACCTCTATAATATCACCATGGTATGTGTGCTTGTACTTTCAAGTAAGTGCACTTGCACATATGTGTGAGTACACACACTAAATTTAAAAAAGAAATTTTTATTTAAAAAATCTAGTCAGTAATGATTATGAATTGTGTTCCTGGGTCAATTTTGATCCTGACCTTTCTTTGATAGTTACACAAGAGTTCAGCTTTCCAATGGCTTGTTTGATTTTTAATCTTTTCAACGTTTTACCTATTCTTTTTTCCATATGGAGCACACATTCATTTGGCTGAGATATAGAAGAGAACCATGTTAAGAGCCATAATGAGTAAAGGCTCTGTAAAGAACCAGTGATACCTCTGATGTATAAATTATTTCCTGTAAGAAATGTACTAAAGCTGGGTGTGATAGTATATACCTGTTGCTATCCCAGCATTCAGAAAGGAGAAGCAAAAATATGACATATTTGCAAGTTTAAGACCAAATTGGTCTACTTATAGAATTTCTGCGTTTTAAAGTGAAAAAAAAAAAAAGTCCAGAGTGGTGGCATATAACTTTAATCCCAGCATTTTTTTTTTTTTTTAATTTATTTTTTTGTAGCCTTGACTTTCTTGGAACTCACTCTGTAGACCAGGCTGATCTCAAACTCAGACATTCACCTGCCTCTGCCTTCCAAGTGCTAGGATTAAAGGTATGTATCACCACATGTGGTTTTATACAGTACTTCATAGGCCTTCATGCATGTTAAGCAAGCATTTTTCCTAGCTGAACTCTATCTCCAGTTCAGTTCGGTTACTTTTTTTTTTTTTTTTTTTTTTGGCTACGTGGTCTTAAACTTTGTCTCGAGCAATCATCCTACTATTTCAGCTTCTTAAGTAGCTAGGAGGGTTGTTTCATTGGTCCTCTCTTGGAACAAGCCTCAGTCAACTGGGGTAAGAATCCTGAGTAGCCTGACCTTGCCCCTACCTTGTGGTACCAGCCACTGATTCTGAGCCTTTCAGTTTGTAGTTCATAGACAGGACGGAGATGTGAATAGGGAGTTCTTGCATAGCAGTAGGTTTCTCTGTAAAAGATGAGACTTGACGTTTGTTATGGATAATCAAATTTTCCTGCTTTTTAAGAAATACTGTTTCTAGGACTAGAGAAATGGCTCAGTGGTTAAGAGCACTTGCTATTCTTTCAAATGACCCAGGTTGAATTTCTAGCATCCTAGGCTCACACCCATCTTAACTCCAATTCCAGGAAAAAGGCACTAGGCATGCAGGTGGTGCCCATACATATATGCAATCAAAACACTCAATCAGGTTGAAGAGATAGCTCAGAGATTAAGAGCACTGCCTGCTCTTCCAGAACTCTGCAACCTATAATGAGGTCTGGTGGCCTCTTCAGGTCTATATGCATATTATGTAGGCAGAACACTATACATAGTAAATAAATCTTTAAAAAAGAAAGAAAAAAAATTTATACACATAAATCTTTAAAAGAAACTTTTCTTTTTCAGGCTGACATGCTGGATCAGGAGGCAGCATTTTTACAGATTCAGGAGGCGAAGACAATGGTGGAGGAGGACCTCCAAAGGAGGCTGGAAGAGTTTGAAGGTGAACGGGAACAGTTACAGAAAGTGACAGATACAGCAGCATCCCTGGAGAAACAATTGGAACAGGCAAGTAACTGCTGCTTCTTGACCCCAGGCTCATAGAGATTTATTTGGATGTGGGCTTTGCCTTGATACTCATGTCCCAGTACCATTCATGTGTGGCCTGTGTGTGATCTCTGGCATCAGACTATATTAGTAGTTCAGGTTTGTTGAATGTATTTCAAGGGTCACTATCAGACTGTTCAATTGCCAGTCTGACCAGGTTTGCTTCTATTCATGTTGTACTCTAAAATTTTACATTAAAAAGACCCTTCAAGACAGGTGTTGGTGGCACAAGCCTTTAATCCCATTACATGGTAGGCAGAGGCAGGGGGATCTCTGTGAGTTCCAGGCCAGCCTGGTCTGCAAAGCTACACAGAGAAACCCTGTCTATAATGCTCGTTGCAGGACAGGCTCCAATGCAATACAGAGAATCCCTATCTTGGAAAAAAAAAAAAAAAAGACCCTTCAATGAATCCATCAAAAGTATTTAAGTCCTGAACATCAAAAATGTTTAAATTCTCGTACCATTGTGGAAGATAGCATGATAAGTTTATCATTTGTTTTTAGGTGAAGTTGACATTGTTCCAGCGAGACCAGCAGCTTGCAGCACTTCAGCAGGAGCATCTAGATGTGATAAAGCAGCTCACCTCCACACAGGAGGCTCTACAGTCCAAGGGACAGTCTCTTGGTGACCTTCATTCACGTTATGATGAGCTACAAGCAAGGCTGGAGGAGCTGCAGAGGGAGGCTGACTCCAGGGAGGACACAATTCACTTATTGCAGAATGAGAAAATTGTTTTGGAAGTGGCTCTACACTCAGCCAGGAATGACAAGGAGGAACTTGACAGAGGAGCACAGCATTTGGAAGAAGATACGGAGGAGACATCAGGACTATTGGAACAACTGAGACAAGAATTGGCTGTGAAGTCCAACCAGGTAACACTGTCTTAGCTGTTGTCTGAAGGACCATAGATTCTTTTCTGGGATGTGTTCTGTTACAAATGTGAGTGATCAGTGGAAGAGTGTTCTTGAGCAGGAAACAAGTAGTTCTTGTTGTAACCTTTTCCTCAGTTGGCCTCTGGGTAGGGAGGCACTAGATACTAGGAAAACTAGTTTTGTAAGAGGCTTTTAAATGTCTCTGTCAAGAAAGAACCACTTTTTGTTGCTATTTTTTGCTGTGTTTTTGGTTTTCAGCAGGAGGAGAAGCTATAGTATACTTGGTTTGCTTCTTCCTACATGAGGCAAGCCAGGGTGGGAGAGATAGCTCATAGTAGGTTCCTCCTGTTAACACCAGTGTCTTGGTATGTAAAAGCAGTCCAGTGGGCTGGCCATATATGGGAAACATCAGTGTGCTAACAGTATGACACTGTTAGAAACTGACAAATCTATAAAAAAATCATAGTTCAGAAAAATGCTCAGAAAGTAGAACTAATGTTGGAATGATTATGCCTAAATATTCTGCTCTGTAGGGACAAAAGAATTAGGGATCATGATCTGTTTCTCTGTTAATCATTAATTAAGGGGGAATTGTGAGAGTTTAATAAATGTTAAGAAGGACCTCAGCTGACACTGGACATTATTTATCATAGTGAGATTTTACTGTATTGGATTATGATTTCCTTAAAGATGGAATAGTAGAGTGAGGTTCTCTTGCATGTTGGCTGGTGCTCTGAAGTCTGTTTCCTGACTTGAGGGGTGGGAGTGTATCGACAACCTTACAGGGAAACTGCTGTTTTTCGACCACTGCCCTACCCAGGTTCTGGCTGTCCCACCTGGCTGGTTAGAATGAGCACATATCCTCAAGGTGTCTGAGAAAAAGCCGTCCAGACAAGGCTCTGGGGTTTACTGACCTCAGTTTCTACCATCTAAGATGGTGATCACATGCAGTGCTCTTAATTACTGTCAAGTGAGCATGATTTCACTGACACTTTAGAATGGAATAATAATTGAATGAATAATGTTATGTATCTGGGTATCTCTTATCATATATCTTGGGGATGTACCATACAGAGTATGGTGTGAGAGCCCTGCTAGGATGTCTGGCTTGTTCAAAAGCATTTTTTATTGGGCTTAGGGTGTGATTTAGTGGTAGAATACTTGCCTCATGTGTACCAGGGTTCAATCCCCAGAATTTCTGTTTTTTTTTTTCCTCTCACACAAAATAACAAAGCTACAGCAGCAAGCTTTTTGCTGTACCAGAGTAGCCCTTCAAATACGTCATGTAGTCCTGAGTCCCAGGGCTCTTTATGTTCATATTTGTCTCAGTCTGAGGCCTGAGATGACAATTTCTACAAGCTTCCAGATAGTAGGAGTGAGCTAGTTTCTGGGATGCTTTAAGTCACAAGGTTGTGTGTTAATGTAAATTGAGGTTCATTGGACTAGAGCCCTACCGGTCCTTTATGTAGTGTCTAGCTGCTTTCCTGCTGCAAGAACAGCTGAGAAGCTGCAGCAGACATATGGCTCACAAAACTTAGAAGTATTGCCTCTCTGGCTATCCCAGGAAGGACTTAACATCTATCTATCCTAGAGCACCCCCTGCCTCATCCTTTCTTTCACTCCTCTGCCCTTCACCTTGTCTTTTTACTTTTAAGTGGCAAGGAGGGAGGATGCTGGCCATGTGTCCTGATTGAGTAGCCCTTGGACTATCAGCATGTGTCTGACTGAAAGCCACATTCTGGCTATTGTTGGCTCTTAAGAAATGCCACAGAGCACAGACCTAGAACTGTCAGGGCACCCACCCTTCTGCAAATCTCTCCTACAGGTGGAGCACTTGCAGCAAGAGACAGCCTCACTGAGAAAACAGATTCAGAAGGTAAAGGAGCAGTTTCTTCAGCAAAAGGTAAGACATGGGAAAGACATGGGAAACAAGAGTTGGGCATATTGCTGAGTAGTCTGTTTCAGTAGAACAAAGTAAGAAAGAGGGAAGCATCTAGGTCTTATCCTTTTTAAAAACATTGTACTTGTTCTAAGTTGTCCCCCATTGCAGTCAGTGAGGCAGCATGCCATTTCTCCCCTGAGGTAGAGTCTGTGATCCTCAATGGCTGAGTGTACTTCCTACCATTGTGGTATCTGTCAGGATACTCTGTCATTATTACTCCCAAGATCTGTGTGTTCTACACATTTTTTGTCAGCGTGTGTTGGTTGTGTTTGCTATATAAAGTGTGTGAAAAGCTTATACCACAATCTAACATTAAAAACTTAGTTTATACCCAAAAAGTCTATGTCATAAGTTTTGTATTGTGAAGCCTTTGTCTCCTGATGGAGGAATGGCCGATGCCTTACTTTGTTGCCAGCATCAGTTGAATGCTTCATTCTGGGAGAGGAAGATCCTCCAGAGTTGTTTAGAAGTTATGTTTCAGTTTATTACAAAGATACGTAAAGGATTAAATTTCAGAATCCAAGCATACCAACCAAAGGGAGATTAACCCTTGTGGGATTACTCTGAAGATACAAGGATTCCAGAAGGATAATGGGATGTTTTACACAATGTTCAGATTTGGGGCATAGTTTGTAGTCACATCATTTGACAGAAATCCAGGCATGCCATCATCATTGATATTTCTTAATGAGTAGTGCCAGATTTCATAAAGTGTATTTTTTTTTTTTTTTTTGCGTGTGTAAAAAGTTGTGCCCTAGGGCTAGAGATATAATTTAGTGGTTAGAACTTGCTTTTAATTCTCTAAGAATGTGGGTGAGGGGGGGTTATGCCTTGAATTGTTGGTAAACATTTTTATTTAAGCCAGCCTATTCCCTGGGTAAGATGCTGACTGGCACTAGCTTATTACTTTTGTCTTGTCTTGAAGGTAATGGTAGAGGCCTACCGGCGAGATGCTACTTCTAAAGACCAACTCATTAGTGAGCTGAAAGCTACAAAAAAACGGCTGGACTCAGAGATGAAGGAACTGAGGCAGGAGCTAATAAAAGTGCATGGAGAGAAGAAGACTGTGGAAGTAGAACACTCACGACTGCAAAAGGAGATGTCCCAGGTTCACCAGCAGATGGCAGATCTTGAGAGGCATCTTCAGTCAGTGCAGAAAGAACGAGATGAAATGGAGACTCACCTGCAGGTGGGGTGCAGTACATTGGTTGTAGCTACCCATGCCCTTTGTACAGCTTCTGAGTCTTGCTGTTTTAATGAGTGCAGTGACTGTCTTAGTGATCAGACAAGTTAGAGGTAAGGGATGACTTATGGGTAGAGATCTGTGTTCCAAATAAGGAATACTTCCTGGGGTGAGAAATTTGGAGAGTTAATATGCAGGATTCTAGAACAAAAAAGGCTCCATTTTACACATGACATGCTGAAAGTCCCTAAGAGATTCGGGGCAAGATTCAGGTAGACATGTGGTCAGCATGTCTGTGTAAGGATGGTGTATCCAGTGTTCATCCAGAAGTACCTTGCTTGTTCCTTTCATGAGGCATCAGGTAAGGCCTGGGCTAACCTGAACTTGTCTTTTCTACAAGGACATAAACTTCAGGAAGACATTTAATGGTCTGGACACAGGGACTATAAATGTTTTTTGTTTTTGTTTTTGTTTTTTCGAGACAGGGTTTCTCTGTGTAGCTTTGGAGGTTGTCCTGGAACTTGCTCTGTAGACCAGGCTGGCCTCGAACTCATAGAGATCCGCCTGCCTCTGCCTCCTGAGTGCTGGGATTAAAGGCATGCACCACTGATGCCTGGCGACTATGTTTTTAATGTAATGTTTAATGTTTTAATTTTGGCTGTGTACCAGGACATTGAATCACTTAGAACTGGAGTTACAGATGATTATAAACTGTTATGTGGGTTCTGGGAATTGAACATGGTTCCTCTAGGAAAGCAGTCAGTTCTCTTAACTGCTAAGACAAATATCTGAATAGGTTGCTTTTATACTTACTAGCCATTCTTTGCTCTTTTTAAAGTCGTTACAGTTTGACAAAGATCAGATGGTAGCCCTTACTGAGGCCAACAAGACACTAAAGAAACAAATAGAAGAGCTTCAGCAAGAGGCCAAGAAGTAAGTCTGAGCAGAATACACTTCCCTGTGAGGGGCACCAGCACCAGCTCTGCTGAGAGCAGGACAGCCCTTGATATCCCTATGTTCCTAACATACTCTTTTTGAACTTGGGCTTATGAAAAGGTAGCCTGGAGCACGGGTTCTAAAGTTCCATCATGACGTGGCAGTTAATTTTTCCTACATATCTGAGTTAGTTTGCTAAAGCATCCCTTATAGCAGCACCCCTTCTCTCCCAAGTTGGGGCAGAAACCCAGGATGTTGAGCATACTAAGCAGGTGCTCTACCACTGAGCTACATCCCTAGCCCTAAAATCTCCTCCTTTTATTTAATTTGACTTTTTATCTCACACACTGGTGTCAGTATCCTCACATTCCTGCTCCCTCACTAAGTCAACACTTGGATATTCACCTTTTATGCTCATACATGTAAACTTAAACATATGACCCTTACCAGCAACTACTGATATACACATGTGTACATACACATGTAAACACCCTTCTGGGCTATCTTATCTATCTAGAGACAGAATGGGTGGGGTTTTTTTTTTTTTTGTTTGTTTGTTTTTGTTTTGATTTGTTTTTGAGGCAATATATCTCTTTATAATTCAGATTAAATTCAAATTTGATATTCCTGCCTCACCTTGTCAAATGCTGGGATTACAGTGTGAGCTCTGAGTACCAGAATTTTGGGACCTCATAACTCCACGCTATATTTTGTGTTTATGTTTTATCAGCTGGTAATATCTTCATAAATCTGATAAGAGTTTGTTTTTTACCTTCAGAAGGAATGTTGGAGATAATTTTCTGTTGGAGTATGCTGTTTCTCTGCCCTCACAAGATCATTCATTTTGTTTTCTTGAGGAAAGATCTCAGTCTGTAGTCCCAGCTGTCTTGTGTCTAGCTGTCTTTCTGTCTCAGCCTCTCAGATGCTGGCATTAAAGGTGTATACCACCATACCCATCACAAATCATTTTTAAATTACTCAAAAAGGAGGGCAGGTCTTGATGATTGTAGATGTGACTTAGTGGATTCACATTGCTTTTCCTGTCCCTCTAGCATGGGCTCGTGACAGATACCTCTTCCCCTTCAGCAACCAAACTAGAGCAAGAACACACTTACCCAAGTTCTCCTGAGGGCCAGCCAGGTTCTGGCAAGACAGAATGGGGTTGAATTGAAGCCTCTCAAGAGCCACTCCTCTAAGCCAAGCTGGCACATCTCTTAAATACAAAGCCAGCATGATCTACAAAGCGTGTTCCAGGACAACCAGGGCTACACAGAGAAACCCTGTCTCAAAAAGAAACAAAACCAAAAGCCACCATCTAGACCTGGAAGTTGAACTACAACATGTGCCCTTGGTGTTTCAGGTCAGGGAACTGGTTGTTTGCACAGGAGGTTAACTCAGCCTTTTCACTCATGTCTCAGGGCTATCACAGAACAGAAGCAGAAGATGAAGCGGCTGGGGTCAGATCTGACCAGTGCCCAGAAGGAGATGAAGACTAAGCACAAGGCTTATGAGAATGCTGTGAGCATTCTTAGCCGCCGCCTGCAGGAGGCCCTGGCTACCAAGGAGGCCACAGATGCAGAGCTTAGCCAGCTCAGAGCTCAGAGCACTGGTGGCAGCAGTGACCCTGTTTTACATGTAGGTAAACACATTGCTTCCTGTCAAAGCCCTTGACTTTTTTGGTTTTGTTTGTTTTTTGAGACAGAGTTTCTCTGTGTAACAGCCCTGACTGTCTTAGAACTTGATTTGTAGACCATGTTGGCCTTGAACTCATAGCGATCCGCCTGCCTCTGCCTCTGGAGTGCTGGGATTACAGTAGCGACTACATCTGGCTAGAGTCCTTGAGAATAGGAAAGGTGCATTCTATCAACTTTTTCTTGCTCTAAAATTCTTATTTCTGTGAGAACACTGCCAGCCCTCCTCTCTTTTTCAATTTTTAATTTTCATTTGGAGACAATGTATCTTCAGGCTGGCCTTAGTTGTTCTCCAGTTTACTAAGTATCTGGGAGTATAAGTAGGCAGCACCACATCTGGCATAGACAGTATCTCTTTAACAAATGACTTGGTCTGCCATATGTCACTTTTAGTGACATATACAGTATCTCACTTGTCTTTGGAGAAGCTTCCCTGACCTGTAGAAATTGGGCTTCTGGCTGAGGCAGAACTTACTTCTGTCCTATAATCTTCTCTGTATAATCATAGGCCCCATGGGGAGAGGTACAGACAGAGACAGTATGGTGTGATATGCAGTGAGAGGAAGGTATAGGAGGCAATATCTAATAGAGTTAAAAAAAAATTAGCAGGAGGTGCTGGTGAGACAATCTCTTAGGCTGGGAGTCATGGGAAGGGTGTCTGTCTGGCCTTGCCCACAGTGAATGTGGAAAGTGATTTATTGACCTGTAGATAAATGTACATTAGGATAGTGAAGTTTGGGAAGCTCTGATAGACGGGTTATATTTTGCTGTAGTGGCAGAGAAGTGACAGCAGAATGAGGCAACAGGTCAATAAACCACACAGCTCTGATGAGGGTCAGTAGAGTGTGTGTGTTCAGGATCATACAAACGTCTATTCTTTAGGGGTATTTTCCTTTTTTTTTTTTTTGAATAATTTATATTTTACTCTCTCTCTCTCTCTCTCTCTGTGTGTGTGTGTGTGTGTGTGTGTGTGTGTGTGTGTGTGTACGTACAGATGCCATGGGAGGCCAGGAGAGGGTGTCAGATTTCTTGAGCTGGAGTTACAGGCTGTTGTGTGCCACCTTACATGTGTGCTAGGAATCAAACTGTGGTCTTCTAAAAGAGTAAAAAGTGCTCTTAACTGCCGAGCCATCTCTCCAGCTCCCTGTCTGTATGTTTGTTCTTGTTGTTGTTTTAGAGTAGTTCAGGCTAGCCTTGAACTCACTATGTAGGTGAGGTTTGCTTGACCAGTTGGATAACTAAATATCCTTTCTGTTACTTTATAAAATATTGAGTGGTCTCTAATCAATCACTGTGTTCCTTTCTGTTTGTCATTTTAACTCTTTCAGATCATCTAGTAAAGGCAGCAAGGGTCTGGAGTTTAGAATATGGTCCTGTTCCCTGTAGCTTAAGCTGTGGTTTTAGTTATGGTGGGCTAGAGTAAGGAAATAACTTTGTCTTATTGTATACCCTTATACTCTCAGTTGTAACACAAGAGTGAACAATAGAACCTCCAGCCAAGAAAGATGGCTCAAACCTATAATTGGAGAATACAGAGAGCTGAAGCAGGATGATCAGGATTTCAAAGCTAATCTAGGCCAGCATGAACTACATGAGACTTTATCTCAAATAAACAAAAGAATAACACCTCCTGAGTTAGATTTAGTGATATAATCCTAACACTTGTGAGGCTAAAGAGAGAGGTTCAAAGCCAGTCTGTGCTTTTTAGTAGGTGAAATTCTGTCTCCAAAAAAAGAAAAAACCTAAAACAAAACAATAGAGCTAGTTAAAAATGGTTCAGTGGATAAAGGCCCCTTTCGCCATGACTGATAACTTGAGTTTGATCCTCAGTCACATGGTGGAAGGAAAGACCTGACTTCCACATGTTGTCCTCTGAGCTCTACATGCACAAAAGGGCACCTGTATGCTCATGCACACACAAAATAAATTGAAAAAAATTAAAAAACAACAACTACGAAATCTAGGATGTAGTCAATTGAGAGTTGTAGGAGGGAAGGGCCATTGACTAAACCTGACTCCCATTTTGGCTTTCAGGAGAAGATTCGGGCTCTAGAGGTGGAACTGCAGAATGTTGGCCAAAGCAAGATACTGTTGGAGAAGGAGTTACAGGAGGTGATCACAATGACTAGCCAGGAGCTAGAAGAGTCCCGGGAGAAGGTGCTTGAGTTGGAAGATGAGGTAACACCTGTATTACTAAGCATAGCATTTGTTGTCTATTCAGTATTGCTCCTTGGCATTTGATCATTTTGTGATTGTTGGTGGACTAGATTGTTGCCAGTACTCTAGGGAGGATTACAATAGTTACCACTTTACAGTTACAAAATATTTTAAGGCAGGTGTACCTAGGCATGAGTCCCAGGATAGCGATGAATCCATCCTAGTAGATTTCTAGATAACAGATTTGTCCTGTTTCAGTATCCAAGGTTCCTTTCCCAGTTAAAATGCTTTGATTGTAAAAAACAAACCCAAATTAAAATCGCCAAAGAACTGAAAACTCTGAAGCAGTTTATTGGCCCTATTCAAGCAGTGATATCACTGTCTCTAAGGACCCTATCACCAGCCCCTGGCCTACCCCACCACCTACCATGCTGCTACAGCAGCATCTACAGAAATCTTAATAGTTTTTAGACATGTGTGTTTTATTTGGCAATCTCTATCCTGCCCTCAAATGGGTGTGCTGAGATCAGCCCAACTCCATGCCCATTTGTGTGTAGCTTAGCAAGGCCCTTAGCAGTTTCTGGACTCTCTTCTCTGGAAGTCTATGAACCCAAAAGATCAGTAGCCTTACAGATAATAAGTCAAGGACAGTTTGTGCTTTAATGTTAGCTCTTGTTGAAAATTGCTCACCTGTTTCAGCTGAGTATAATAATTCTGTCTAGCAGAATATGATTTGTGTGTGGGAGTGAGAGTGTTGTTGCTTTTGATATAGGGTCTCCTATAGCCAGGTTGGCCTTGAACTGATCCCTCTGGCTCTGCCTTCCAAGTACTGGGGTCATGGGCATGGATTACCATACCTGCCCAGAGCATGAAATTTTACATGTATCAGTATGTTTCAGCTTCAAGAATCCAGAGGCTTCAGACGGAAGATAAAACGTCTTGAAGAGTCAAATAAGAAACTGGCTTTGGAGTTAGAACACGAGCGAGGGAAGCTCACCGGCCTCGGACAGTCTAATGCAGCTTTGCGGGAGCACAACAGTATCCTGGAGACTGCACTGGCCAAGAGGGAAGCTGACCTGGTGCAGCTGAATCTCCAGGTGCTAAGACTTATCTGCCAGGAGCAGCATGAGAGATATGTGGACCATATTTACTGTCAGTATCTCACCATACTGAGTCATAACCACTTTCAGGGGACCATCATACCTGGCTCAGAGGCTCAAAGGAACCTGGCCATTGCACAAACCTGGATCCCCCAGCTGTAAGAGTCTGTGGTCATTGTACCAAGTTCATTAGTTCCTATACAGTAGATTCCTGGTGGGACAGGTCAGACTGTCCTCTGATTCTAGGACACAAGAACCTCTGAAAAACACACTTGTCTTAAGTCCTGATATGATTTAGAACTGGGATTTGAGCACCGACTTGGTGTCTTATTGTAGAGTCTGTTTTTAGTTCCTTAGGTTTTACAGTGCTTTAGAGGTAGCTGAACACTTCAGGGAAAAGTTTCAGAATGTCATTTAAGGGCCATGACATACACAAGCCTTTAAAAAAAAAGAAAAGTAATTATTGGAAAAGTTTAGTTAACTTTCATTTTGCTCTAGTTCCTACCACTCCTGTTCTTGCTGGGCTGCCTTGCTTGTAAACATGTCTTATGATACATCTGCATCCTTCTTTTGGGTTCTCAGCGATGTTCTTGAACACAGCTATGTGACACACTCCTGTAAAATCAGACTTTTGCACTTATTTCTTTATTTCTGTGTCAGGGATTATGCTTCAGGACTGGCTCTAAACGTACTAGGTAGCTAAGGATGACTTTAAATTTTTAATCCTGCCTTGAGTCATGGGATAACAGCCATGCCTGTTGTTTTGTTTTATGCCTAAGTTCTGGGAATCAAATCCAGGGCTCTGTACCTGCTAGGCAAGCAATCTACCAACTGAGCTACATATCCAGCCCCAGAGAGGGCTTCTCACCTTCCCTACCTTGTTTTCTTTCCTATAATGTCATCATTATGTATGCCATCTGTCTTAGGTTTTTATTGCTCTGAAGAGACACCATGGTCATAGCCATTCTTATAAAGAAAACATTTAATTGAGGGTGTTTCCTTACAGTTTCAGAGGTAGAGTCCATTATGATCATGAAAGGGAGCATGGAAGTGTACAGGCAGACATGGTGCTGGAGCTGAGAGTGCTACATTTTGCGAGCAACGGGAAGTGGACAGACTGTCACCCTGAGGGAAGCCTGAGGAAAAAAGAGACACCAAGGCCCACACCCACAGTGACACAATAGCAATGCCAAACCTCCTAATAGTGCCACTCCCTTTGGGGGCCATTTTCTTTCAGACCACCACACCATCCTACTGGGTCCCATATGATGGCTGACTGTAGAGGATCCCAAATTGTATTTCAGATTGTATAGGTGCTGGGATTAATACCATTCCTTATTCATCCTTTTTATAATATCATATAGGTGCAGGCAGTTTTACAGCGCAAAGAAGAGGAGGATCGCCAGATGAAGCAACTTGTCGAAGCCTTACAAGCCTCATTAGAAAAAGAAAAGATGAAAGTAAACAGCATGAAGGAACAGGTATGTGGTCAGCTTCAAATTGATAGGGCCTTCCAGGAGAGGTAGACTATGTGGTGCCTTTCACGTACTGAGTTTGTTTCTAAGGACTAGGTTGTTATGACAGACTGAGCCACCCATATATATATATATGTATATATATATGTATGTATGTATGTATGTACATTAGTCTTTGCTAGGAAAAGAACTCTTTGTAAAGTTTATAAAGCACACTTCCATTTTTGCACACTCCTGTAATCCAAGTATTTAGAAGACTGAAGCAGGAGGATCCTGACTTCAAAGCCAGCTTGAACTGTATGTAGTTAGAGAGTGTGTGTGTTAATTTTAAAAGCAGTCTTTTAGGCAAGGTAGCACATGCCTTTAATTCCAGCACTAGGAGGCAGAGGCAGGCAGATCTCTGTGAGGTTGAGGCCAGCCTGCTCTACAGAGTGGGTTCTGGGACTGCTAAGGTGGTTACACAGAAAACCCTGTCTCAAAAATAAAAATAAAAGCAGTCCTTTTTTTAGTTCTTTTTGAAAACACATTTTTTTCATACAGTCTATTCTAATCATGCTTTTCTCCTGCCCCAGTTCCTCTCAGCTCCCACACACAACAGAAAACACACAAAACAAAATCAGAAACCATAATATACAGACAAAAGAACAATAAGAAAAAAATCCGGGGCTAGAGAGATGACTCAGAGGTTAAGAGCACTGACTGTTCTTACAGAGGACCTGAGTTCAATTCCCAGCAACCACAGGGTGGCTCACAACCATCTATAATGAGACCTGGGTGCCCTCTTCCAGCCTGCAGGCATACAGGCAGGCAGAACACTGTATATATAATAAATAAATCTTTAAAAAAAAAAGAAAAAGGAAGAAAAAAATCCACAAAATAGTATGAGATTTTTAAAAGTCTTCAAAAATAACATTGAGTTCATTTTGTGTTGGCCAACTACTGCTGAGCACGGGTCCTGAGCTGAGGTGTGGTTAATATACCCAGTGAGATTCCATTGAAGAAAACTAATTATTTTCTTCTTAAGTGTGTATAATTGCGTTTTCTTGGTTAGGATCAGGATCCCCTGTGTACTTAGCCCTCCTCGCTTGGACCCTGTCTGGCTTAAACCGTAGACCCTGTCAGTTCATATGTGCATCAGTCCTGTTGTGTTTGGAAGACATCATCCATCTTCTCTGGTTCCCTACCCCACTTCTGAATGTCTGTCTCTCTGAGCCCTAAAGTGAAGGTGAAGGTGTAATGATATCACTATACCCAAGATAAATGATAAATGGGTGCTTATTGGGGAACACTTATAAGATAATAATAAAGAACCACAGGAGCGCTTCTTTGCCCTTCCTATGGATGGCTAACCCAAGGGAAAAAGAGCCCATGAGAGAGACCATGCCTCAAGCTTTCTTCTTTCTGCTTGTATCCACCTGAAGCCATTCTCAAAGGGGTATGGCTACTGTTACAGGTTCACAGGCACGATGCCCCAACAATTCCCCTTTTAGTCTAAAGTTTTTAAGCCTGATGCAAAAACTATATACAATGATAACAAATGTCAAGTATATTCCAGGAAAAGGAAAGGTAAACACACACAAATTAAAACCTACTACCATCGAGAGCAACATTGATCAATAGGGATTTGATGAAGATAACTGACTTAGGACTGAGTATCCCAAAGTTTCTCACTCTTTGTACATTGTCAAGTGTGGATTTTGCTCGTCTTTTTTTTTTTTTTTTTTTTTTAATATGTGCATTGATGTTTTCCTTGTGTGTCTGTCTGTGTGAAGGTGTTGGATCCACTGCAATTGGAGCTACAGATAGCTGTGAGCCAACCCGGGTCCTCTAGAAGAGCAGCCAGTGCTCTTAACTGCTGAGTCATATCTCTAAGCCTCCTATAAATCTTGTTTGTTTGTTTTCAAGACAGGGTCCCTCTCTGTAGCCCAGGCTGTCCTGGAACTTGCTTTGTAGAAGAAGAGCAGCCAGTGCTCTTAACTGCTGAGTCATATCTCTAAGCTTCCTATAAATCTTGTTTGTTTGTTTTCAAGACAGGGTCCCTCTCTGTAGCCCAGGCTGTCCTGGAACTTGCTTTGTAGACCAGGCTGGCTCTAAACTCACAGAGATCCATAACTAGATCCATCTGTCTCTGCCTCCCAAGTGCTGGGATTAAAGGCATGGGCCACCACCACCAGGCTGGTTCTTACCTTAAAAGCAGTCATTTTTAAATGGAAACAACTTGAACAAAACAAAACAAAACAAAAAAACTGACACAATTTTAAGGCCCATTTATATAGAATACATTGAATAACTAATGATACTGTTGATACCTTTTTTCTCTTTTGCAGTGAACCCTGGGCCTCCAAACTGCTAGGTAGTATCTCTACCACTCAGCCAGATACCAACTGTAATTGTTTCTCTAATTGACATTTCTCAATTATTTAAAAAGGAAATGGAAATTTTTTTCTTATGCATTCAAGAGTTTGCTTGGAAATCATGAGACAATCTATTGTTGACTCTGAAAAATCAACAAATGTTCAGAGGAGACCAATTACATTGTAAATAGAACTAAATCTTCATTCCAATTAGGTGGAAATTTAAGAATTAGGAATAAACTTAATTAGTAATAAACATAGTCGAGGAGTACAAACCTATTAACACTAAGAAAACTGAGTAAATCTTTTCACTCAGCAGAGTCTGTGAGCTATGTCACTAGTCCACTCTGTGCTGACCATAGAGCCAGGTACCTTCACTTTTATCTGTAAGTTGGTCTTGAGAGGAAAATGCGCAAGAACAGACCAGCTCTGTGTTGGTTTGGGAGGGGCTTCAGTGTTGCCACTTGGTATTCCAAACTTCTGGCATTCGTTATGGTACCACTTCCTTTCTTCTAGATGGCTGCTGCCAAGGTAGAAGCTGGACACAACCGCCGCCACTTTAAAGCAGCTACACTGGAGCTGAGTGAGGTGAAGAAGGAGCTGCAGGCAAAGGAACACCTGGTACAGACACTGCAGGCTCAGGCAGACGAGCTTCAGTGAGTATCTTCCTGCACAAGGACACCCCATGGATGACCATTTTTCATATAGCACATCAGAGCTTTTGGGATTTTCTTTTATCTTTAATTTATTTTGAATCTCACAGCAAGTGTCATCTTTCTTTCCCTAAGGAGGCAAATACTTTAGGAACAAGTCAAAAGAACAGCGTTATCTGGCTGACTGTCTCAGCAAGCCTGAGCTTAACCTTAATCCAGCTCTTCCTTGACTTCTTCCTAGAATAGGAAAAAACCTCCATTTGAGCACTCAATCAGGGATATCCTAAATATTCAGAGATTCATTGTAGTTTCACACTAATGCCAACATCAACTCAGACATGTGGAAAGTGGCAGGGTATTCCGAGGGCTATACACACACCTCCACAGCAGCCCCAGAGGTCTCTGTGTTATGGAAGTGTCTGACAACACCCTAATCTGAGTTTTGTGAATAGACCATGTCTCCAAAAGTACCAAGGGCTTTTTCTGTAGGTTTAGTGGAAGTAGAGCATTGAAAGTACTCTACAGTGTCAACAACCAGTGGTTAAGGATTCTTCACCATGGGCAGCATTAGCAACAAATGGAGAGAATTTTGTCATTTTTCTTTTTAACCTTTTTGTTTGTTTGTTTGTTTAAATGCCAGGATTCAAGAGGGAAAGCATTCTCAAGAAATAGCACAATTCCAGACTGAGCTGGCAGAAGCTAGAACCCGCCTCCAGTTCCTACAGAAGCAGCTGGATGACCAGATGAATCAGCAGCCCACAGGGAGCCAAGAGGTGAGAGCTAGGCCTATCTGTTGAGACAAAAATTATATTTTTTTTTTTCTAAATGTAATACTAAAAGAAAAGTAGAAATTCCTTACAACTGTTTTACAGTATAAGGAACCATTTAAAAATTGTGTTAGTCATTCATGTGCTGCTTTCTTTTAGATGGAAAATCTCAAATGGGAATTGGATCAGAAAGAACGAGAAATTCAGTCTCTGAAGCAACAGCTTGACTTGACAGAGCAACATGGCAAGAAAGAGCTAGAGAGTACACAGCAGACATTGCAGGTTGGTGATACTCCTTTTTCAAGCCCTGGATCTGGGTGGAAGGGGTGCAGTCCCTGGCTACTGAATACCTGCCAGGCCAAATGTTACAGAGCATTGAATTGGATCACCCTCCAGGCTCCCCCACCTAACCTCAGAGATCTGAAGACCCTGTCTTCATTTTAGAATGAGGTTCAGCATGCTTACCTGGTTGAGTTTACACAGCTGGATGGAGGAGAAACTGAGACAAATCCAAACACTATCTCTCTTAAGATTCATGACATATACAGGAACATGCTATGTTCCTAGTGAATAGTGTCCATATACAATGTGTGCTTAGTTTATGATCAGTATCTCCATAAAAGCTCAAATGACTAGTCTTTTCTACTTAGGGGAGAAAGGACTAGAAACATAACTTACTAACATTTTTTTTACATGTTTAAAAAAGGAAGGAAGGAAGGAAAAGAGGAAAAGAAAAAGAAAGAAAATGATTCAGCACAGTATGATAGCACATACCTTTAATCTCAACACTGTAGACAAAGGTGCATCTTCTCAGTTCCAGGTTAGTCTGATCGATAGAGTGAGTTCCAGGACACCCAGGGCTACACAGAAAAAAGAAATTCTATCTTGGGAACTGGAGAGGTGGCTCAGAGGTTAGAGCATTGGCTGTTCTTCCAGAGGTCCTGAGTTCAATTCCCAGCATCCATATGGTGGCTCACAAGCACCTATAAGGAGATGTGGTGCACACTTTTGCCTTCAGGCATACAAGCAGGCAGAATGCTGTATATAAATAAATAAGTCTTTAAAAAAAAAGAAAAAGAAATCCTATCTTGAATCCTTCACCCCTCCCCCCCAAAAAAGGCTCAAGTCATTAAATTGGTTTATATTATTTCTTAGGAATGGTTTGACTTAGTATAATAGCTGACTTTGGAATTTAAAGATTCTTGAGGTTAATTGTGGCTGTACAGATATTGCTGTTTGGAAAAGGCTGTTTGTTAAGTGTCAAAGTGCTGGGGTGATGCTCAGCAACTAAGAGCACTTATGCTCTTGCAGACAGCCTGGGTTTGGTTCCCAGCACTCAAATACCAACTCACAACTTTCTATAATTGCAGCTCCAGGAAAGTCAAAACCCTCTTTTGGCCTCTGAAGGCCCTTGCGTGTTCACATAAACAGACATAAGCACTCACATATAAGTCAACCAGTCAATCTATAAATTATGTTAAGAGTTGGACCTAGAGAGATGGCTCAGCAGGTCAAAGCTCTTGTTATTCTTCCAGAGGACTCAAGTTCAGTTTCCAGCACCACATGGGACAGTTCACAACCAAATATAACTCTAGCTGTAGAGAATTCAGCTCTGTCTGGCCTCCACCTGCACTCATGTGCACATAACCCACACACAGACACACATACACATAATTAAAAATGCAATAAATATTTTTTAAAGTTACAAGTTTGATTCTAATGAACCTGTCAGTGTCTAGTTAACTGTAGAAGAAATTGCTGAGATGAAAACATAACTCATCCTAGCAAAAAAAATAAGTCCTCAAAACTGACATACAAGTGAACATCTTAGAATGTATTTTATGATGTTTGTTACCTCCCCACCCCCTGAGACTGGGTTTCTCTGTGTAGCCTTGGCTGTCCTGGAACTCACTCAGTAGACCAGCTTGGCCTTGAACTAAGAGATCTGCCTGCCTCTGCCTGAGTGCTGGAATTAAAGTGTGCTACCACTGCCAGACTAAGATGCTTGTTTTTTGAGACAGGTCAGCCCAGGCTGACCTTAAACTTGCTATGTAGCTAAAACTAGCCTGAGCCTTCTGAGCCTCACCAGTGCTGGGGGTATCAGCATGTGCCCCTCACTATGCCAGATATTTAGGATCTTTTGGCTTTAAAAAATTGATCACTTTCCTTAGACTATCAAGTCTGAGTTGGAAATGGTACAGGAAGATCTATCTGAGACCCAGAAGGATAAGTTTATGCTTCAAGCAAAAGTGTCTGAACTTAAGAACAACATGAAAACTCTGCTGCAGCAGAACCAACAGCTCAAGCTGGATCTCCGCCGTGGTGCAGCTAAGGTAAGATTTAGGTTACATCCCTTACAAGTTAACTGTCTATTTCAAATCTAAATTTGTTTGGGCAGGAGATTGGCAGGTTTCTAGGCATTCATCAGTCAGCTAATAAATTTAACCAACACAGAACACTCCTAGAGAAGTCTTCTTGGAAAGTGGGCCAAAACATTTTATTTTTCAACAGAATATATATTTCTCTTCATGAATACACATGTAATCTTGTTGTAGTACTATTTAAACTAATGAGCACACACCTCATGCTATGATCAGTTCTGCTGGAGAATTCAAATACCTGGCAGGTTTTTTTCTTTTTTTTTTTTTTTTTTGGGCACAGTCTATGTAAATATTGCCTATCTTAGGGAATTTCAAAGTATAGGCTTGTCACTCAGGAGACTCCCACAAGAGAGCTCTAATGAAGTGTTTAGTTATTTCTCGTAAGGGTTGGGCACAAGTGGTTTGTACTTAACTGTATGCATTAGGATTACTGTACCAGATAGTATTTCTTAAACCACTTACTATTATATTGTCTTTATAGACCTGACAGTTAGTTCTCTTTTCAACAGGGGGACGTGAGTGTGTGTGTGTGTGGGGGTAGTAGTCATAGTGGAGAATGAGGATATCTGTAGAGGGGCTAATGATGTGCTTTTACAAACAGAAGAAAGAACCAAAAGGTGAGCCCAACTCCTCCAGCCCTGCAACACCCATCAAGATACCAGACTGCCCTGTCCCAGCCTCATTGCTAGAGGAGCTGCTGAGGCCCCCACCTGCTGTGAGCAAGGAACCCCTCAAGAATCTCAACAGCTGTTTGCAGCAGCTCAAGTATGATCTATTTCCTATACTCCATTTCATTGTCTTTAGACATGACATGCTTTTTTTCCTGGGGGCATCTCTTCTATTGTTTGTAGAATATCTGTGTCTTTGAAGCTCTTGTGAAGTAAAGGGTTTTTACTGGCAGAACTTCCAGGGTCCATGTTGTAAGGTGAAAATAGCTAAGTAAACTTATCTCAGTAGGCCCTTAAATGTCTACAGTCTCCTCTAGGCTGAGCCTCCTAGCTTAGGACAGAAGAGGTCAGCTTCGTTAGCACATAGGACCCTGAAAGGCAGGTGGCCATATGAGGGGACAACACATGTGACAATGGCCTCAGATGATGGCTTCCAGATAGCAACTTGATAAGCATCAGGCTTTTTTCATGTTTCTGATAGAAGCACCTCTCAGAAAACAGAAACCTGTGCTAGATATTTGCTGACTTCTGCCCAGAGTGGGGGAAAAAAATTCCAGGAGCTTTTGCATTTGACTCCAGCTGATTTTGCTGGACTATGATACATTTATTGGTCTTTGAGGGAACCACATATGGTGGCAAGGCCACTGCATCCTTTGTAGCTTGTTAGAAAGGTATGGCTAGTGGTTCTATCTGGTCCTTGTATGACTTAGGGTTTCCTTTGCTTTATCATCTCCCCAGGCAAGAAATGGACAGTCTGCAGCGCCAGATGGAGGAGCATACCATCACTGTGCATGAGTCCCTGTCCTCGTGGGCTCAAGTAGAAGCTGCCCCAGCAGAGCATGCCCACCCCAGGGGAGACACAAAACCACATAATCAAAACAATGTTCCCAGAGAAGGGCTGGGCCAATGACTACTTATACTCATCAACAAGTATTTGTGACTGCTAAAGGAATATTCTTTTGTCAATATTATTTATTTGATTATGTGCTCTGGTGGTTTTGTTTTTTGAGAGATGAGATTTAAATTTCACTCTACATTTTATCAATGATTAAAATAACTTAATGAGGTAAGGATTAAAGAAATAGTCACTTTAAACAACTAGCTTTTCCCGTGAAATGACCAAATCTTAAAAACATCACAGTTTGGATCACTGGTGAAATCTGTCTTAACAGTTACTTGCAGAAGGGAGGATCTTGTGTGTGGCTATAGACACACTTTAGGGTGCTGCCAGGAACCTGTTCTTATCAGGCACTATATAGAGCGGGCTTAGTAGGCACCAGCACTTAGAGGTCTTTACTCATTAAGACCTTTACTTTCCTATAGAAACAAATTTTTATTTGCACCTTTTATTTTTATTTCATTTGTTTTTCAAACTATCCTACTATATAGGATGTATATATAAATGCTGAAAGTCTTTTTAAAAAGCATATGCCTATATTATTTAAAGACATAATTGTCTTACTGATTGCCTTTTGAAAATTTAATATTGAGAAACAGTGTACATGTAGCTTTAGGAATTCAGTTAAAATGTATTTTAAGAAATATAACTTATTTTCTATGCATTCTAAAACCAAATACTCTTGCGCAGAAAGGGTTGTTTTAGTCTTTTTATTTCTGAGGGTCTTTCCTACCAACATCTTCATGAATTCTTAATACTGACATCTCTGGTCTGTGGCCTTATGTGGTTCTATTCACTTTGGCTTACCAACTGGCATGGCCAGTCAGGCCATGAGTTAGCAGGGGATAGAAGATCTCCAAGATCTTCTCATATGACTTGACTTTTAAAGAGCACATGAAGAGGAAAAAAAGGAGAGAAGGCAGCCTTGGTCTGTGTATGGGTTATGGGCTGCATCCATTGTGTCATCAGGAACTACCCTGGACATCTATTAAACACTGGTATTACTAGGAGTTAGAATAATATCTGAGAGGAGGTGGGCAGCTGTGGTCTGAGAGATGGGAGGTTCAGAGACAGAAACATTGTTTAAAGTCAACGCTAAACATGTGGTTTATTGCAATCCACTCACAAATCATATACTAATACTTCATATACTGACTAGAAGTGTTAAGGTCTTTAATCTTTGTGAAAGTCTGTAAAGAAAATTTAAAATAAAGTGGGTTTTGTAATTCGTGACTGTGATCCTGGCATTTGGGAGATAGAATCAGGAGGAGGAGGATCAGTTCAAGATCAGTTCAGGTACATAGCAAATTTGAAGCTCAGTCACATGAAACCATGACTTAAAAAGACAAAGGTAGAAAAAAAAAAAAAAAAAAAAGATCTGAAATGCTAAGTTAGAAGGGAGAGAACGGCCTGAAAAAGCAAGTTCTGAGCATTAGTGATTAGCTCTGGTAAGTGTGTTATAGTGGGTTTCTTGTCTATTTTGTGGAGAATCAGCTGTTGTTTTGTAATATCCTATTAGGAGGTTAACTGATATAGTAAAGTAGAACTCATCACAATGATGTCTTGTGTTTGAAAAAATATTACCTAGCAAGTAATGAAACTTTTTACAATGTATATAATAGCGTTTGTACAGGGTCAATCTTTTAAGGAAAAAAAAAAAAACTTGAAAATTTCAATGCATACCCTCTTTAAGTTAGAAATTAGGAAAGGATGGTGGTGATTTACATTCTTATTTATTTTATATTTTAAATTTCAAAACAAGAAATAGTACGTAGGTTGGGCTTACTCTGTAGCAGAGCTACATTTTCCTGTATGGAGAGGTCTTAAAGTAAGTTGTGTTGCCTTGGGAAAGGATAGGCTAATTCTGAACTCATTCAAGTGAAAGTTGCTTTCATGTTTTAACCTATCTCTTCCATTATTTTGCTGTCCCAGGTGCATGTACACCCTCAGAAAAGGCACTTTGTCTAGGCTTTGTTGTCTATCTTGCAGGTCCTTGGCTAGGTCCCTCTTGGTTCCATAAAAGGTCTAGCATGTCTTGGCTCAATTCTCTGTCTATCTTTGTGCACCAGTGTATCTTTTTCTCACATTTGTGGTTCAGAAAGGACTCTTATATTGGAGCTGCCATTCTCTTAGGGTTAAGTCACCCTGAAGTTGAATTTTCAAATTTGCTGTGAATTTAGGTATTGTTCTGTTTGATTGATTGGTTGGTTTTGCTTTTTTCCTATTTATATTTTACCTCCCAGAGCTTATTCTTGAGTAAATACAGGTTGAATTACTGTTGCCTGTGTAGTCAGAACTTGGAATTTTAGGTTAATTCATGAAATACTGCAAGCACCTGGAGGATTGCTTTCTAAAGCAGGCTTACCATTGCATAACATTTGTGCATATATAGCATATGCTATATTATGTCCTATACCTGACACCTTGGTTTGCATTTTGAGAAGTGACTGAGTCTGCTTGGGTTTGGGGTACAGGGAATAGGACCTGATCTCTCAGAAGGTAGTCTTAGTGTATGTATCAGAAAGCTTGTGTTAAATTCTTTCTCTACTTCTAATCATAACTTGTCCCAGTGTGTGGATACTGTAAAAGCCATAGGTCTGCAGGATAACCAGGACATATTTTCATATATCTTGAAACAAAAATTAACAGGTGAAGATTCTGGGAGTGAAAGGGACCATGATATTTGAAGAGAAAATGTCTTGGAACCTTCCAAGGATCCTAATGATAAAGAAAAGTGCTATGGTATGACAGATACCCTGAGTATGACATGAGAGATACCCTAACATGCTCAGTGGTTTGAAAATAGTCTTAGGTTCTAACAGGATCCTTGGGTTGATGTCCAATTTAGAGGGCCCAAAACTTCAGTGTTTTTTTTTTTTTTTTTTTTTTTTTAAAGTTTCTCATGTCTATAAAAAAATTCTTCACAAGAGTGTCAATCTTCATACTTGGGCTTTTCCAGGGAAACTATCATCACAGATAACAAACTGTAACTTTTAAAAGGCATGTTGATTTGTTTTTGTTGTTTTGCTTTTATTTTTTTTTAAATATAAGTGTGCTTGGGAATTCCTTACATTTTATGCAATAAACTATTTTTGGTAAAGGTTTTCATATTTCATTGGGGAGGGCTTCATTTTTAGTACTAGCATTTTGTCATATTTGGGAGTAGATTTTTTATCTCATGTTGTTTCACACCATTTAACACCTACCAAAGTTGTGTTAGAACAGCAGAAGTAGCATGTTGACCTTCATTTGCCTGCAGCCACCATTATCATGAGGAAGCAAAGCAGCACACATACAAAAGCATGTGCAGGGAGCAGAGAACCTTGGGGACAAATGTGTGCTGGGTTAATTTTCGTATCTCAAGCACTTTCTTCTATTTTTTATTTATCCTTTATTTTGAATTATCCAGGCCTATTTCAGCTAAATGTTATCAATAAACTATACAGTTTAAATCAAGATGGAAAAGGAGAAAGATTTGGGACACTCAGCATTTAAGTCACTAAAGTACTCAGAAACCTGATAGCTCATGCAGTATTAGGAAGCAAGTTATCAGGGAACTATAAAAATGGATTATTTAACACCCCTGCCATCCTTGATGGGTGTCTTAATTTCGATTTCCATTACTGTGAAGAGACACTGTGACCACAGCAACTCTTATAAAAGAAAACATTTAACTGGAGCTGGCTTACAGTTCAGAGGTTTAGTTCATTATTGTCATGGTGAGAAGCAGGCAGACATGGTGCTGGAGAGGAAGCTGAAAGTCCTACATCTGAGAAAAAGTGACACTGGGCCTGACTTGAGCATTTGAAACCTCAAAGCCCACCTTTGACATACTTCCTCCAACAAGGCCACACCTCCAATAATGCCACTACCTATCAAATCACCACAGTGGGTAACCATGATAGTCTTACAGAGTCCCCAAGCATAAATATGGAAAAAATTCTTAGAATCTGTACCATTCACTACCCTTTGTCCACCTTGGTATAAGTTGTACTATCTCCATCCCCGTGGCCCTTAAAATGGCATGAACCTGGCTCACAAAACACACTGGATTGTGATCTGTTGTTAAAGTTTCCTTCTGGGAAGATGTAAAAAACAATGTAAATTCATGCTGGGGAAAGAATGAGTTTATTGGGGTTTATACAGAGCACAGGTGAGGGGGTACTTACAGGAATGCAGGTGCACCTGGAAAGCCTTTACCCTGCAAGGATGAGGGCTTCCCTGTAGCAGCATAGAGAGAGCACCCCTCCTACTCTTCCCCAGCCTCTCCAAATACAACAGCTGGGATAATCCTTTTACAAGGGTCACAGCTGAACTCCCAAAAATAGTGGTTCAGAGAACAGTCACTCATACCACCTTCACAAGTCTTTTGTATTCTTCCATGATTGAACTAGAGTTAGACTTAAAGACAGTACCTACTAGGCTGCAGTTTTAGCATCCCAGATTAAGGAAGTGCCTATTCTTCCCCTTAGTCAGAGCTCCAGCCTCTCCTAGGATGGGGTAGCTCTCTGGGTAGAACCATGGGTAAATATCTTTTATCTCCTTTTCAGGTAGGTATCTGCAGGAGGTGTTTTGTATCCTTTTCTTACACATAATGTGGGCCAGGAATTAACCTTTATAGTAAAATAAGTCTTCTATAAACTCTATGGAGGGGCAGCCTTGACTTATATACCTCTAAGTTTTATGAGCATTAAATATGAATTTTCCTATGCATTCCACTACCTTTTGTCCACCTTTGTATAACTTGAACAATGATCTTTGTTTTTTGAGAAAGGGTTTCTCTGTGTAGTTTTGGAACCTGTTCTGGAACTCACTCTATCGACCAGGTTGGCCTTGAACTCACAGAAATCTGTAGTGATATCTTGCTTGTACAAATAAAGCCTGTCTGGGCCGGGCAGTGGTGGTGCATGCCTTTGATCCCAGCGCTCCAGAGGCAGAGGCAGGCAGATCTACAAGAGCTGGTTCCAAGACAGCCTCCAAAGCCACAGAGAAACCCTGTCTCGAACCTCCCCCTCCCCCCCCCAGAAAATAAAGCCTGAAGGTCAGAAAATGGAGCTTGCCACTAGCAAACCATAGAAGTCTGTACAGCTAGAGGCAAGCTCTATTCTCTGACCTTCAGACAGGCTTTATTTATTCACGCAAGAAATAAACAGTTAACTGCTTCCTTCTGCCTCCCAAATGCTGGAATTTAAGATGTGCACCACCATGCCCTGCTTAACTGAAATATATCTAAAATTGCCTTATAAATCCTGGGGCTGTAAAAACCACTGGAAATTCATCTTAGCATTTCCTAGTCATCTGGTTGGGTTTTTGTTTTGTGTCTGGTTCGGCAGGCTTCCCTGAGTCTGTCTTCAGTAGTAGCATCTTTAACTGAAGACATAACCTGAATGGTGTACATCCGATGCTTGGTCAGCTTGTAAACCGATTCTGCATCCTAACTTGCTGGCCTCCACTCAGATCTTCTTAGGGCATGCCTCAGGCCACCATATTCTGATACTGTCAAATTCTCATTGGCAAGAAAGCAGGGTGCAAATTGCCCAAACAAGAAACCTACACCTTTCTTGCTGAAGACCGCTCAAAGTATATGTGATAAGCCTCTACAGTACCAGCGCACGGGCTGCCATGGTCTTCAATGCCCTCGTGGTTTGTAGTCAGAAGTGAAATTATGGTGACACATGCTTGTGATCTCAACATTGTGCAGGCTCAAGCAAAAGGCTCTCCATCATCAGGCCAGTTTGGGATATATATATATATATATATATAAAATCAAGACTCAAAAAGAAAAACAAAGGTTAGAAAAGGACTAGAAATTAGCAGTCCGGCATGTTGGCGCACACCTTTAATCCCAACTGGGGAGGCTTTCGAGTTATCCGTCAGAACGGCACAGGCATTTTGCCTGGAGGGTCCGCTGTGTTCCATTTACAAAGCCCAGCAGAGCGATAGAGCAGGGTTTCTGGACTTGTCCACCGTTTTCGCTCCCAGCACCTACCTGTCAAGGACTCTGACCCGCTCCTCTGGCCACAGTCTGTGTGGCCCGGGTGCCAGCTCTTCGCTATCCAGTGTCTAGACCGGTGGCGAAGAAACAACAGCACAGAAGAGAAAACCGAGCCGTGCCAGAGCGCCGAGTACGACTCAGGACCCCGGCATGCTGCCCGCGCCACTGCCGGACGGCGTCTCGCTTGAATCAGGACCCCGGTTGCCTCCGAAGCCGCCTGAGGCTGGGTTCCTGCCGGCGTTCGGGCCGGATCGTTGAGAAACGAAAGACACCAGACTGCACGCGCACCGGGCCTCATCTTCTGTCAGGCTGCGACTCCTGTAAGTCCGCGGCCCGGCGGAGGCCTAAGGCCTGCGCGGCTCCGGCAGTGAAGCGAGCGGCCTACGGAGGTCCCGAGGCTTGCGCGGCGCGGACTACCACTCCGGCGGCCGCGCTCAAGGCCTCGGTCTCAGGTGGCGATGCTGTGGCAGCGGTTGGCTGTGGTTGAGTGGGCATCCCTGGCCTGGGAGCTCCTCGGCGCCTCGGTGCTGCTCATCGCTGTGCGCTGGCTGGTCCGGCGGCTGGAGAAGCGGCCGCGGGACCTGAACCGTTGCGGGACACCCTCCTCGTCGCCCGGCGCGTCTGCAGCTGTGGCCACGCAGCCCGGTAAGGGAAACCTCATTCTGACCTCTCTGTGGACACAGAAGGACCCTGTGGCGGCGAGAAGTGGAACTTCGTTCCACTGTAGGAGTGTTCCTGACACTGTGGATGAGGTCCAGAGGAAGGGCCTTCTGAACCAGGGCTGCGGGAAGGGTGTACAGCACAGTAAAGGACACTTACCCAAGTCGGGGTCGATGAAACAGCAAGTTGGTTCTGGCAGTGGTTTGTGGTTTGAATGTGAAGCCTAACTATCTACTGGCATCATCCAAGTAAGAGCTGCATGTCTCAATTCTGGGGAAAGGTCCAGGAGATAAACCCCAGGAGTCTTCAACAGAGTTCATCGATACACTGTAAGGTTGGCAGCTTTGTAGGGTCTTGTGGTCTTTTTTGATTGTTTTGAGAACTCCTTGTGGGAGCCCATACCTCTATGCTTAGTTAGCTCTTTTCTTCTCAGCCCTCCAGTTCCCTGAACTATAATACAATGCTTACCAGGTTTGTGTTTATCAGCATGTGTTCATCAGAAGCCATGTCACTAACACCCCCTTGCTCTTGAGTTTAGTTCTTAGTGGAAGATAAACAGTAGTTCCCTTATGTATTCTAAAGGAAGGTGAAATTTTAAACTGTTGACTGAACCTTAGAAGATCTTAGGGGTAACTAAGGCCTCTCTTGCCTCTTTGAACTTATACACAACTTCATTATTTATTTATTTAGCAACGCTGGGAAGAAAACACATATAGGCAAGTGTTCTACCACTGAAGTACATCTCAACCCTTCCTTAGTAGTCATTGACTTCTCCATTTTTGCCAAAGAAACAGGAACAGGAAAGACAAGATCATGCGGTTAGTGTGCACAGCTGCGAAGAGGTGAACTGTGCATGTCATGACAGCAGCTCTAACACCTTGTCTTTTGGGTTTTACATTCTCTTGTTCTCTTAAGAAAGTGGTACCTGAGCTGGGTGTGGTGGCACACACCTTTACTCTCAGCATTTGGGAGGCAGAGGCTGGTAGATCTCTGCCACCCAGGATAGCCAGGGCTGTTTACACAGAGAAACCCTGTCTCAAAAAACCAACTAACCAATAAAAATAAATAGAATTAAGTGGCACCTAGAGAATAACACCTTAGGGTGTCTTCTGGCTGACTTAGGCGTGCACATACGTACACTGTATATGTATTTATAGGAACACATAAAGCAATAAGGGCATCTTTAGTAAGTATAATGCCCACTAGTCCATTGACTTTATGAACACTGTGCCAGAAACTCAACAGAAGGTCAGTGAGTGAAAACCACCCAGACACTGAAGCAGAGCAGAACTTGTGGCTAATGTGGCTAGTAGGGTACAGAGCCAAAACACCAGGGTTTTCAGCATCTTGTTTCACCAAAAATTTATTTTCAGTTTTAGTTTTTCATTTTGAAATCATTTTAGGTATATTATTAAAAACAATATGTTAAACTCATATACAAAGACATTTTACATTACCAGTTGGTAGGGAAAAAAATTCAACCTAAAGTGAGGTAACAATGCATATCTATTAGATAACTAAGATTTTAAAGAATAGTGACATTCCCAAAAGTTGGTAAATGCTGAGAAGATGACTCTCCTTCACAGTATAGTCTCTCTGGAGATTAGTCTAACAGCATCTCAAGGAAGTTAAGCCTGTTTGCCCTGCACCCATAAGCTATTGCCCTAGAGAAGTGAAACTTACTTGTATAATGTTATTGTCATGTAGCTTAGACTGGCATTAAACTCAAGACCTTTCTGCTTTAGTTTTCAGTACTAGGATTACAAGAGTATGCCTGCATGGCTTTGAAAATTCATTATCTCAATGGATGGATGGATAGATTGATGCGTTGATGATGGATGATAGATAGATAGACAGACAGACAGACAGATAAAGATAAATGTGGTTTACTGCCACAAACTTGTCCATCCAAGACTGTTCACTGAATTGTTCTATGAGGTCAGTTTCCTGTTTTTTTAGGATGTACTATCATTATTAAAAGTGCCAACAAAACTGTATGGTGGTACAAGAATTCTGTATACGATTGGCTTAGATTCTCTAGATTTTCTGTGCTATGTAATCATACCACAAGTATGACAAGGAAATGAACAGCAACAGAACACTATTATCTAATCTGCAGACCTACTCTAATTTTTCATGTCTCTGTCAATCTAGCCATCTTTCTAAGACTGCAAAGATTGTGCTAATACTTCCAGTTCTAGTGCAGTTGGTGAGCTATGGCCATCACCTGTCTTGTTAGTGGAGGCTCTTTGGAGAGCATCTGTGGCTTGTTTATGTGTCAGGTGGCTGCCCTTAAGTGTGTGAGAGTTTTTTGTTCGTTCTTTAATTTTAATTGACTTTTCCAGTGTGCTATTACTCGTCCTAAAGATTAATGAGCCTGTGATCTTCAACAGCTCAATAGCTGCAGCAGACATTTATGAAAATGTTATCAGTGTCAGACCCAGTGGTACAGAATTTATCTTCATTATTTTATCTACTCTTCATTATAACCCAAGAGTAGATCTAGTATTATATCCATTTTGTAGATGAGGAAACCGAGGCTTATAGTTTCAATAATTATCCTAAGATTGAAGTTAGTAATGTATGAAGTTAGTTCTGTTTATGTTTAAGTTGCAAGGACAAATCCTTACTTGAACAACTAAAGGTAAAAGGGCAGCTTCAGCATAAGACTACAGAGTGTCTCTAAGGCAAGACTCTGAGAAAACTGAGCACTTAAGCATGCACTTTATTGCTGAGCTACAATCCCATGGTTTGAGTTGATTTTTGCTTTTTTGAACTTAGGTGAAGTGACAATGGATGGCATGTTGGCGAGATTGAAACTCCTGAACCCAGATGACCTTAGAAAAGAAGTTATAAAAGCTGGATTGAAATGTGGACCTATTACATCAACAACAAGATTTATTTTTGAGAAGAGATTAGCTCAGGCTTTACTAGAGCAAGGTGGATTGCTGACTTCTTCTCTTCCCAATCACAGTGAGGTGACTGCCACAGCATTTATCCAGGGCAACCCGAGGACTCCTGCATCTGTGGAAAGAAAACAAACTCAGCAGGCCAGTTTTTCTGAAGACAAAGACTTTGGTTACAATGTGGGTTTGAACCCTCCAGAAGATGAAGCTATAACATCTAAGTCCCACCCAATACCCTTCAGTGCCTCTGCCAGTAATGACAACCACCAGGCTGGAGCTGCGAAGGAACCACTTCTGTACTATGGAGTATGTCCAGTATATGAGGATGGCCCTGTGGGAAATGGTAATGTGCTGTGTAGTATCTCTTCATACAGACTGGGAAACTAATCTTATCACCCAAGATTAATTTCATTATTTGTGCTTTGTTACCCTCTGATTCTGGAAAATTGTGCTTGTGTGTATCTTTTGTTTGTTTATTTTTGGGGAGACAGGGTTTCACTGTGTAGCCCTGGATATCTTGGCACCCACTCTGTAAATCTGGCTGATCTTGAACTCAGAGATCCCCCACCTCTGCCTATCAAGTGCTGGGACTAAAGGCATGTGCCACCACTGCCCAGGTGTTCCCTCGCACTCTTAAGTTCATTAACAACCTGAACAGCTTTCAGGTTATTAAATGTAAATGTACCAATGAGTGTATGAATAATTTTCAGTCTCAAGGAATTGTATTTGGGGGCTAGAGATCTGTTTTAGTTAGTAGAGCATTTGCCTAGTATGCATGGAACCCTGTGTTCAATCACCAGCACCATAAAAACATGATGTGGTAGCACATACACTATTACCCCAGCACTTAGGTGGATGCTAGCCTGGGCTACATGAAACACTGTCTCCCCAAAAAGAATGAAAAACAAAAAAGAATTGCAATTTTATTTTAGTCAGGATTATATTGTGTACTTAGACTAGCCTGGATTTTCTGTATAGCCTAGTGTGAGCTTCAACTCTCAACTGCTCTGTCTTTCCTTATGACTGTTAGGATAATAGGTATAAGCTACTATATCCAGTACAAGGATATTAAATTTAGGTTTGAATTATTTTTATTATCTCTTTATTTAATCCATTTTGGTAAGTTATTATATCTTGGGATATGAAATTAACATGCAGGTATATATAATACCATTGCTTATGTATACACACATTCATTGCTAGTATATTTATCTGATTCTTTTGGATAGCCCAGGACCTCTTTAAGATAAAAAAATGGAGCTGGGCAGTGGTGGCACATACCTTTACTCCCAGCATTTGAGAGGCAGAGGCAGACAGATCTTAGTAAGTTCAAGGCCAGCTTGATCTACAAAGTGAGTTCCAGAACAGCAAGGACTGCTACATAGAGAAACTCTATCTTGAAAAACTATGAAAAAAAGAAAAAAGATTAAAAATGGGGAGTGGACAGAAGGATGGATCAATGATTAAGAGCATTTGATAATCTTGACTATCCTAGCTTACATGTTAGGTGGTTCATAACCTACCTATAACACCAGCTCCAGGGTATCTGGTCCCCTTTAGGCCTCCAAGGATACTCACACATACATTATATGGGTACAGTCACAAAAATATGTTTTTTTTTTTTTTAAATGCTAAAAGGTATTTTTTATAAAAGATTGAAAATCTGAACTGTGAACATGAGGGTGAAACCAATAGACTTGTTAACAAATTTAAATTGACTGATGATGTCTGGATACAATTAATGCAGTGTTGTAACTATTCTTCTCCTGATTTTTACCTTGTTACTTTCATACCCAGGAAGGATCCATGTTTATGAAGATAAAAAGGAAGCACTGCAAGCTGTCAAGTTGATCAAAGGGTCCCGGTTTAAAGCTTTTCCAACAAGAGAAGATGCTGAGAAATTTGCTAGAGGAATGTGTGATTACTTCCCTTCTCCTAACAAAACTGTGTCCTCACTGTCTCCTGTGAAGGCAGTGCCAGTCTTCAGCAGTGATGGGTTGAAAGGTAAGCCATTGCTGTACTTCTTGTCTTGTCGTTACTGTTACTACTATTGTTCTCTTTCCTGATGTATGGTGCCTCGGTATTTCCTCATCTGTCAGGTCATTCTGGTGTAGGAAGAGGTGGAGAACTGAGGTGCCCTACAGTGGAACAACCAAAGAGAAAGGGACTAGAGGGCTGCCCAGGGAAGGTTTGAGGACATAAATGTGGACACTGAAGCTGATGAGCCAAGTCTTAGCATTGTTAACCACAGAAGCAGCAAAGGGAAAGCCTTCTGTCTTCTTGTGGCCCTAGCTGTTGCTTGTTTGAGTGTGGGTATTTGGATGCTGACAACAATCTACATTTCCATCGGAAGGTCCACTTACTTCTAGGATCTGCAAGAATCACTCTCCCTGTGGGAGATAGAAATCTCACTACACCCACTATATGACTCAGAGCCAGAAGCCTGTTTGGAGAGGCTTGACCCTGATTCACATCCCTTCTGCCTAGTTTGAGGTGGACTGTTGTTTTTCACTTGAGGGCCTGTCTACTGCCCTCTACTCTTCCCTTACTCAGGTTTCCCTGCTTTCAGCATGGGAAAGTGCCCATGAAGAAACTTTTTTAATTAGCTCTCAGGTTTTGATTAAACTTTTAGAAGCTATGAGTGGAACTCTTTTTGTCTAAGAGACAATTGCAGTTGCTGCTAATCTCTTATACACTTCACAGAATTGACATTTTTAGGTTTTTGAGAAAGGGTCTTAACCATCCAGGCTGGCCTTGAACTTGCAGTCCTCCTATCTCAACCTCACTCCCACCCTGTACTAGAAGTCCAAGTTTATACCACAACGCTCAGTTTCTTGACTTCCCTTCAAAGTACACTAAATGGCCAGGCCTGATAGTACATGCCCTTACTGCCAGCACTCAGGAAGCACATGTGGGTGGATGTGCTCTGAGTTTGAGGACAGCCTGAGCTACACAGTGAGACCTTATCAAAAAAAAAAAAAAAAAAAAAAAAAAAAAGGTATACAAGATGATGTCTTAATCTCAGTCATGAGCCGTCTGATTGACCTCAGTCCTGCATTAGTACTGTGGTGTGCTTTGTATCATTGTCATTTCTTACCTATCAGTAAGCTTCTGGTCAGTAAGCTTACCTACCAAGAGCTTCTGAGCCTCTGTATAGAGGCTTCAGTCTTCACCACATCAGAAAGTGTTTGTGAGATTGTGTTCTTCAATTCTGTCTCTTGATAGCAGATGGTTTATGCCTGGCTGAATCAGAAACAGTAAACAAAGAACGAGGAAACAATTATAAAAGTCCCCGTACACAGGACCTCACTGCCAATCTTCGAAAAGCTGTTGAGGAAGGGGAAGAACAAACTTTTTCTGATCTTATCTGGAATAATCCCCGATATCTAATTGGTTCTGGGGACAACCCAACCATTGTACATGTAAGTGTGTCTCATCTTCACTCCTAGTCACTGTGTTCCTGACCAGTGGCCCTGTGTTTTAACAAAACAAAAGCTAATCTTTTCTTTTAGGAGGGATGTAGGTACAACGTCATGCATGTTGCTGCCAAAGAGAATCGGGCTTGTATGTGCCGGATAACATTAGAGACCCTGGAGAACCCTGAGTTTATGCGTCTGATGTACCCAGATGATAGCGTGTACATGCTGCAGAAGCGCATGCTCTACATTGTCGACCTTTATCTGAATACTCCTGACAAACTGGTGAGTATTCCTCATTAGTCTGTCTGCTAGAAGTTTAGGTACCTGGTGTGTGGAGTGTTTCTTATTTTTCTCTGCTACATCAATGTGCAAGGCTTGTGGAATACTAGGAAGACACAAAACGCTTATTGACTTAGAAAGAAAGATAGTTATGGAGGTGTTAATACAACAAAACTTCTTGGGAAGATGCAACACACATGTTGGAAACTCCAGATAGGGAACTCATGACAGACTAGAGAACAGATACCACCAAAGTACAACTTGGTGAACCAATGACTTTTACTGGGGTCACTTATAGGAATAAAGGTAACGGGTTACGTACAGGAGCAGAATGATTCAAAGACGGTTGCATCCCCAAGTACCACCATAACATGACTGACGGCTCACAAAGCTGAGAACCTGGAGTACACTGCACAGCCTTCGGGCAGCTCAACAGGTTAGAGAGTATCTTTTCCAGGTGCCTCTATTAACCTAAACCTCATCCAGGCAGCTGTTAGTTTCTGCTTCTTCCTGACAGGTGTCTGTCTTAATTTTTCTGTTGCTATGAAGAGACATCATGACCATGGCAACTCTTATAAAGAAAAACATTTCATTAGGACTTGGTTTCAGTTTAGAGTTTTAGTTCATTGTCATCATGGCAGGAAGCATGCTGGAGTAGCTGAGAATTCTATACCTGGATCCTCAGGCAGCAGGAAGAAGAGAGAGACACTGCCTGGCTTAAGCATTTTAAAATCCCAATGCCCACCTCTAGTGACACATTTCCTCCAACTAGGCCACACTTCCTAATAATAGTGTCACTCCCTCCAACCAAGCATTCAAATCTATGAGCCTATTCAAACCACTGCATCCCACTCCCTGGCTCACATAGGCTTCTAGCCATATCATAACGCAAAAGTTAATTTAGTCCAACTATAAAAGTCTGCATAATCTAAAACAGTCTCAACACTGTTTAAAAGTTCAAAGTCCTTTTGGAGACTCAGGATAGTCGCTTAACTGTAATTCCCTGTAAAATAAAAATAAAGCAGATTACATACTTCCAACATACAGTGGCACAAAAAATACATTACCATCACAAAAGGGAGGAAAGGAAGCATAACAAGGAAACACTGGACTGAAACAAGAGCAAAAAAACAGCAGGGCAAACACCATATTCTGCACATTCATGTCTGATGTCAAAGTGTTCCTTCGATGCCCAGCTCCATTCAGCTTTGTTGACTGTAACAAACATTTCTTTCTTAACTTGGTCATGCCTGGACTGCAGCTTTTCTTGACAGGTAAATCATACCTCTGGCATCTCCAACATCTTGCAATCCAGGCTTCACCTTCACAACTTCGCAAAGTGGCCTATCTGGTCTCCATGCAGGGACACTCCTGACATACACCTGGCTTCAGCAGCTTAGCCATGGAGGGAGATTCTACAACTCCTTTCTTATATCCTTGACTCTAAAGCCAGAACCACGTGGCCAAAACCGTCAGGTTCTTCTGCTTGCTACAAGGGCTGAGACATGGCCCTCTCATCCAAATATATTTCCACCAGCTTTCTGTTTTTGATGGTTTCCTTCTCTGTCTAAAGTTGGCTGTTCTGGAACTCCCTCTATAAACCAAGCTGGCCTCAAACTAAGAGATCCTTTCATAAGTTGAAAGCTTAGATGGGTAGAGTCTTGCCCTGAGGTTTAGTCCATTTAGTCCATGAAACTTTTTATCTCCTTGCATGCCACATTTAGCTCTGTTATGCTTCTTGGTGCTCCTTTTCTCTCCAAACTGTACATTTTGTATTTTTCTTTGATCAACTTAATTCCTTTTCATTATAGGTCTGCATAAGAGTCACCACTAATAACACAACAGAGTCAACTAGGCTGCCCTGCCTGAAATCTTCTCTGCCAATGCTTAATCCAAAACCTATTCAATTTACCCTCAGGCAGATTTTTTGGACAAGGGCAAAAAGCAACCACTTTTTTTTTCCCCCAAAATAAGGCAAGAATGGTCTCTGGGCCATATATTAATATTCTTTCCCTCTGAAATGTCTTGAGCTGGGACTCTACAGTTCAAATCATCTTCAGCAACACTGTCTCCCATGCTCCTAACTAGGATGGGCCAGTTAAGCTTAAAGTGTCTAAACAAAGCATGGTCAGGGGTAATGATGGTACATACCTTTAATCCCAGCACTTGGGAGGTGGAGGCAGAAGGATTCTTGTGTTTGAGGCCAGCCTGGTTTTACAGAGTGAGTGCCTTGAAAGCTAGGGATACACAAAGAAACCCTGCCTCTAATGGCTTAGAAAAATAAATCCAAACAAACAAAAAAAAAAAACATAAAAATATGGTCAGCACTATCATAGCCATAACACAGTCCCTGGTACCAATTTCTGTATTCTACTATTGCTTTGAAGAGACACCATGATCATGGCAACGGTTACAAAGGAAAGCATTTAATTGGTGCTTGCTTACAGTTTACAGGTTTAGTCCGTTGTTATAAGAACATGGCAGCTTGCAGGTACACTTGGTGCTAGAGAAGTAGCTTGAAAGTTCCTCTCCATCCACAAACAGCAGGAAGAGAGAACCAATGGGCCCAGCTGGAGCTTCTGCTTTCACTGTGGAGCAACAATTTTAATAATTTGAGTAAGCAAATGTGCTTTTTCTATACCTTTCCTAGGGCTTTGATACACCATTGCATTTTGCTTGTAAATTTGGAAATGTGGATGTAGTCAATGTGCTTTCTTCACACCCTTTGACTGTGAAAAATTCAAAGAATAAATATGGTAAAACACCTGAAGACGTAAGTAACTTTTAAATTGTAACTATTGTCTTGTATTATAAATTAAAATATTTGCATTCTGTGACTGTAGCTAATAAAATCACAAGTAACTGACTTGTGTTTGTCTTGTGAACATATTTAGAATGCTGGCTGCTGAGCATGATGTACTCTGTGAAAACAGTATATCTGTGGAGCCAGGAAAGAATGAGATAACCTAGTCTTGCTGATTTTATTTTTCTGAAGCTGGCTATCAGTGTTCTGAGAAACTCCATCTTACCATGTTCCTTCTAAACACATTAGCCAACCAAGTTAAAAAAGAATGCAGGGAGATGGTCATGATGATGGCTGTAGATGGTGATGGTAGTAGTGATCATGATGCTGATGAATGATGATCTAGTGGTAGTAATGATGATTATAATGCTGAAAGCTGCTGGGTGACCTAGATCTACTACTTTCAGAAATAAAACATAGTGGACACTTGTGGTGGGTGCCTCTTCCCTAGGCTCAGGCCCCTTAGCTATTACTACTTTTAGTAACACTCACATAGCCCAGTTGGTAGGAAACTTCCCTGACATACATGTCTAAGGACCTGACAATAAGGAATGGTGGGGAGAAGGAAAATAACAAATAAAATTTTACTACAGTAAATAGTTTTACCAGTATTTTTATAAAATGATTTATGGTAACCAGCCTGGAACTCATGACTATGGTGTATGTATATATGCAATGTTGGGAACAACACCTAGGGTTTCAAATCTGCTGGGCAAGCCTTTTACAACTGAGCCTACCTTCTAGTTCTTTCACAAGGTGGTAATTTAAGGGGTTTTTCTTGTTGTTATTTTGTTTTTATTTGAAAGTAATTCCTTTTCTATTCTAACATATTATTGTTGTTATAATTACCCAGGGAGCAGATTCCAGTAGCTGCAAATTCTATATAATGTAGTAGCTCTATTTGAGTTCAGATGCCCAACAGAAAAAAATTTATATGGAGAGGGTATACCTTCAGACTGTAAAACTCCCGCTGAGAAACTGTTAGCATGTCCTTGATATTATACTTGTAAGTTGTTTTTTTCTTGCAGAAAATGGGGAACTGAAGTTGTTTGGAAGAGATAAAGTTTACCATATTGCTCCAATCTGTTTTTTTGCCCTGTACCAATGGGCTTTTACAGTGATTTTTTTTTTAATATTTATTTTTATTGTGCTTCATTGGTGTTTTGCCTACATGTATGTCTGTGTGAAGATGTTGGAGTTACAGACAGTTATGAGCTGCCATGTGGGTGCTGGGAATTGAACCTAGGTCATGTGGAAGAGCAGTCAATGCTCTTAACCATTGGGCCATCTCTCCAGCCCCCTTTTACAGTGAGCTTATAGAATAGGCTGTGCTAATGAATGCAGGTTTTCTTTTTCTTTTTGTTGTTGTTATTTGCTTATTTTTCTATGTGTGGCTGTTTTGCCTGCATATATGTCTATACCACATATATGCTTTGTGTCTGTGGAGGCCAGGAGAGGGTGTCTAGCCCCCAGCACAGGTTTTCAGAGTGTGACTTTTGTGAAATTTTTAGCATTGAGATAATTCTAGAGCTGGAGAGATAGCTCAGTGGTTAAGAAAACTTACTGCTCTTGCAGAAGACTGTACTTCTGTTCCTAGCAGCCAGGTTGGATGACTCACAGCTGCCTGCAACTCCAGCTCCAGGGGAACCAACACCCTCTTCTGACCTCCGGGTCCTCTGCACTTATATCATACATATATACAACATATACCTATACACATAGTAAATAATAAAAAATTTAAATGTACTGTCCTATTTTACTGGCTTTAAACTTTTAAAAGATTTTATTTGATAGGAAATATAATATAGTAATATATAGAATGTTCACTTTGTCTGTTTTATTTAAATAGGTAATTTGTGAAAGAAGCAAAAACAAATCAGTAGAACTGAAAGAAAGAATTAGAGAATACTTAATGGGTGAGTTCCTGGCATGGAAAGCCCTTTGCAAGAGGCCCTGGATAAGAGTGTGAGTGAACCTGGGGCAGTACAGCAGAGTTTTGTCTGCTTTCCCACATTCTGAGAAAATAGTGCTATGAACTCCTCTCAAGAGCCTTTTGGAATTATCCATTGTTTTTTCCTGAACACTGTACGTCCTTGCCTGATTTCATACTGCCTGTTCTTGTTCTAATTTTAGGCTCTCTTAACTTGGTTGCTGTTTAGGGATTCACTCCATCACTTTTTGCTAGGGAGAGTTAAAACCCAGAGCTCCTTGTTTGGTTGGTTATTTGAATTTTGTTTTTAGTTTGGTTCTAAGAAGGTGTATTTTGGGTCTGCCTCCATCCTCTGCTCCTCTGAGGCTATCTAGTTTAGCTCAGCCTTTCAAGACTGGGACCCCATTAGGGCCATTATTCTGCTGGGGTTGTGGAGGTTTAATATTCATTCATATTCACTCTCTCTCCAACTCTCTACTCCTCTTTCCTACTCTCTGCTCTCTCCCCTATCGTCCCCTCCTTTCCCTTCCAGCCCTCTCTTGTTCATTTGTGGTATATCTACTAGAGAAAACTACTCAGATACGGGTTAAGCAAATAGAAAGTCTTTATGAGCTGGATGGCAGCTTAAGTGATTGTTCAGAATTCTAGAATAGTCCTTTGCCTTTCTTAGGATTCCCTTTTAAGCACAAAAACAAACAAACAAACAAATAGAAAGAAAGAAAAAAGGAAACACAAAACTTTGGTTGATATTCTTCAGTTAGAAAGTGCAGTTAGCCAGATTCGGAACTACAGAACCCAAGGGCAAGGTTAGTATATTTAGAGACCTTCCCAGAACTATTTGACTTGGATGAATTGGACTTTCCATTTTGGCAGGTGGCACTGTATGGCCTGAAGGTACTTCCATTAGTTGTGGGAGCCTCTTTCCTTTCCTTTCCTTCTGGTCAGGAGCTCCTAATTGTAGCTGCTATGCTTCTTGTCTGTGTGTTTCAGTTATAGGGAAATGGGTAGTTTGAGGAGGGACGGTCCTACTGTGCTTTTCAGTGCATCTCAGAAGACACAGAAGTACCTTTCCTTCTGTGTCTTTACCCAGTTTGTTTCTGCTCACTGAGTAAAAACGTAGCTCTCTAGCCTCTGTTTTGCTGCCTTTTCCTTCTTAGGTGTGTATAGCCATGGTTATGGCTTGGCACAGAATCTCTAGGTATTTTCTCAGATCAGAGTCTGTGTAGCCTGTGTGTCTGACATTTTGTAGAAATAGGTATTAACTCTCAATCTTAAGATTATCTGGACTTTAAATTGTACTCTGATCTCTTCTTGTGTGGTGGAGGTGGCAGGATATCTCTTGAGCTGTCTGGCATTTGTTGTGACCTCCAGTTGTGTTACAGAACACAATTAAATGACATTGCCAGAAATACCTTCAAACTTTTCTCATTTGTGACCATATATATAACTTGATCACTGCTAAGATCTGGTCACCTAGCTTTTTTCTGGGATAAGCATGGTATTTCTGCATCCATGTTCCTTTTTGGTTACTCAGCTTTGTGGCATTTTGCATACCTTCCTGGTTTCCTGCCAAGGGTCATTAAAGCCCAGGCAAGAGCATCAGTGATTGTCTTGTGATGGCATTCACATTCTAGACTTGATGCTTCAAAGGAGCATGCTGCAGGACTGACTACATCGCTGCATGCTCCCCCATCATTCAGAAGAGACCCACACTTGGATAAATAGAGGAAAAGAATACACAACATCTTCAGGAAATGAATAGGATAAAAAGGCTAGACACCAGACAACTTAAGGCATGAATCCAGTTTTGTTGACAAGTGTTGTGTTTTTCTCCAAAGTGCTGGGGACCAAACTCAGGGCCTCACATCACACATGCTGGATACCTCTACCTTTGGTCTACCTACAGTCCTCTATAGGCAAACTTTAACATCTTTCAGTGGTAGAGTATATTCTTGGAACATATTATTATACAAAGCTCTGGGTTCATTCCATCCTCAGTTACACATGCGCAAAATATTTAAGAATTTGAATATTTACAAGAGATTAAACCATATTTTATAAGTGGGTAGGTTATACATGAATTTTGTTGTATACTTTCCAAAAGACAACCATTATTTCAAAATCCATGAAATGGGGAGGGGGTTAAAATCAGTCATTTACAAAAATCTCCTCTTAAATATGTGGTATTAGTTACAATTTCAGATATTGAAGTGTTAAAACATTTCTCTGGTTAATTTTTTTGTTTGTTTTGAGACAAAGTCACACTATGTAATCCTGGGCCAGGCTAGCCTCAAACTCACAGATACCAGCCTGCCTCTGCCTCCTGAGTTTTGAAACTAATTTCCCTGTTTTTAAAAAAAAAGTATTTTTAATTTATGTACATGTGTGTTTTGTGTGCATATATGTATGTGTATCATGAGTTTGCCTGATACCCACAGAAAGTAGAAGAGGGGTTTGGACTGAGTGCAACCAAAGTTACAGTTGTGAAGTCTTTGTGTGGATACTGAGGACCAACATCTCGTACTCTGCCAAAGCAGCACATTCTTTTACCTGCTGAGTTCTGTCTCCATGACCCACTTTGGGTTTTAGATATGGAGTCACATGTAGCCCCAGCTGGTCTCAAACTCACTAAACTCAGGTTGACCTTAGTTTCTTGTCCTCTTCCCTTGGCCTCCCAAGAGCTTGGATTATAGGCATAAGCCACCACACCCAGTTTTAGGTAATGCTCAGGATTAAACCTAAGGCCTCATGTTTGCTTAGTCAAGTAAGAAGTATTAAAAACATATTTTAGTGCTGTGGTTTTTAGTATGCTTTATGTTAACAGTCTTAAAAGTAGAAAAATAAGGATATAAAAGCTATTATAAACACTTGAAATAAAAATTCCCAGGTAATTGTGAGCAGCAGGATAGGCTAATATTCTAGCACACCTTTTACCTCTTACACACAATGAGAAACTGAGTCAGAGAGGAAGGAAGTGTGACCTCTGTGTACTAAGCTACTTCTTTGTCCTAATGAAACTCCTGGCTCCAAACTTCTAGCTTCCTTGGATATCTGCTGCTTGCCCATTCTCTCCTTACTTTTTTGTTGTTGTTAAGTATTTCATTTTGTTTGTGCCCAGTGAGTTGTTTTTTGTTGTTGTTGGGTTTTTGGTGTGTGTGTGTGTGTGTGTGTGTACATGTACACACACCTTAGGGTAACAGTAGAAGAAAGAAAAGGCAGTTTGACTCCAGACGTTTTACTACAAAGTACAGTTGTCTAGAAGTAGTGACAGATTGGATAATTTTTAAGAATTGTATGGTGCTTTCTATATTTGAAGTTTTGGCAGAATCATATCGGTAAACCATTGAACAAAACAGGAAACTGAAAATTGATTAGAGACTATGTGAGATAGGTCTGAATCTTATTGACCTATTTGTTTGCTCATAGTTTTTACAAACATGTACTTTTTCTTGGCATGTAGATGTAAGAACTTGAATACCGTAAGTATGCATCCTCATTAGTAATCTCAAAGCCTTCCAAGGTGTATCATCATCTCCATTGTGCAGCAAGGCTGGGGGCGGGAGGGGAGGGGGGATCTGTTTTAGTAGCGAATGGAGATGGGGCTATGTAATTGCTGGCACAAACTGGTCTTGGCCCCCAAACCTATATTATTACCTGGTCCCTCTGTCAATGTTTCCCTTGCTCCCCCAGACCCTAAGAACAGATAAGTAGAAGCTTTTGGCTGACATTTATCTCCTCTTCAGGTCACTACTATGTTCCACTTCTAAGGGCAGAGGACAGTTCTCCTGTCATTGGGGAGCTGTGGTCCTCAGACCAGAGAGCTGAAGCCTCTAATGCTGACCACAGTAGAAGTAGCCCCAGAGATCCTGTGATGACATTGAGAGCTTTTGTGGGGCCTCTGAGTCCATCCAAGGTGAGTGGTCAGGAAAGGAAGTTCTGGGAACTGTCCTGACTATCTCTACATTTAATGTTTGGTGCTCTAGCCTGTTGCTTTATTTTGGTCCTGGAGAACAACTCATGAAAGGCTGAGGCCATCCTTATCTAAGACCACTTCTGATGGAGTAGTAATGAGGACTTAGGGTATATTTTGTTGCTGCTGATGTAGCCAGGGAAGGTGTATTGGAAGCTCAGGCCTCCCAGCACAATAGTGTTTTCCTGGGCAAGCCCCTTTTGTCTCTTATACTGAGTCCATTGTGACTTGGGGAGCTTCAATTTGCAAATTCAAATTCCAGACTGAGCTTCCTACACTTGGGACTCCTGCCCTTTCCTCCATGTTCCTGAATTCCTGTCATACACCTTTCTTTCTTTGAGGCCACAGCCAGTTGATCTCTATTCACACACAGAATGGTTAGGAAGTTTATAATGATGGAGTTTCTGAGTCACAGATGATACATGCTTTTTTTGCCAGATTTACAATTGATGGCTTTCTCCAGTAAAATATATCACTAACATATGTAAACTGTTACTTAAAACTTTCTAAATAAACTAGTCATGGTAGTACAGGCTGTGATACTAGCTTCTTGGAAGGCTGGGGTGGGAGTATCAGTTTGAAAACCAGCCAGGTTATACATATAGTAAGACCTTGTCACAAAAGAACTTTCTAGATAATTTGCAAGAATGGAAACCTTTCCAGAACCATGTTAGACAGGTGGGATTAGAGCTGCATTCGATCCCTTGTCAGCATAGTAGGTGATGTGTCAGTCTCATAAATGAGGTACATTAAACATAAAATTCCAGTAAGGATTACTCAGGAGAGATTGATGTCAGCTTCTCTTTTATATGTACAGAAAGTGGGGTATGAGGTGGCAAGCAGACAATATCTGTTGTTCTTAGGATAAGGCCTCACACTTGGGACATCCTAGGCCAGATATGACCATCAACATGGGCCAGTACAAGAGGTAGCTCTCACTTATATCACTTTTCCTGGAGAGTTGTAAACAGACATCTACCTAGGAAAAGTCACAAAACCTTCCCAATTCCAAGAGATCATGCTCCCTCTTGGCTGTAGGTAGGTAGAAATGTCTGCAGAATCTATAGGGTGGTAGAACAGCAATGTTGGTTCTGAGTCTCAGGTGAGCTACATGAAGCATAGCCTGTCTTTCCACTTTTTTTTTTTTTTTTTTTCCAGGCAGAAGATTTTCGAAAATGCTGGAAAACTCCACCTAGAAAGAAAGCAGGCTTCTTCCACAACATCAGAAAGTCTGACCCAGAACGAGGCATTGAGAGAGTGGGAAGGTATTCACAGGACCATGACTGACAGGCTGAGCCAAGTGTGTTGTGAGAATAGATGACAGAAAAATATTAACTGTGAATACTGAAATGTAACAGTCCCCAGAAGGATTTACTGAGAACTTTTAGAGCCTTTTTCAAAAATGCCAGTTTGACCCTGCCGCAGACTTAGCCAAAACAAGGACCTGTATTAGGATTTGTGTGTGACTTTTTTGCTGTGACATCGGTATGGTGTACACTAGGCTTGCATGAGCCAGAATCATTTGATTATCATAGAGTGATTCCTCAAAGGACACTGAAGGGTCTTAACAATAGGAGAATGCTAGAAAATGTCTCAAGTTTTGGCTCAAGTAAGATATCCAAAATTAGTGTTTTGTCACTTCAGAGATTAAGTGTTATTTTCTGTTACTCAGTTCTTTTTTGGTGGCTTGGTGGTTTTTTTTTTTTTTTTTTTTTTTTTTTCTTGTTTTCTCAACTGGTTGTGTTTTATTTCTTACAGGGAACTAGCTCATGAGCTGGGTTATCCCTGGGTTGAATACTGGGAATTTCTGGGATGTTTTGTTGATCTGTCTTCCCAGGAAGGCTTGCAAAGACTAGAAGAATACCTTACTCAGCAGGAAATAAACAAAGAAGCTCAACAACAAATAGGAGAAGATGAAAGCTGCCTTCAGGACAGAGCCTCGGGTTTGGGTAAGCCAGTACAGACCGGAGGTGTCTGTGGGTTTCCTTTTCTTTTTTTAATGTGCTTTTACTGTAAAACTAGATCTTTTCCTCAAAGTCATGTCAGAATATGTATATAGTTGTGTTAAAAAACAAACAGAAAGGCATCAGAGTAAGCTCTGTGTGTCTGAGTACTCATATGTATATACAGCTATCTGAATTGTGTTGTGTGCATATAAAGTACATAGAAAATACAGAATCACTGCAAGCAAGGTCTGTATGTACCGGTATAAGAGAAAAATGTGGTATCCTGGCAAGCAGTCTCATGCTTTTGGTTTGTTTCCTGACCTAGACATACTTTATATTTGAATACAATGTCTAATGTCAGGAAAAGGACAAGGAAGAGAGGTTCCAGAATACTGGGCACTGTATTTTGTCAGCCACTGGAGTATCAAGTGCCTTGAGTACAAAGCAGGTTAATTGAATGCTTGGAAAATGTTAAACTGAGCACAATAAATAAATAAACAACCAAATAAACTAGGTCATAACTCACAAACACCATTAAAAGGGGAGAAGTTAGTTTGTTGTATAAACCTCAGTGTTAGAACATGTGCTTACCATGAGCAAAGCCGAGTTCAGTCCCCAGCACTCGGAGGGTGGTTGAAGGAGATATAATTTTTTTGTATTATAAGGAAAAAAGGCAAAAATACTTCCAAAACAAAATGGGGGTAAAAAACACCCATTTAAAGAAGTAAAAATAAGCTGGGTAGTGCTGGCATACACCTTTAATCCCAGCACTTGGGAAGCAGAGGCAGATGGATCTCAAGGTAGAGTTCAAGGCCAGCCTGGTCTACAGAGCAAGATCCAGGTAGCCTCCAAAGCTACACAAACAAACCCAGACTCAGGAAACAAACAAAAAAACAAAAATACCCTAAGCTATGATTATAAGATCCTAGTGTGGAAAGGTTCTCACGTTATCAAAGTAAAGGTGCTATCCATACTCTGTGCTGGCAGTTTGCCTAGTGCAGTGTCTGTTTAAGTGTTCAAGCACTTTATTTATAATATTGGAAACCTCAACATAGTTTACTTCACCTTACAGTTTAGGATTGGCTGAGGAAGTAAGTAGTTCTGTCCTTAGCCAGAAAATTCATGCTTTTACAAAGTATGTTTTAAAGAATAATATTAATTTTCAAAATAAGATGACTACAGCAACATTAGTTGCACGCCATGGAGTTCTCTAGATGTTTTATAGCTAACATACATCATTTTTATAATTAAAAGAAAACTAAAATGAAACCAAAAACTAGTAAAGACAGTGTACTGGAAGAGAACTAGGAAAAGAGCCTTCACAAAAGTCCTCCAGCTGAATTAATTCCCTTCTTTTCCCTTGTGCCTCTGCTATTCCCACATAGAGCATCACCATCCCTGGAGAAGAAGTGGCTTAAAGTTGTTGTTGGTACAGTACCACTTTACTCTTACTAGGAAGAAACTTTCATTGAATCAGAAATAAAACAGTATTAAAATGAATCAAACTAAAGATAATGAATTTTAGCTGAGTGTATTAGTGCCTAGAATGTTAGTATTTAAGAAGTGGAGAAAAGAGGATCAGACGTTCAAGGCAAACTTCAGCTACACAGTAAGTTTGAGGCAAGGCTGGCAGGCTACATGAGACCCCGTCTCAAATAAATAAATTTTAGTGGGGGTAGTAGTTAGTGCTATATTCCCAGAGTTTTGAAGGTAAGAAGCAGGAACAGTGAGTTGAAGGCCAGCCTAAGCTACGTAAGAAGAGGCAATCCAGGAATAAAGCAGGAAGACCTTGTCTTAAAAAGAAAACAAAAAAAGTAAAATTTTAAAGTCAAATAGAAACTTTGTAATAACTAGAGCTTTGGGTCCTGCAAAAATAGAAGTTAAACAAACATTTTAAAGCTTTCTAAATTAAACAATTGGCCTATAAAGCATTTACTTTGCAAATTAAATTTCCTGTAACAATGTGGGGAAGGAGGAAGAACATGTGATTGTGTAAAAATAGATGTTAGTGCCATGAGATGGTTTAGCAGAGAGCTACTTGCCACAGATGCCTGGTGACCCAGGTTCAATCCCTAGAACCCACATAAAGGTAGGAGAGAATGCCATGAAATGGTTTTGACTTTTAGGCTCATGCTACTGTTCACACCGCAGCAACCTTGAATATGGAGAATAGTGCTGGAGTGGAGGCTATGTACATGAGCTGTGGAAGAAGCTGTACCGGGCTGGGAGTCTGGTGCTAGGATGTGCCTTCATATACTCTAACCCTATTGTTCCATGAGACTGTTAGGAGTCCCATGCATGCACCATAGTTATAGCAACTACAGTGTTAGTCTCAGGTTGTTGATACATTTCATTTGCAGAATAGAGACATGAAGTAGTTTTTCATGGGTTTGTTCTACACAATATTTCTAGAGCCTTATCAAGTCAGCTTCTGGGAAACTGGCCACAGGACCCTTGTCATTTCTTGCTTGAGTTGAAGGGTTTACATTGAGTGACGGCTCATTTTAGTTCTATGCTGCACACTGATAGGCTGCTTTGTTGCTCTTACAGGCAGTGGAAAGAAGTACAGCAATTCCATCTCTGTGGGAGCATTTCTAGATGGAGATGATGACATTAGTTTGGAAGAAATTAGAAATCAGCAAAATACAGCTCAAAGTCAGAGTCAGCCCACAATCAATAAATTCCAAATCTCTGAATGTGGTTCCCTTCCCTTGGGACAGAAGCTGGACCCTGAAGAAACCTCAGTTGGATCTTGCCCCCATAACAACAGAAATGGGCTTTGTCCTGCTCTGAACCACAGGACTGCAGGTGGAAGGGGACAAGAGGCCACCAGTGGGCAAGAGACCCTTCCACCACCTGTTTCTGCTTTGACTCTAGAGTTTGATAAACTGAACTTACAGAATCTAGGAGATAGTCCGCTTGAGACACCAAATAAAAATAAGAGACTGGCTTCAAGAAATGATGTAGGGAATAACTCACTGGCACCTCCTCCTGCAATATCAAGACTTGAAAATAACCAAGTCAGGACCAACAGTGAAGTGTCAGAGGCAATGGCTGAAATGTCTTTGGATCCCAACAGTTCCCAGCTTGAAGTTCAGAATGGTCAGGAACCTATGTTCTCATCTGCCTCAGGAAATTCCACCAGGAAACTCTTTCTTTCTGGGTAAGTTAAAGATGTTTGTAGCAGTGTAATGAGTGTGTAGTTTCTGAATATTCCTCTGGGGTCTTCTGTATGGGTTGTGCTGACCCAGTGTCAATAAGGGTGTCCAAGACAAATGATTTGATCGGTCCTATGTTTAAGACTCAAAACCATGTTAATAATGAGGGCACATGATACTACAGTGGAAGACCTAACTGGTCTTGACCCTCTTGACCATTCCCAGCCCAGCATACCAGCATTCCTCCATCCAGTTTAGGCTTTCTGGAATACAGGTGGTTTGGTGATTAATATGCTTAGTCCAGATTGGTCTGCAAACCAACCCCCACCCCCACCCCACCCCCAAAGACAGGGTTTCTGTGTAGTTTTGGAGTCTGTCCTGAACTTGGCTCTGTAGATCAGGCTGGCCTCAAACTTACAGAGATCTGCCTGCCTCTGCTTCTCAAGGGCTGGGATTAAAGGCATGTGCCATCACTGCCCTGCCTGGCTCTTTCCACACCATTTATTTTGTGCATGTTTATACATATGTGATTGCTGGTACCTGTGTAGGCCAGAAGAGGGTGTTAGATTCCCTGAAGCTGAAAGTTTCCAACATGAATCTACAAGCCAAACTTCAGTCCTCTGTAAGACCAGCGAGCACCCTTAGCTGCTGAGCCATCTCTGTAGCCCTCCAGATTGCTTCTTGAGTTAAATGTACAATGATAACTTAAAAATCTTTGTGCTATTTTTAATTCAGTGATTCTGTTTTTTCTTACATATCTTCTGTTATGCATTCTAGAGAGGAGCCATCAAAACTAGATCGGGATGTTTTAGCAGCTCTTGAGTGTGCCTGTATTGACCCTGGTCTGTACCCAGCTGTCCACAGATGGAAAAGCACTGTCCTGTGCTACTCACCCTCAGACAGACAAAGGTACTATCAGAACATCAAAGTGTAGAGACTGGGTGCATGGGTGGCTTTCTCATAGTGACAAAGCTAACCTGTGCAGCTCCCCAGTGCAGGCCTGGACTGTATGTTCAGGTAGATGTGGTCACAAAGGCAGATGTCTGCTGAGTAGAAAAATAGGCCAGGCTTGCTCCTGGCAAACTGCACCAAGGGTGGCAGTGTCCAGGATTTGTAGCTTGAGTAACATGAGTGTTGTGTGGAAAAGCTTCAGGTTTGAGATGCAGAAGTACTTCCTCTCTGTAAGATGGGTGTGTCATACCTATGTCTTTGTTCAGTTCTTAAATCTCTACATCCCTGTAGATGTGCCTTTCTGTGGTAACAAATCTCTTTGGTTTCTGTAGTTGGCCAAGTCCTGCACTGAAAGGGAAGTTCACAGCTGAGCTGCTGGATCATGGTTGCTCTCATGTCTGCAGTTCAGGACGAAGCAGTCCAGCTGGTAGCAGCCCCAGCAAGCCTGGCCACACCACCTCCTCCCCTGGCCTTCACAGCCCCAGGCGTTACAGTCCAGCACACGGGACCCACTTCCAAAGGATGGCACACATGGCCCGACTTGCAGCTCTGTAGAGCTAGCCAGTATGCTCACTTCTGGGGCTCATTTATTTCTTTGTTTTTAAAAGAAGGGCAATATGTTTATTGGTAAAAATTCCATTAAAAAATGTATTCTGAATAACTTCTTAATCATCTCTTTGAGGGTACCCGGATTTTAGAATATATAATAGTATGAGTAAAATTTAAATTTCTGTTATGTTGGAAGAAGTTAATGAAAGCAAACTCAGATCCGAGTTGTTTGAAAAGTATGGCTGTAGTAATGATTCAGACTTTGCGGGTAGAAACATCTAGTTTTGAAATAGAGCAAAGATACAAAGGCAACTGATAAGCAAATGAGGTGTGTTAGCAGCAGCTCTGCACACCCAGTGTTTCTGAAGGTTAACTGGATGTTGTCTCATTCTTTGGGTGGGAGCATCTTTCTTATATACAGTGGCAAAAATGTATGTTTGTTATTATTCCTAGTTGTTCCAACATCGAGAAAGCAGGTGGCAGGGAAGCAAATGGGTCTTGACTGTCTCAGATTTCAATAGCAATGCTCAAAACAGTGCTAGAAGATTTAAAAAAAAAAAAAATTACCTTTTCTTGTGGGGGCGAAAAAGTTAAAAGCCATTGGGAGTCATGCCAGTAATCATAGAAAACTCACCAGCAAGAACTAAAACACAATTTTTAGTTTTCAGAACTTCACCTTGTGCTTTTACTTAGTTGTCACTGTAATGATAATTAAGAAATGTCAAAGTTCCATAGTCTTACATGATTACATGACAAATATCTCATTTTAGAATTCATTTAAACAGCATTACACTACAACCTAAAACTTGAAATTTGAGCCCTGAAATTTCAGTAGCTTACAATGTTCACTTTTGCCTGTTCCTTACAGGCAAACTCTATATAGAGTGTGCTGTACACCCTAAGGTACAAAGGTAAAAATCATCCTGCTGAAGGTAGGTTCTGGCACAACTGCTTGCACACTTGCAATACTTAATCCCAACTGAAAATATACCACTAATTTTGCCAACTTCAGTGCCTTTTGTGAGTCATTTTTAATCTTCCTGAATTTAGATTTTGAGATTCTACAATGTTACTAAATGGATGTTAGATTCTTTTTTGTTCATGAAAATTCTGGCCAGGCATGGTGGTGCATGCCTTTAATCCCTGCACTCAGGAGGTAGCCAGGACTACATAGAGACCTTACCTTAAAAATAGAATTGAAATGTTTGGGTTTTGTTTTGTTTTTTATCTTATTTTTAATGTGGTCAGAAATATTAGAACTGAGATTTAAGACTTTGGATTCAAAGTTTATTATATTGGATGTTTTCATTTCCTGTGTAAATATACATACAAGATAGCCTGAAAACATACAGTGACCTGAAAACAATGCCATTATAAAAGTATTATCTTTGTTCTCAAAAGAAAACAAAATCCACGCGCTATATTCAGCTATGATCTTGTTTTCTTACCATTTTGGCCTGGGTTTTTTTGTTTTTTTCTTTTTTGGGGGGGGTTCAATATTCAAATGAAAATAGAAGTACTAGTTTTGTGCTGGCTTTACAAACCTAGTTTTGGGGGTTTTTTATTTTGTTGTTTCATTTCATTTTTTGAGACAGGGCAGGGTTCTTTGGAGCCTGTCCTGCACTTGGTCTGTGACCACACTGGCCTCATACTTACAAAGATACATGTGACTCTGCCTCCCAAGATTAGCCCAACCTAATCTTATTTTTTAATCCCATTTATTTATGTATGTGTGGAGATCAGAAGACAACTTTTAGGAGTCGGTTTTTATTTCTGGTAGGGTGTAGGGATCCAACTCAGGTCATTGAACGTGACAATTTTATCTGCTGAGCCATCTTGTAAGCCCATTTTAAAGTTTAAACTACCTTTGAACCATTTTTTCACTAGTGTGTAAGTGTGATATCTATTAGTAACTCTTGGTAATTCTATGCCATAAACACTGTTTAATGAATCATTTTTATACAGTGTTTTCATAAAGATGACTTAATGGACAGAATTCCCTTTTTGGTAAAACTGTAAGCAGTATTTTCATGGCAAAGTACATTAATTTGTGTATCACATTGATATTTGTGGAGTGGTCTCACTCTGTTGCCTCAATGGCCTTGAACTGGATAAGTTTACTTGCTGGTTTTTGGTTTCTAACACAGTTGATATCATTTGATTATAGGCAGCAGGAGGCCTCTTTTTTATTAACAATCATTAGTTTGTAATGTGTGATAGGGGTGTGTAAGGCATCCTTCCTCAAGTGGCATGGTACGGATGTAATAGGGACAACAGAAATCCCCAGTGTTTGCTTCTAGAGAAGAACAAAGTACAGTGTTGTTGAAAATTAGTTTTTGCTGTACTGTGGCAGGAACCAATACCAGATGCTATTGAATAGTTGGATCTTTACTGCTTTCGGAGGAAATGGTTAGGATTTTGTCTTCCTGAGGGTTAGGGTTAGCTTGCTTGCTGGGCTGTTGACTCACACATTCATTATGTCAAAATCTAGTCATTAGTATTTCTCATTTGTCTCATAGGGAAAACACTGGGATGAAGTAAAACACAATAGTCAAGAAGAATCAGTGCCCTTAGTGCTACATCATTCCCACTACTTGATTAGTATTTCAGAAGTCTCTAAATATCTGTCCCAAACCAAGGAATGTGGCTTCAACATCCAGCACCACAAATTTGGTTTCCGTCATAATGTCATTGTGCCTCTGAGACACCCTAATACTGGGTTGGTGGGCACTCCTGCCCAGTATTCATAGCATGTGTAGGCATAGACCATAAAGAAACTAAATATTAAGTGCTTCATATTTAAGAAAACCGGTATTCCTGAAACTTACATAGCTCTTAAACCGAGCCAAATGCTGCATTCTAGTCTTAACTTTACATGAGAAACCCATTTTCTCATGGTTGGCTTCAAATCTAACAATTAGTACGCTCATTTGGGTGTTATGCTATACTTCACTTCAGTGTTTTCCTACAAGACAAATGAGGAAATAACAGTATAATTTTAAAGTCAGAAAATTAAATTTTGACATAACATTATGTGTAACAACAGCCCAGCAAGCAAAAGGCCTGATTTAGGATCACTGGTATCATTACCCAACAGACTTCTGCAGGGCCTTGCTCTAGCTTCCTGTCCCTGCTGTTCAGTAGGTCTTACATCATTCTCAGCTCTCACTCTGCAGTGTAGTTTTTTTTTGACAGGTGATAAGAATTGGGATCCAAGGGGATAGGGCAGGATCACTGGTGTTAACAAGTGATCACTATGCCTTGTAGATGACTGTCAGCCTCCAAGAAAGATAACTCATTTCATATACAAGGAGGTGGCCTATTCATAAAATAATGCCAGTCCTTAAAAATTATGGACACTGTACCATGTGGGAGATACTCTTAGTACACTGATTCTGAGCAAGTCATTATCTCCCTGTGAAATGTTTTTACCTTCCCATCAAGTCAAGTGAGTAACCTTAAGCTTTGTGTTTAGAAGTTAACAGCCTTGCATGCCTGCCTCCACTACTGCTAGAAAGCGGAATGTGGGTAGTCAGGGTAGTCAAGGTTACCTCCAAATGACAGCGCTGAACAGGAAGCATTGTGGGAGATAGTTCTCCAAGCAGGATACCTGGGATCAGCCCTGGGATAGAAGACACTGAGAAAGTGCTTCTAATTATTCCATGTTTTTTCATTAAAACAAACAACAAAGAAGTAAAATTTTATTACATACTAGTTTCCAAAGAGAACAAAGAGATGGGTCAGATATTCCAATTCATTCTATTGATTACATAAAATGCTCACAACCACTTTATAGAAACTGTATTTGGGTTTTGGGGGGCCAGATATGGTAATGCAACATTCCCAACATTCAGAAGACCAAGAAGGGTCTCGAGTTTGAGGCTAGCCTGGGCAACAGTAAGAGCCTTTCTCAAAAAAACAAAAATAAACAACAAAAACCACATACACACAAACCAGTTTTTTCCTAAGTTACCAGAATATCTGAAGTAAACACATCATTTCTAAATAGCTTACAGTAACCAGTAGCAAACTAAGTCACTCTGGGATATTTTTGTTTTTAAGACTTTCTACATATCTCAGGCTTGCGAGAAACTCATGATCCTACCTTGGCTTCCCAAGTGCTAGAATTACAAGCATATGGCACCTTATCTGGTCAGTCTGGGCTATTTCATTTTTTCCAAAGGACCGTCATGTACTTACCATATACAGACACAGTCTTTCTGCAATGCCACATCTTTCATGGCTTATAGGAAACCAGTCCCTTTGCCCTTAAGTTCATTTATTCAGATGCAATAGATCCTGTTCTCTTAATTGAGCTGACAAGTGGGTTTTCAAAGCAAGAACCCATATAAGGAAAATATTTGATAAATATTTAAGCAACAAAAGTTCCTAGATTGTTGAAAACAACCACAATACTGTCTGGCAGGTTTTCTGCCAGAGCTTATGGGTTGTTCGGTTGATCTACTGCAATCATCTGATACAGCACAGCCAGGCTAGTTCAGTCCCCATAATGTCTGCTCTGTGCCCCAGAAGATTCCTGTCTACACCTTGTAGAGCAGTGCTAGTGGTAATGATAAGGTAGAAAGCTTTCAGAAAGGCCATCTAACCCATAAGTTGTTTTCTGCAGCCTGGGCCAGAAATAAGCACCCAAATGTGTCATTGATATATCCTCTTCCGGGAGACAACATGAAGCCACAGCATAGCCTGGACAGGGAAAACAAGGATGGGAAGGCTGCAGCCAGGCCATCAGCAGAGGAGAGGGTGCAGTCAGTCCCACAGGCAATCTCAGGACCGGGTAATCTTGTCTGGGGGCATGAATCCTGTGTCCCCAAGGGTCCTGAGTGCAACACGACCATTGGGTCGGATCACCAGGTGAGTGATGCTGCCGTTGTTGAGGGACAGGCGGAGCCAACCTTCCGGGGGAAACTGCAGTGCTCTGGGGAGAGAAAGATGACGCTAGCAGAAATCTCAGGTAGGTACAGAGCTGCTCTTGGGTCAGGCAAGGCTGACAACCTTTTGGAGTAGGTATATTCAGCTAGGTCAATAACTGAGGTGATACTGTGTTCAGGGAAAGGATTCTCAGGGAAAAGGTCTCAATAGTACACTAAGGATCTGACATATGGGGACAAGGCCTCAACCCAGCTAACTAACTCAGAAATGTCCTCAGAGCCAATTATATCAAGGCTGTTTTGCATTGTATCAAGAAGCATCCAAATTTGTGCTACAAGTATTTCTGACAGGAATTGGCTGGTCTCCTAGGATAGAGGTATAACACATGATCCATAAAGGATTTCCTTTTTTTAAGGACACAAGTATTGGAGCTGGAGAGAAGGACCAATAGTTAAAGAGTACTTGCAAAGTACCAGAGTTCAATTCCCAGCACCTATGTTGGGCAGCTCACAACTTCTAATACCTTCAGCTACAGGGAATCCTCTTTTTCTGGCCTCTAAGGGTACCTATGCACACGTGCGCGCACACACACACAGAGGAGTATTTGCTGAACAGTTTGGTCTTGCCATTTTCTAGTAATTGAATGTGCTCTATCCTCGGGAACTGGCCTGAGTTGAATCCAATTTAGCCTACCAACATATGTGACATTTCCTGCTACTAGGTTTATCAATTTTAAATTGTAAATACTGTAAAAGCTGTGTGATGTGTCCCAGCTAATACTGAAAAGGGACATAGTATTCACCCCACTCCCCACCCCCCACACTGTTTTTTTAAAGGGTTTTATGTAGCTCAGGCTGGGCTCAAACTCACACTGGACTTCTGTGTTGCTGGAGACAAGACAAACCCAGGTCTTCGAACATGCTAGGCAAGCACTCTACAATGAATAAGCCACATCTCTATCCCAGTCTGCTGGACACTATATGCCTTGTGGTGTTTTGCTGCTTAAAAAGAGCTTCTAGATCCTCAAAAGGCCACACAGGTTTTCACGTAAACAGGTTTCATTTATTTTGTTTGAGACAGAGCCTCACTGTGCAACCCCTGGCTCACCTGGAACTTCCTTTATAGAAATGGCCTAGAATTCACAGAAATATAAATAGTTCTGGCCTAGAACTCACAGAAATCCACCTGCCTCTGCCTTCCAACTGCTGGGATTAAGGTATGTGCCACCAGATCCAAGTCATAATAGGTTACTTTATATAAGGTATCACTGTAATCTTGGCTAGCTGGAATTCACAGAGATCTGCCTACCTCTGCTTCCTAAGTGCTGAGATTAAAGGTGTATGCCACCACACCTGACATATGAAGTATATTTTTAAACAATAAAGTGGACTGTAAGATGGCCCAACGTGGGCAAAGGCCCTTGCTGTACAAGTGTGGCAAATTGAGTTCAGTCCCTGGAACCCACATAAAGGTAGAAGGGAGGAGAGAAGTGACTCCGCAGAGTTGTCCTTGACCTCCTCACAAGCTCTGGCACACATGAAACAACAATCCTTTTAAAAATTAAAGCCTTTTTTTCCTTCCTGTTGAGGATCAAACCCAGGCTCCTGTACATGCCAGACAAGCTATTTACCACTATGCCACACCTCAGCCCAGACGACTACAGTCTTAGTGTTATCCTTTACAACTCAGGAAATGATCACTCCTGAATGAACTAAGGATTCCCTGCCTATCCTCACAGTGTAAGTACTCCTCCCAAGCTTCCTAGTTTCTTCTTTCTGCATTTTCAACATCAATGTCAAGGGCTGTTATAGACTATATGATAATGAGGTACAAAATAAACAGTCAGTTCCTGGTTTGTTCACATGTTGAGAGGAATACAAAAGGTGTATCCTGACAAGCGGCTGGGACCACAATCATCCTAGAAGCACCTGTCCACCATACCACTTTCCTTTCTATTTGCAGTTCTCAGTCTGATATGGCGCTCCAGGAGCACAGCAGGAACCCTCAGCTTTCCAACAGCCTTGTATTTTCTTGGGACAGATGACTAACTGACCATGAGGTACCCTAGCTATCCCTGGGCTGCTGGTCAGGTGTGATGGGAATATACATCATGGCACAGGTGACGATCAAAGAATAGGGAGCAGGTTACCACCTTGGCAACCATAGAAAAGTGACTAAAACAAGGGCATGTAGGAAAATAACATGAGCCTGGAACATTCTGCTGAGCAGCAAGCCAATAATCACAGGTCATGATGTACAGAGGTGATTGTGCACATGTCCAATCACATGTCCAAGACTAGCACACAAGTATCCTGACCTACAAGGTGCCCACACTGTTCACAAACATGGAGAAAGACGGTACTTATAGAAGTTCTGATACCAACAGGATGAAGGAAACTATCAGATCAAGTCTAGTGCTGACTGCTACTGGCAGCACCCACCAATAGGCAGTTGGAACAAGTGTGTAGAAAACAGGATTCTGAATGGTCCCTAGTTCACCATTCTCACAAGGTAGTGGAGGCCAAAACACAGCTCCTGGGCTAGGAAGGGTGGTGGCAGGGTGCTAACAAGGTGAATTAGACATAGGGAATTCTTTGTTTTGTTTTTTTTTTTTTTTTTGTTTTGTTTTGTTTTTTGAGACAGGGTTTCTCTGTGTAATAGCCATGGCTGTCCTGGAACTAGCTCTGTAGATCAGCCTGGCCTCTGCCTCCAGGGTGCTGGGATTAAAGGTGTGCCCTACCATGCCTGGCACAACACAGAAGTCCTTAATAGCGTTTACCTGCAGACTATATAGCGGATGACATTGGCGTGGCATATGAAGATCTCATAGCTGTCCTCCTCCTGCTTGGCATCAGCTCGGTGGATGTAGTTCCTGAAGGCAGCCTCAATCCGGGCTCCATCTTCATAATACTGCTAAGAGCAGAGCAAGGAGTTGTCAGTGTGGAAGCAGACAAGTCTAAGGGCAGGCCTTGCCCTAATCCAGTGGCACAAGGGATGTCATTTTTACCACAGCCTCTGGTTTCCAATGAGAGACAGGTGGGTCTGGTTCAATAGGGGCACCTTCCCGTAGCAGGTCTGTGCTGACTCTGGAAACACCTGGAAAAGAGGAGACCCCTGTTCAGCAATGTATCCCCAAGAGTGAATCTACACCCTCAGCAAGGTAGACAACTAGTACTCACCTGGTAGGTGTTTACTGATAATGTCTGTGGTCTCTACAGCACGGGTCATGGAGGAATGAACAATTTTATTAAACTTTAATCCCAGGCTTGCAAGTCGGAGCCCTGTAAGTTCAGCCTGTTCCCGACCTTGAAGGAAAAATAACTGTGAAAGTCATATATCAGGTCCCTCCACCTACTGAATAAATAGTGAAGAGCTATCAAGCACTAAAGATATTTGAAGATATTGCCCTCATAGGCTTAACCAGGGCCAGGTCCTCAGGTAGCAAAGAAACAATCAGTTATCCTCAACCCCAAGGAGAAATGCACCTGCTTCAATTATCAACAGTGAGTTAACTTACCAGCAGTGGAGTGTGAGCCTTTTGTTATTCCTCCTTTCACTGAACTATACTCAAAAATCAAATTGCAACTGGGGACATAACATTGGAAGCTGAGGCAGGATTGCCATGAATTCAAGTCCTGCCCCAAAACAAACTACAAACTGATTCTTAGGGGTGACAAGAAGGAGACATTAGTATTAAATATAGATGCTTTTTGTCAAATGTACTTTGGCATATGGCCAGAAACACTCCAAGACATCACTTTTGTTTTGTTTTGTTTTGAAAATCATTTTCTATACTGGATATGGGAACCTCCATCACCACAGTGATGACCTGATTTGCTGTTTATGCCCAGGTGTCAAAAGCAACAAAGCAACTCCTTGGGTTGGTGGCATAATCTGCTAAAGAACATGCCTGGAGACATATTTCCATCCAACTTTTGAATATGTGTACAAATGGGAAAAATGTCATCCAAACAAGAAATTGTTTAAAATGTAAATGTACACTACCATGCATTCAAGTTCCCACCTACATGGGAAACAAAGCAGGGGGGTCAGGAATCCAAACTAGCCTAAAGTACATAGTTGAGACTATCTCTCTCAACACATGCTGAAATGGGGAGAGGAGAAAAGGCCAATATCCCAAGTTCAGCTGATAGCTTCAAGGCCATTCAAGGAGTCATACCTAATGGGGTCAGAGTGCGGTCCTTTTCTAAGGAGCCATCCACATGGTACTGGGAATGCCGGATGAGGAATATGTGTCTTGTAGCCTTTGCCTTGTAGTGGTCCAGCCTGGATGCCAGTTCTTCTTCTCCAGATTCCACATTCCTCTTCTTCAGGTTAATGAGAGACAGTGGCTCTCGCCTAATTGTGAAAGCATGTTTTATTACCTTTTGTCCAAGACATCTTGATTCAGTACAAGGAAAAAGGCCAGAGGTAAAGCCAAGCCCAGGGAGGCTAGCCTCACAGAGCACACCTGCACTCTTCACCCAAAAACCAGACAAAAGGGTGATGCAACAGTGGGCATAACAGTTATGTGAAGCCTAAGGTTCATCCTCTTGGTGATGGCTAGGGAGCCTAGGGAGATGGCTCAGAGGTTAAAGTGCTTGTTAAAGAATAAGCAAGAAGACTGGAGTTCAGAAGCCACTTAAATACTGTGTAGGCATGGTGGCCCACTATAATTCTAGCCTCAGAAAGGATCCCCAAAAGAAGCTGACTAGCGAGACTATTTGTGTTAGCAAGTTCTGGCTATGATTGAGAGACCACATCTTAAAGGATAATCTAAAAGCATGATTAAGGAAGAATCTCACTTTCTATCTCAGGCTTTCCTACAAATCCACACACAATCTCACGCACATGCACATAAGGGAAAAAAAAAAAAAAAAAAAAAAAAAAGGAGAAACTGTCAATAATACTGCAAGTATGCAACCAGGTGATAAAAACTTGTGAGACTATGGATACTTGCACTGCAGCAGAGCCTTGAACTGTACTGTCTGTATTGACCTACTAGTTTTGGGGCTGCTTCATTTATTTATTTTGTTGGTTATAAGACAGACTCAGTGTAGTCCAGGCTGAGGTCACAACAATCCGACTTCAGCTTTCCAAGTACCAAGATCACATATATGCATTAACATCTAGTACAAAGTCCTCACACATGGAAAGCTGAGGCAGAAGGATCACAAAAGGCCAGTTTGAGCTATATAATAAGTAAATCCCACACTCACAGATTCAGTCAACCAGGTTATCAAAAATATTCAAAATCATTTGCATCTGTACTAAACAGGATTTTTTTTCTTGTGATTTTACCTCAAGCTGTATAATTTAAGAACTAATTAGGTTGCACTTTTATTGTATTAGTATGACAAATAAAACTACACAGGAGGATATCCTAGTCATCTACGTTACCTGCAAATACTACACCATCTTGAACATCCACAGACTTTGGTATGTTTAGAGATCCTGGAACCAACCAACCAACCCCCAGGATACAGAGGGATTACTATAATTAAATAAAAATAGAGCTCTTTTCTAAGTTACACTAAGCACGTTTTAAATGTTTAGCAGTCACTGGGATAGTAGCCATCACAATGGTTGAGGACTGCAGTTGGCGGACTGGGTATGGAGGAGCTGAAGCTACTCAGTTAATGTAGAAGGCAGGAGCCAGGTAAGATGAAGAATACCTTTAATCCCAGCACTCAGGAGACAGAGACAGGCTGATCTCTGAGTCTGAGGCCACCCTAGTCTACAGAACAAGTTCCAGGACAGCCAGAGCTACATGGGAAAACCCTACAAAAACAAATAATGTAGGAGGCAGAAACAGCAAAGTCAAAGCTGCCAAAATTAAACTGATGGAAGAGGAAGGACTGGAGAGTGTGGTGGCAGCTCAAGCATTATCTGAACAGACTAACCTGGTTAGTCCTATATACTGCCAAGCCAAAGTCTTGTTGCAGATGCAGGAATGTACGGGTCTCAACCACACAAAATCTGGGTATGATTGTCAGAGAGGAAGACCCAGAAGAAAAAAACCAAGTAGGTATACCCACTTCCTAGTCCCTTCCTGCTGTTGTTTATCCCTCTTCGATGCATCCTTCCCCACCTAAGATCCAGCCACTATATCGGTCCATCCACAAATGCAGATATGGCAAGCAAATATGAAACTGTTTTGCTTTGCTTTTTGAGACAGGGTTTCTTTATGCAACCCTAGCTGTCCTGGAGTATAAACCAAGCTAGACTTGACAACACCGCCTGGCTATATGAAACAAATTATATCAGGTAACTTTTTTTTTTTTTTTTTTTTTTTTTTTAAAGATAGGGTCTCTATATAGCTCAGGCTGTCCTAGAATTCAGAGATTTGCTTGCCTCTGACTCCTATTGCTGGAACTCATTGCATGCAACTCTAAACCGGATTCGATGGGTAACTTAACTCTTAGTTCTAAGCACAGGTTCTTTGACCTCTGAGAGAATAGCATACTTGAAATCCCAATTTTCCTCAGGCTGCAGCAGGAGACTATGTGAGGACAACTGGACTATATATTAAGACCCTGACTATAAATAAAGATAGATAGATAGATAGATAGATAGATAGATAGATAGATAGATAGGTGAATAAATAAATCTTGATCCTTTAGAATTTCAGAACCTCAGAAGACAATGGTCCTTGGACACAGACCTTCGGGTATACTGTCTCTGAATAAGGACTTTGCGAGGTACCTGTCTGGTCGGGTATAGGAACTCTTGGAGGAAGTCTAGGCACTGAGACCCTTGGAGGACGCGTCGTCCTGATCCTGGGAGCCTCAGACAAACTCTAGACCACTAGTACACACCCCTTCAGTGCACCGACATGCGCCCTACCGCGACGGATGTGAAGAAACAGGCCCGAGCTCCTCCCTCCCGTCCCTGCACCTGTCCCAGTTGGAGTCCCAGACGCTGGGCCCGGGACGCGAGACTCCTGTCCAGGTCGACGGCTCGGTTGCGCGCGTGTCTGCATCCCCGCCGCCGCGCGGCTTGCCCACCGCTACTGCGGAGAAGAGAACAGCAGCTGAGCCACCCGCCAGACCGCAGGCCGCCAGCTGAAGCGCCTGCCGGAAAGCCATGCCTCAAATCGCGCGGCCCCACGGCAGGACGCCAGGGACACACTTCCGCATGTGCCTGCTTCCGGCTGGTGGAAGTTCCTCCCCTCCATCCCACTCCACAGAGCAGGAAACGTGGATTGGGGCGCCACCTGCCGGTGGTCGCCGGGTGACAGGCGCCCGTGCCCTTCCTTGGTGGGTGTGAGTACCCAAGGAATCAAAATTTGGCACTGGATTTAGGTGAGAACTGAAAAACCTCAGGTTTTTGTTCTCTTTTGTAATCCTTAAGTGTATGCATACTGTTCTCCAGCCATCAACTTTCACCTCCAGAGTTCTTTCCATTTTCCTGAACTAAAACCTTTTGCATTAAACTATCAACTCTCCATTCCCCTAGCACCTCCCATTCTGCCTCCACATTTTACCACCCTAGTTGTTATTGATCAACTGATCAGGTCCCTTCTGAGTAGAAAAGTAGTTCAACTGCTCTTCCAGTGCGGACAGTCCTAGGCCCTGTTCATCCTAAGGCCAAGGGACCAAAATGGCACGTTCAGAGGCTTACAGCTCTCGTGGCCTTTGACAGTGGCTAATTACTACAGTGTATTTCCACTGATTAGAAAATAGGCCTCAGTCCATTTATATATAGAGAAAAGGGGCATAGTAGCAATAGTTTTAGCACCAATCCTGGCAGTCCCTCATGAATGTTTACACCAATCAGAGGCTTTCTGCACAGCCCCTCTGGCCTGGATGAAATTATTGCAAGGTTATCAGAGTTCACGACCATGCTAGTCTTGCTCACAATACTACTTTTCAGTGTCAGTGGGTGCTGCCTGGGATGGTCATGACTAGAGCAAATCTTCAGCTGAGTTTGTGGTGGTCCACTGCAGCTGCAGAGGTGTCTGCACCGTGAGTCCCAGTGTGTAAACAGCTGAATGCCCATAACAGCTGCTTTCCTGGTAAGACCTCAGTCAGACACCAGAGCTGGACCTGTTAAATGTGTTAATCTTTCATAAAAAGTATCAATAGGGGGTGTACAATAAAGGCTTAACAAAATCTAAACACTGAACTAACTTTTACAGTATAGTTCTTATTTGACAGTGCTTACTTACTGCCTCCGTGACCCATGGGGAGGTAGGTCCCTCTGCTCTGTGTTCTAGGATCTGAAATTAATTGGACTTCATCAGTCTGTGCTTTTGTGACTGGGTGTCCTTTTCTGTTTTTGTTTGTTGTTGTTTCCTTCTGTGATAGGGCCTCACCATACTATATAGTCTTCGCTGGCTTGGAGCTTGCTATGTAGACTAAAGTGACTTCCTCTCCTAAGCTCCTTCTGTTAGCCTCTTCTGTTACTGCACTCCTTCAATTTACACATCACTGCAAAAAAGGAAGGAGACAATGGCATGATAAAGAGAGTAAAGAGGGAGGTGCATGTTGAATTGTAGCCAGAGAGCAAGAGGAAAATTCTGTGATGCTTCTTTTATAAGGGCATTAATCTGCTCTTTGTTGGGTTTAATCACTTCCATAAAGAACCTCTCAATACTACAAATGACAATTATGTTTCAACACAAATTTTGTAGAGGGCATTCAAACCAAGGCAAAATGCAATTAGTTACTTCCCTCATTGCTATGACCAAATATGCAATAAGTAACTTAGGAAAGATTTATTTCAGCTTATAGGCATGGCACTAGGAGCACAAGGTAGCTGCACACTAAGAGGACGAATGCTGATGCTCAGTTCCTTTTCTCCCTTTCATTCAGTCTGGAACCCCAGTCCATGGGAATGGACTGCTCACATTTGAGATGGAGCTTCCCTCCCCAGCTGCACCTTTTTTTTTTCATTAGTTTGTTATTTATTTATTTAATTTTATGTGTGTGGGTGTTTTATCTGCATGTATATACAGAAAAAGGTATCAGATGGTTATGTAGGTGCTGAGAATCAAACATGGGTCCTCTGCAAGAGCAGCCAGTGCTCTTAACCACTGGCTCTCTAGCCCCAGTGGTTAAAAATCTTTTTGGAAACAAGATTAACCAACATGCAGTTATTTATTATGCTAGGTAAACAAACCAGCCCTAAGAATAGTGTAAACAGACCTTATAAAGTATGTAGAATCACAGTCAAGACTTTACAGGGATGGTAGTTATTGGTCTAGAAAGAATGGGAAGAACCAGGAACTGGGGTTTAATAGGAACAGTTCTACTTTAAGATGAAAAACACCTAGAAATGGGTGATGGTGGTTTACATAACATCAAGATTATACTTAAAGCTACAGAACTATACATTCAAATGTTAAGTGTCATATGCACTTTGGCACAACATAAAAGAATTAAGAGATCTGGCTATGCATTTCCCTCCAAGTAACAACTATTTAGAGAAATCACAAGCACCATGGAAGCAGCTGCATCACTGTTTATTGACCTTTACCTTGTTTACAATGACAGCTAAGATTATCTACTTTCTGAGTCTAATGTTGTCTCTACACGAGATTCTGACACTAACACATTCCTTTCTCTATAATTTTAAGGCATCTTGAATCACATAATTTAGTCAGATAATGTCCTGAATGATGGATTCTGTTTCTCCTGCTGGTGGGTAGATTCACCCAGATCTTATCCACGGTGTATCTGACATCACTTCCTCAGAGAGGCCAGGTAGGCATACCAGAACAGAGCTGCCATGTTGGCAAAGAGCACCCGGAACTGCCAAAAGAACAGTCATCAGGCCATGGTGAGTGGTAATCCTGACCACATTTCTCACACATCAGTGACCCAAGATGAAATTCATCCCTCCAATTGTTTGTTTATTGATCTATCTTACATCCCTATTATTGAATGTCCTGCGCCTTTAGTTTGGGTTTGGCAGGACCCAGCAGAGGTAGGAGTACAAATAAATCATCCTTTCCTAACAGGGTTTTTGCAGTGACTTGGCCTCAGCCCAGCACACCGTTGCCCCAATACCTAATCACCTGAACTTACCCCCACCTGAAAGCACTTTCAGTCAGATGCTGTCTCTTCCAGTCAGAAAATTCTGTGACAGTTAACAATTTGTTCCTGTCTTGCTAATTATGAGTCTTTGGCAGTAGGGCATGAAGTAGTGCTTAACAAAACTTGCTGCACAACTTAAGCATTCCTTTGCAACTATCCAAAATTAGAACCTTAGCCCTAACCTCAAAGCCCTACTTGTAAGCAGTTTTCTGGCCTCTTCATTCCTTAACCCACTAATCGCTATGTATCTTTCTAGGATGCCTTAGGGTCTGTGGCCCTCATGTACTACACTGGGATTCCTTCTCTCATAGTGTATGTGCTAGTACTATGAGCAAAACTCTCCCTGTCTCTACCCAGAAACTTTCTTTACTTCCTTCCAAAAACTTAATCACCTTTTTCTGCTCAGACCCAGAGAGGCCAAGGTCTTACTCACTCATGTTAGCTCTCTGCAGTCACAGACAAAGGGCTTCCACCTAAGCACTCATCCAGGAGAACCCCATTCTCTCCACCTCCTACAGCTGCTCCAGAAGAGCCTCTTTGTGGATCTACATGTCCACCCATCCCAGAGGCAGCCATATCTGTATATAGCACAGTCTTGTAAACATGACACTATTTCTCTGACTTCAAGACCTATCACCCTAGTTTCCTGGCCATTTGTTCTCATCTTCAAACTTCTCAGGAACATTTTCTAGACTCTCGATTTGTTCTCTCTCCCTTCCCAGACTGGCCTGGATTTCCTGGTCTTCCTGCCTCTGCTTCCAGAGTGAAGGACTGCAGGCACTAGCATATCTGGCTTGAGTTGTGATTTGTGTGCTTCCTACTCACTCTCTTTGGCCCCTAATCCATCCTATTACAGTTCTTAAGAAGGCCACTGATAAGGTTACTTCAAACCAGACATCTGTTGGATTTTTGTTGTTTTGTTTCTTGGTTTGGTTTTAATTTCCTTCTGCTAGGGTTGACCAGCCCTTTATTATATCCTAAATGTTTGCTGGTTTTCTTCTGCTTTGTGGTCTGTGTGATATATGTATGCATATACAAATGTGAGTAGTAGGTATATGTACATATTAAGTAATCATATGTATATATTTATGAATTGAGCATGGGTGGGTGCTACATTCATGTGTATGATATAAAGTGAGGCTTATATATGGGATAACATGTATGTGGTGTGTATCGACTTGTGTGTATAGTATACTCTCTCATTCATTCATTCTCTCTCCCCTCCCTGTGTATGTGTGCATAAAATGGTGGTCTGTGTGTAGAGTGTAGTCTACATAGTATGTATGTTTGTAGTATGTACATTGTATGTATGTGCACACTGGCTAACCTCCCCCTTCTTCTACCCAATGGGAGTCCTTTGCTGACCCTATTATGCTCCTCCTTCTTCGATGGGCCTTGGTTTGTGAGCTCCCTGTAGGAAAGATGCTTAACAGAACACAGAAGAGGGTTAAGTTCCTGGCATAGACTAAGGCTGCTGCCCAAGAGAGGCCTGTTTGGAGGGATGGCCCTAGTTGGCAACTTTTTCTTCTTCAGTGTGTACAGACATAGCTCCTGGGTTTGGAACTTGGTAGAAGTACTCCTGGGTTTGGAACTTGGTAGAAGTACCTAGTATCAATTCTTGGAAGAACCCTGACAGTTTCTTCCAGCAGACCCAGAGCAAGAGGAAGAATGTCCTTGGGGAAGGAAGTCTGTATCTCTGATGGCCCTTCTCCCCTAGGGTTCAACAGGATCCTTCCATTCATAGTGTAGACTTACTGGGATTGTGAGCCCTTCCAGTTGTAGGAAGGTCTTAGGGAAACACAGTGGAAGAGCCTGGCACAAGGACAGCTACTGGTCCATAGCAACTTGAAGCAATGCACAAGTGATAGCATCTGTAGAACACTGAACCAGTTGGGCAGTGGTAGTGCACACCTTTAAACCCAACACTTGAGAGACAGAAGCAGGGAGATCTCTGTGAGTTCAAGGCCAACCTGTTCTACATAGCAAGTTCCAGGACAGCAAGGACTACACAGAGAAACCATCTTGAAAAACAAAAACAAAAGCAAAACATAAAACCAGAAACCCCTGGCCACTTTTCTCCTGCACACTCCACTATTTAGTGGTCAGGTTCACCCACACCCTTCAGCAGGCAGTTTCCATAGCAACACCTATGTGCCTATAAGCACTGAAATTCTTCCAGTTACCCTCAAGGGGCCTTCTCTTTGACCAGCCAGCCCTTTGAAGAACCTTTTTATGCCAGGGTCTTCCTACTTACCTGTCCCACTGCACAATTGTGTGCTGCCCTGTATCTGCCTGTTGAGCTGCTCCTCCTGAGCCCAAGCAACTCAAACTGTTTCAGTTACTAGAAACACTAGAATTTGCCCAATGAGGATGAAACAGCTGCATTGGCATCCCTGTGCAGTGAATCCAGAGCTCATGGACAATGATCAAGTGTAGACCACAATGCCAGAAACAGATGAAACCATGGCTTGAGAGTACAACTAGTTAGAAAAAAGTGACAAAGACCTTCAGTGAAGACAAGGCAAGCCTCACCTGCAGGGGCACATAATTGATATTAATGAACTGCAAGGGCGTCCACATCCTCCAGTTCATTTGCAGTGCAGGCCAGAAGCCACTCCTCATCTTGGTAGTGAAGGCACTGACATCTTTCCCCTGCCAGGAAGGTAAGGGAAGCTGTTAGCAGTCCTTCCATCCATAGAAACTCTAATATGGTACCTTGACCTTGGCAGTGATTTGAAAAACTTGTTTATAAAAAAGACACCTGCGTGTACTACCCTGCAGCTGAGAGGAATCAGCTATCCAGGTGGAATATCTTCAGTGACAACACCTCATTGGCAAATTGCCTCTTACACTGGGTGGTGTCTGTCCCCACTGGCTCCTTATAGCAACCTGACAATGACTCCTGCTGTGGGCAGACTGAGGGCTCAGTTATCAATGCTTCCCACATTAGCCACCAAAGATGATTAATTTCCAATCAAATCTTGTCAATTCTTAAAAGATGGCACCCACTAAAAGTTATCTGGAAGAATGAATGTATTAAGAGTAACCACATTGGCCGGGCAGTGGTGGCACACGCCTTTAATCCCAGCACCTGGGAGACAGAGGCAGGCCGATCTCTGAGTTCTGACTTTGAACCTGGCCAGGTCTATAGAACAAGTTCTAGGATAGCCAGGAACTAAACAGAAAAAACCTATTTTAAACAAACAAACAAAAAAGAGTAACCACATTGAAAAGAATAAGAAAAGCACCTGGCTATCCATAGTTATTTTTAAAAAATACTGTAACATTATGGTAATTAAAACAATTTGTAAGAAATAGTCAAAGACTAAACAAAATGAAAATAATACAAAAACTAAAGCCATATGCAACAAAAGTGAAAACCCAGAAAAAGAACAGAGTGTAGATAATGGAGGCAGAGACAGGTGGATCTTTGTGAGTTTGAGGCCAGCCTGGTCTACAGAACAAGTTCCAGGACAAGCTCCAAAGCTACACAGAGAAACTCTGTCCCAAAAAGCAAAAACTAAACAAAGAAAACACAACCAATCAAAACTGAAAAAAAAAGATGTACCACGCAATCACTAGAAAGTATTAAGAATATTTATATTATCTTCCTACCAGAAAATCCAAAGGGGAAAGAGTACCAGAGTTGAATATAAAGTTTTAAAATGTATATGTGGAAATCATCACACACACACATACACTTTATTTATACAAATTTACATTTTACCTTTATATATTTTAACTTACATGAAAGTTTAAAACACCAGGAAAAAATGGGAAACTGATTTGCTATTTGTATTTGTGGAAAAGGACTGCTATTCTTAATATATCCAAAAATATACAAGTCAATAGAGAAAAAAATGGCATGATGGTACACATCTGTAATCTCAGTACTTGGGAGGTAGAGGCAAGAGGATTGACTACACAGAAAGTTCAAGGTCAGCCTAGGCTACATGAAAACCTGTCTCAATTAGTACCTTTCCATGGAGCTGGAAAGATGGCTCAAAGGTTAAGAGCCCTGGCTATTTCTCCAGAGGTCCTGAGTTCAATTCCAAACAATCATATGTTAGCTCACAACCATTTATAATGAGATCTAGTGTTCTCTTCTTTCCTGCAGGTGGAATACTATATATAAATTAATAATATATCTTTAATGAAAATACTCTTCCACAAAAAAAAAAAGAAAAAGAAAAGAATATAAGAGAAGCAAAGTTCATGGAATACACAGCACATGAGGTATACAAATTAAAATATTTTTCACTTGATAGTTGCAAACTGGTGGCCCCCGCCTTTACTCCCAGCACTCGGGAGGCAGAGGCAAGAGGATCTCTGTGAGTTCAAGACCAGCCCAGTCTACAAGAGCCAGTTCCAGGACAGTAGCACAGATTTCTTTGGTAAAGCCATGTGTTAGTTTACTTGGGTTTGGAGACAGAATCTCACCTTGCAGTCCAAAATGACCTTGAAATTGTGTCAATCTTCCTTTCTCAACCTCCTGAGTATGGCAATTATAGACATCAGCCATCAAGCTTGATGTAGAATTATATTAGACACATACAAATAAAAACAACTCTACTAAAAGTTATCAAAGTATTTGGAAACCAATTCTATGATAGAGTAGTATGCATCCCTCTTTGACAACAGATGTAGTGACAAGACCTAAGGGCAGCCCCAGGACACAACACCATGTGTATTATGAGGCTTATCACTTCTACTAGGGACAAACAGGTACTATGAACACTCCTGTGGTCTGTTTCCTAGGTTCACAAGGGAAAATAGAAAACATGAAAATAGAAAGTTGAACAATAGTGAGATAGCTCAGCAGGTAATAGTACTTGCTGTTAAGCCTGATGACCTGAGTTCAATCCTTGAGACCCACATAGTAGAAGGAAAGAACCAACTCCTCTGACCTCTATATACAACCTTTGGTACATACATGCCTATACACATACACACAGAGAAATAAAGGAAACTATTTCCTGGACATGACAGTGTCCAGTGTTGTACATGTCAAATTAAAGCAACTTTGACAACATGCATAAGACCCAAACATACTCAAGCCAGGAAATCCCAGTATGAACAAAGGAGATGTTTGTAAAGTTCTACCCCTAGCCGAGGAGCTACTAGAAGTTAATGGTTGCTGGGAAGGGAAAGCCAGTTTTTCTTCAGGGATGCAGCCCCCAAGAGGCCTATACCCTAGCACATACAGGAAGCACTAAGTGAACACAGTAGGTTTTTAAAAAGGATTCATGAAGTTGGAAAGGAAAAGTGGAGGGAGTGGTTTTGGTGAAAACACATTAGATTCATGTATGAAATTTTCAAATAACAAGGAAGGAAGGAAGGAAGGAAGGAAGGAAGGAAGATGGAAAGTTGAAAGCAGTAAAAAAATCAGACCTTGAGGTCCACACCCTAGGAAGCAAAGCTACCAATACACCTGTTAACAGGAGATACGGCAAGTGCCAGAAGAAATACTCACCTCCAACAAGTTCATGATGAGAAAGAACAGCAGCAGAAAGGTTGGTGCAAAGAGCAGGCGATCCAGCAGCAGCCTCTTGACAGTTGCCAAGGGAACCTCAGGAGGGATCCAGTACTCCATGAAGAGGTAGAAATAGTGACTCAGTGGACCTGTGACAAAGAACCTGGAACACCACAGGGGTTTGAGCTGGACTGTGGTTCTTTATACATTTCCTTCTTTGGTCCACCCTCACACTGAGATTCACCTCAGATCCTAAGCCTTCTCTCCTTCCCCCAAAGTACTTACTGACCACATAAAATTGTAGAGGCCTCTTTCAGTTTCAGCCCATCTTTTGGCCTGAAAAGACTGAAGTGACTTTGCCAGTTCTTGTACTTGGTCAGCTGGCAGAGCCATAATGATGGTCCTGGCTAAGATAATATGTCTACCTGACTCCTCTGTGTTCCAGGCCATTATGCTATCTGTCCACATCTGTGCCCTCATGCCTAACAGGCTCTGAGAAGTAAAGAGACATAAACTCAGCTTAGCTAGGTGTAAGCCAGGCCCAGAAGTGAGTTTCAGAAAGCACAATAATACAGGGAGGGGCAGAAGCCAGGGTCTTTCATTTGCAACAATCAGTTTGTAAAGGTTTTCAATTGGACTTTCCTGTGCCACTGTGGAGTATAGTAGGGCAAACAACTGGAGTCTTTGGAAGACTAAGACCATGTGAGAGGGTTAAAGTGCTTAAGCGGATCTTGTTACTTGACAAAGTATGTGACATATATCTTTATACACATCATAGTAAATGACTCAAATTATAATTCTTGGAAGCTTTTGTGGGGTTAGGACTAAATCTCAGTTGGTAGAGTACTTCCCAAGCATGCCAAGAAACCCTGGGATTGATTCCCAACGCTGCAAAAAAAAAAAAACAAACAAAAAAACCAGGAACCAGGTGTGCATACCTATATTCCCAGTACTCAGGAAGCAGAAGCAATTGCCCCTTGAACTCAGAATTTCAAGGGCTGTAAGAGATAGTCTCAGTCTCTCTTATACACACACACAGTCTGATTATTTATTTTAACCTTATGTGTTTGTTTGTTTGTTTATTTAGTTAGTTAGTTAGTTATTGCTTGATAGGGTCTCTTTGTAGTCCTGGCTGATCCAAAACTCACTATGTAGACAAGGTTGGCTTCTTAAGTCTTGGGATCAAAGGCACATACCATCACATCCAGCTAAATGATAACAAGTGTTATCTAAGTGGAGACATACATGAGGCCATGGGTTCAATCCTAATGCCACATACACAAAAAGGGTTTTGTTTTTAATCACTCCAATTGGAAAGACTTTCCAAATCATCTAGCCATTTTATTAATATTGGACAAAGAGCTCAGGGAGGATTTTGTTTTAAAGACAGATCTGCCTACATAGCAAAAGCAGGTCTGGGAATTGTGGCAATCCCACACTGTCTCTGTCTCCCAAGGACTAAGCTACAAGCCAGTGTCGTCATATTGAGCCTATGATGCTTCTTTTTCGTTTTGTTTAGTTTGAGACAGGGTCTTACTATGTGGCTTTGGCTGTCCTAGAACTCACTGTGTAGGCCAGGCTAGCCTCAAACTCACAGAAATCCACCTGCCTCTGCCTCCCAAATGCTGGAATTAAAGGAGTGCACCACTACTCCTGGCTCTCTGATGCGTCTTAAAGAACTATTTTTTCTTTTGATTTTTTTACTTTTTAAAAAAGATTTATTTATTATGTATACAGCATTATGTCTGCATGTCTGCCTGCTGCAGAAGAGGGCACCAGATCTCATTACAGATGGTTGTGAGCCACCACGTGTTTGCTGGGAACTGACCTCAGGACATCTAGAAGAGTATCCTCTAACCCTCTGAGCCATCTATCCAGCCTGGTTTTTTATTTTCTATTTTTTGTGCATGAATGTTTTGCTTGCAGGTATGTCTGTGCACCATATATGTATCTGGTACTTTATGAGGTCAGAAGAGGTCATCTAGTCCCTTGGAACTGAACTTAAAGATAGCTGTAAACTGCTACATGGAAGCCAGGAATCAAACCTGGGTTTTCTATAACAGTCAGTACTCTTAACAGCTGAGCCATCTCTCCAGCCCCAGAATTAGGTTTTCAAACAAAAGTATTCCAAAGCCTTGATGCTGGAAGCCAGCTCTGCTGTGCTCAGTCTTCAGAGGTGAGCCAGCTCTCGGTGGCACTTACCCATAAACTAAATACCGGAGAAGCCCACTGATATCTAGACTTTGAGAATCGTTTTTCTGTTTCTTCTCAATCGTTTGGGCCAGAAGGTTCCCAAGGGCTGACAAAATGCCACTGTGGAGGAAGAGGCGATCAGAAATGAGTAACAGACACCAAAGAATGCCTTTCATGCATGGCAATAGCAGAGCTTCTGTAAGATCTTGCTGTGGATCATGGTAGAGTCATTATTAAAGCAGCTTGCAGGTAAAGCTCCTGAAGATAGAGATAGTACGACCTAAAATCAAAACACAAGTAAGCATAGAGACAGTTCCACCTGCTGGACTGCATGCCTTCTAACATCCCCACTGCTGCTGTGTGGAAGGCATGGGTATAAAAAGCAGTAAGAAGGATCCTCATGAGGATGATTCTGTAGTTGACAGTGTAGTTTTTAAAGTGTTTGAAATGGGACAGAAGTCATCAGGGATTGTTCTTTCTTTTGGTGAGGGAGGATGGGTTCCAAAAGAAGTCAGAAAACCTGCTAGACAAATTCTAAAAGAACTGTAACCCTTCTGTAGTATTTCTGTATAAATTTACACTCATAAAGTAAAATTCCTGGTAAAATGACATGGTCAGTTTTTTCTTAAGGTTGGTCTTGTCTTAGTTTCTTTTCTTGTGGCTGTGATAAGATGCCTGTCAAAGCAACCTAAGAGAGCAATGGTAATTTCAGTTCACAGTTTAGGGTACAGCCTATAGTGGCAGCGAGGTCAAGGCAGCAGAACGTTGAAGCATCTGGTCGCAGCATGGCCACAATTAAGAAACAGAATGAGCCAGGTGCGGTGGTATACACCATTTGTTCTTTAATCCCAGCATCCACAAGGCAGAGGCAGGCGAATCTCTGAGTTCTAGGCCAGCCTGGTCTACAGAGCTGGTTCAGGACAGCCAGGGTTACAGAAAAACCTCCTCAAAACATGAAAGAGAAACAGAGACACAGAAAGGGAGAGTCAGAGACAGAGAAAAATATATGCGGCTCAGCTAGCTTCAGTCAAGCATCCCAACGAAGAACGGTGCCACCATTATGATCACCATTTTACCTCAATTAAGGTAATCAAGATAATTCCTCACAGGCATGCCTACAGGCCCTTCTCCCAAGTGATTCTAAATGTTATCAAGTTGACAGCTGACATTAACCATCACAGGTCTGTAAGCTATCTTCTAAAAACTGCAAGCTCCCATTTTTTTTTTTTAGTGTGGATCATAGGGCCCCTCTTGACGTGACGCTTGGTTACCTCTTCCCATCTACTCTCCCTTTTCATCTTCTCCACTCACAGTCCTTCTTCTCCACCACTCCAACATGCTCCGCCCTCCTCCCTCAGAACTTCTCCACTCTCTGTGCCCTGTGAACTACTGCTTCTCTTCTGTGTGCTTGTGACCACTGTGAACAACACAGGAGAAACTGCCCTAATTGCTCTAGGTTACATATTTATCTGACTTTTTTTTTTTTCCTAGTTCCTCTCAGCTCCAAGAGAGGAAAAGCCTATGTATGTCCAGCACACAGGCACTCTGTATATATTTATGAAAGGCTAAATTAATAGAGGACAAATCTATAAAATCCGCTAATAAAAATTAACAGAATCAGGAATATTTCGTTAAGAAATCGATGTAGATCAAAGGGCAGAGCTCACCAGCAACAGTGCTTACCTCTCAGGGTTGGAACGGTGTCCCTGGCTCCCTGGTCTCCACAACATTCAGACTACAAGGGCTACTGCTTGGGACTCAATACACAGCTTTCAGAGGCTAAGTAGAACTTTGGGAGCACCTTGATGCAGGACTTTGCCTTTGGCACTACACTCCTCATGCAGCGACTCTTTAATACAGTTCCTCCTGTGGTGACCCCCAACCATAGTTATTTTCATTGCTACTTCATACCTGTAATTTTGCAGCTGTTATGAACAGTAATGTAAATAACTGACAGGCGAGCCCTGTGAAAGTGTCGTTCGACCCCCAAGGGCTCACGGCCCACAGGTTGAGGACCACAGCCTCACAGGCTCTAACTGTGCAGCCTGATCTGCGCACCCACCTGCTGACTGCTTTGGTGAACACCGGATAGAGCTTCAGGAGCAGCAAGTACTGGGCGAGCGCTCGCCGCGGGAGCGACGGGAGCTCGGATTCCGCCCGCAGTCTTGACGCGGCAGGTGCCATCGCCGTCCCAGCTCTGAGTAGCCCCGGGCGCCCACCCAACAGCTGGCCAGTCGGGCATCCGGCCCGGGACACCGGGCACAGGGCGGGGACGGCCTGACATTTCCTGCCCTACCACGGCCCTCAACAAGCCTGGCCGACCCCGCCACGCGCGCGGTCCGCCGCCGCAAATTTTCACCCGGTCCCTGTGACCCACCCTCCGCTCTCTTGGGGCGGATTGGACAGCCGAGGGGCGGGGCGGGGAGGGGCGGGGCCTGTGCCAAGTCCGCCCGACGCCTGAGCGCCACGCCTTCTGATTGGCTGGAGCTTTGATCTCGCGAGAGTAGGTGTGAGCGCGCCAAATTCTCCCCTGAGCCTGAGGAAACTTGTGAGTCGCGCGATGGTCCTCAGGAACAGCGGACGTAGGTACCCCGAGCCGGGCGCGGACGGCGAAGGCAGCCGGTGAGAGCGGCGTCCTGCCGGGAAGCCACTGGCGACAGCTGCGGCCGGAGCCAGCGGGGCGGGTGCCTGTCGGGTGCAGCGGCGGGCGGAGCGCGCGGTGGGGCGCGTACACCTTGTGTACGTCTGTAGTTTTACTGAGTTGCTAACTCACTGCGTGTCCCAGGCGGAGGCCCCAACCCCCAGGCATCAATCAGCAAGAGATATTAGAGTATGGTGACGAAAGAAACGGATGTGTCTATCTGATGTTTAGACTGGTAACCCTGCCTAGTGGCAGAATCAGAACGGGAAGCCTAGTTGAGCGGAAACCCTCCCAAGAGCTGAGTAGTGGTAAAGTGTTTTCCTAGCACATGCGAACGAAACCCTGGGTTTGATGTAGGACACCTCCATGACAGCTATGGTCATTGACCTGGACCAGCAGGTAGTTGTTCAGGACGACAGGTTCCTCAGAGAGCGATGGCCAGGGGATGAGGAGATAAGAAAGTTCAGGATCAGGAGGTCTCGCATAAGCTGATGGCTCATGCAAGCAAGTTTATTATTTACAACATCAACCAGGTGGTGGTTGTCCATGCCTTTGATTCCAGCGTTAGAGACTGGTGGATCTCTGAGTTCAGGGCCACTCTGGTCTTCAGAGAGTTTCAAGACAGCCAGAGCTGTTACACAGAGAAACCCTATCTTAAAAACCCAAAAATAAATGAATAATAATAGTAAAATGCCTTTACACCCAACTGTCCTTAATTCCTCCCGAGTATACCCCTCTCCAACTTCCAAGATATCATTTTGTTTTGTTTCGTTCTTTAGTTTTTCGAGACAGGGTTTCTCTGTGTAGCTCTGGTTGTCCTGGAACTCACTCTGTAGATCAGGCTAGCCTCAAACTCACAGAGATCCACTTGCCTCTGCCTCCCCAGGATTGGGGTTAAAGGCATGTGCCACCACCACCTTGCAATGTTCTCATTGTTTATCTATCTATTATATATACAATGTTCTGCCAACATGTATCCCTGCAGGCCAGAAAAAGGCATCAGATCTCATTACAGATGGTTGTGAGCCACCATGTGGTTGCTGGGAATCAAACTGAGGACCTCTGGAAGAGTAGTCAGCCAATGCTCTTAACTGCTGCCCCCCCCCCTTTTTTTAATAACCTTACTTGTGTTGCTTATGTACTCCTGGATGTGGTGATAGGTAACAACTTTTAGTTTATACTTATACTATATGTCTGGTATGCTTTATGTGGATTACCTCACTTAATTCTTGCAGCAGTCCTATGAGGAAAGCATGTCTCCTTGAGGCTGTAGATAGTGGTAAAGAATGTGAACTTTAGATATATCTGTCTCCTTTTTTCACTGAATAAGGAAATGCATGGTACTCTTCATAGGTGCTGTTGTGAAAATGTATACTCAGTATTTTGACACTGTGTAGTAATATGTAAGCAGTTGTATTTGTGACTTTCATCTTTGTTTTTATTGCTAAATAAAAAGTAAGGTAGACAGCTTAGTGGAAAGTGTATTGGGAGGAGATGAGGTCTGGGTGAACAACTTTCCAGTCTACTTTACCAACTCACTCATTAGAATGGTATTTATGGGACAAGGAGTTTTGTGCTTCTCAGAATTAACACTTCTTTCAGCCCTGACTTTGAAGAAGATCTAGGTGCAGACTAAAACAATTTTCTCTAGCAAAATCATAATAGTTTGTGCTTTAATTAAAGGTAAATTCAAGCAAGATGTGATAGTGCACACTTGTAGTTCCACAACTTTGGAAGCATGGGCAAGAATATTATGAGCTCAAGACCAGCCTGAGACTATCTGAAAAAGAAACAAGGAGAGCTGGGCATGGTGGTACACACCTCTAAACCCAGTACTTGGGAGGCAGAGGCAGGTGAATCTCTGAGTCTACAAAACCTATTCCAGGACAGGGCTACACAGAGAGACCCTGTCTTGAGGGGTGATGGGGATAATCTTGAAGTAATTGTAGATTCTCACATACTTGTCAGAAATGCTGAAGATCCAGACTGCCCTATCGATAACATAACTAGAGTGAAAGCTCAGTGTCATAGCAGCCGGCTGTCATCTGTTAGATTGCACCAACTGTACTTTTACACGAATACATGCATTTAGTCTGTGTTAGTCACGTGTATATTCATGAACTTTATCAGCACATTCAGGATACATAATGCCTTGTCATAAGGTTTTGAATGCTGATTTTCATGATCATAGATAGCCATTTCTCCCTCTCCCATGTTTGTCAATTGGTGATCTGTTCTCCATCTCTATAATTTTATTTTTTAAATGCTATATAAAATGGCACAGATGTATAGCTTGATAGCATTGGGTTGATCCATCCAAGTTGTGTTTATCAATTTATTGCTGAGTAGTATTCATATATGGATAAACTAAAATTACTCTTGGTAAGAAATATCTGAATTGGGGGGCTAGAGAGATGGCTCAGTGGTTAAGAGCAGTAGCTCTTCTGAGGTCCTGAGTTCAATTTCCAGCAACCACATGATGGCTCACAGCCATCTGTTATGAGATCTGGCTCCTTCTTCTGGCCTGCAGGCATACATGCAGACAGAACATTGTATCCATAACAAATAAATCTTTAAAGAAAAATGTCTGAATTATTTGAAGGTTTAGCATCTATAAATAAAGGTGCTATGATATTTTCATACAAATTTTTGTGAAATGAGTTTTCATTTCTCTGACTGAGCTTATTACAGTTCTGGGCTTTATGCAGTTTTAGTATTCAAAAAAAAGAAACTGCATCCTGGAGTGACTGGTGTTTTTGTTAGTGTTCTGGTGATAAATAGGTTGGGTTGGGAGTTGCCTTTGTTGTGTTTTTCCTATAAAGGCTGGTTGGTTGGTAGGTTGGTTGGTTAGTTTCACTGAGCCTTTTGCCAGCCTTGATGTTTTTCAGGGATGCATATGGTATGATGTTTTTCAGGGATGCATATGCCATACCGTATCAGAAACACATAGACATCAAGTGTTGTGGCATACACTTTTAGTTCCAGTACTTGAGAAACAGGCAAATGGATTGCTGTGAATTGGACCTAGCCTGGTCTACATAGTGAGACCCTTTTTCCTAAATAAAACAACAACAAAACACATGGACAAAAGTTAGGGTCTAGAGTGGGAAATGTCATGAATGGTGAAGCCTGATTCTTTTCTTTTATTCAGGGATGATGGTCCCTCTTCCTCAGTCTCAGCGCTCAAGCGTCTGGAACGGAGCCAATGGACAGATAAGATGGACTTTAGGTTTGGTTTTGAGAGGCTGAAAGAGCCTGGAGAAAGGACTGGCTGGCTCATCAACATGCACCCTGTAAGTATCTGAATGAACACTGCTCATCCTTTGCTTCTAGTGGGTGGCTGTACCCCCTTCCTATAATCATCAATCTTGTCTAATAGATGAGTGAAGGGAAGAAGGAAACCATTGTCTGAGAAATTTAGTTATTGGAAGTGCTTCTCCTTTCCTATTTAACATGGAGGCCACAAAGTGACCACCGTGGTAAGATGAAGGTGAAAGATAAGTTAGCCATCAGCAGAAAGCTTTCAAGAGTTACTAAAGAGAAATTCAGAAAAATCTCCATTGGGGAACCATTATAAATGCAGTTCTTATGAATGAGGCTAGTGGTGTTTATGTAGGGACAAATGGACTAGGTACAAGGATGTTTGCCTTTAGAGTACTCAGGTTCTCAAAGAGTAGCCCAGAAAGAACTCTTAGGCTATGTAGAAGATAATATGCTCATATTCATGGTTCTCCTTCAGACTGAGATTTTAGATGAAGACAAACGCTTAGTCAGTGCTGTGGATTACTACTTCATTCAAGATGATGGAAGCAGATTTAAGGTAAGCCCTTGACCTAAGAAAAGTAAAGCCTACCCATGACAAGTAAGTGCTCTAAAATAAGGGATATTCATTTACTCTGTGTCAGGAAGGAAATGGGAGCAGGTAGTGTGCAGTTGTTTACAACCTATCAAGAACATGGCCGCTTTGAACTTCATCAGTCACTTTTAAAATACCCTAAGGGGAGGGTGTAGTATTGCTTCATGGGTTCTTGCCTGTGAGAGATGTGCAGATCCAAATTTCATGTATGCAGTATTATTAAAGAGCTGTCAAAAGGCCTGGAGAAATGGCCCAGTGTTTGAGAGCACAGGCTGATCTTCCAGGGGACTCAGGTTCAGTTTCCAGCCATCCACAAGGCAGCTAACAGCTGTCTGTAACTGCAGTTCCAGGGAATACAATGCCCTCTTCTGTTGTCTGTGGTCGTCAGGTATGCTCTTGGAATATAGACATACATTCAAGCAAACAGTCATACACATAAAATAAAAATAAATCTCAAAAAAAAAAAAAAGCCCTCAAGGTCCAAGATACCTTGTATTCATGTTGCTCATAGGTTGCCATTCTGAAATCTTTTTTCTTCCTTGTCTCATCCTTTTGGTGACTTTTATAGGTGGCCTTGCCCTATGAGCCGTATTTCTACATTGCAGCCAGAAAGGTAAGTCAATGCTTTGTAGAAACAGGTCAAATGATCTGTTCTTGTTTTACCAAGTGGATTTCAAAACTGAAATGGGTAAGAAGAAAGATCTCACTAATAGGAAATTCATGAATTCTGATCCTGGTTTAGGGTTGTGATCGAGAAGTTTCATCTTTTCTATCCAAGAAGTTCCAGGGTAAAA